CTATCATGAATGTTATGAAAAATCACTCAGGAAGAGTGCCACCAGTTTTTAAAAAACTTCTTTGTTAATTATTTTTAATGAATAAATTCAATACATAACAATTCTTTTGTTAGGTAACTCTTAATAATAGATAAAAAAATTCACAAAAACCGCTCGATAATGTAAGTGATGTAACTTAAGTAAAATAATCAGTATCAAAAAAACAAGTTTATTTTTCTCAGCTGGTCAATGTGATAGGGTTTTATAAAATTTTTAAATTGTTATAGAATTCTTAGCATTTTGTGAAAGTTTCTAATACAAACTGCTTTACTGATTCGCAGAAATCAGACCTAAAAGTTGAAGCAATTTTTTACCTTGTTTTCTGTTAACATAAGCGTAAGTGGCATTTTCAGTAATAAGTTTGCTCTTTTTTGGCCAAACTCAAAACTTTTCAGCTTATTTTATTCATTAGACTAACAGCTTTTATACAAAATAGCTGAAAGTTTAATTTAAAGTTTAAATAAGCAAATATTTGATTAAGTTGTAACGTAAGTTAAAATTGGAATTGTCCATATATATGTTATTTTATTGTTTTTATTTTCTCATTAATAATTATAATAATAAAGTATTAATAAGAAAATTAAAATAATAAAACAAACTAGTTTTGTTTTCAATGTGTTTTTAAAATGCATCATTTTTAATATACACAAAAAAATTGTGGCCAAGTTACCAACAAAAAGAAAGAATTTGCGTGGTCATTCAAGGTGTGTGACCGCACACATTTCCCGAGAAAGCCTCAATATATATATATATATATATATATATATATATATATATATATATATATATATATATATATATATATATATATATATATATATATATATATATGTATATATAAACCTTATAGAGTTAAGAGAGATAATCATTCAGATTTAAAGGTTAAAACAAGTTTTAAAATTTAAAAAAATACTTATTGTATATCATTATTTTTTACAGCTAGATTACTTAAATTACATTTAATCATTATAAAGTTGAAGTATGTCTCTGGAAAGTGTTCCTAAAGAGCTGCGCCATTTGCGCTCATGTTTGCTATGCTCTATGGTAAAAACATTGGAGCAGTTTGAACGAGATGGTTGTGATAATTGTGAACGATATCTCCATTTAAAAGGAGACCATGAAAACACGCTATCTTGTACAAGTGCAAATTTCAATGGTATTATTTCTATGATGACACCTGAAGATAGTTGGGTGGCTAAATGGCAAAGAATAGATAAGCTTAGACCGGGTTGTTATGCAACTTCTGTTTATGGGAAGTTGCCTTCTGATATTATTAAAGATTTAAAATCAAGGGGAATACCTTATAGGTCGCGAGATACATCAAGTATTTGAGTTATTTTTTATAATTAGTTTTTTGCTAACAAAATAGAATTTGGAAAAAATATATATTGTTTACATTAAAATAAGTAAATAGAATAAATACTAAATATTTTTTTCAAATAACACTTGATTTAATATTAGATAAAGTATTTTTTAGCTCTGGCATTTTCAATAAATAGAGAACTTGGTATATTTATAATATACATTTCAATAAATAACATATTTATGTTTTTAAATTATGGCTTATATGTTGTTACTAATGCTATATGTATTTTAAATTTTTTTTCTTCGATTGAATTAATCATAAAACATTTAAAGATTATTTGTTATTTATTTGGAAAAAGCAAACCCCCTCTCTCAGAAGTTTTAAAAAAAATTCTTTTTAAAAGAAAATGTTAAATATAGGTCTAGGTAAAGATACTAATATGGGAATCCTGATCCTTATATGGAATGGATCAGAGTAGAACTCCAATTATTCCCATCCCTGATTTTTATATTGTTTTTACCTGATATTGTTTTGTAGCCATAATTTAATCTTTATATATTTGACTATTATTTATTAGTTCAAGTTTCAATTAACTTAAAAAAGTCCCTAGCTCTATCATATTCCTTACCTATTGCACTTGCTTGTATTTTTTATAAGAATTTATTCTGCTTGTTCTCTTCTTGAATAGTATTATAGTTTTTTTCAGGTTAAAAATACTACCATTATAAATAGTGTATTAGTAAATAGGAACAATTAAGCTTAATTGACTTTTTAATTAAAATTTAGTTTCATAATTCTTTTTATGTAAATAAAAATCAATGAAATTGATAGTATAAAGAAATGGTTATTTTATAATAAACTACCATTGGTAATTGTTATTAAATATTATTGGTTAAAATAGTTATTTAAAGTTTTTAATCATGATAAATTTTTTTTTTAATCAACTCAATATTACAATTTATGAATATTTAAATTTAAGCAAATAATTTGCATTTTATTGGAGTAAATTTATTGCAAATTTTATGACTGAAGGGTTGAATCTGCGACCATTAAATTTTATGACTGAAGAGTTGAATCTGCAACCATTATGACTGAAGGGTTGAATCCGCGACCTTTAAGTGTTTACTACTATGATTTGGATGATATCATTACAATGCAAGAAAAAGTTCCTGTCCAATTTGAGCTGCCTTGTTACAGACTTGGATTTTTAGATCCTAGCACATCTGAGGAGCATCTCCAACAAGGGACCAAGATGGAAGTACCTTGTTGGCTTGCATTTGAGCTTTGCACACGTAGAAGACTTATTGCATCAGTTGAATTGCCAAAGATCTTCACTGAGAATTTTAGACAGATATATAAAGCTGATCCAAATGTTTTGGATTTGCATAAATTGGGACCTTACTTTTATAATTTTGGCTTAAAAATGCTTCATTTTCAACATGCAGATTCCGGGATAGTAGCTAGAACTATTCTAGAAATTTTTGTGAAGCGATTTCGTCAAATTATGGATAACTGTCAAAATGCAGCTCATCATAACGTAATTAAAATGAAAGAAAAGCTTGACGAAATGGAAATTGTTTTGTTTGATAATGGGCAAAGAGCCTTAAAAGATTTTACTGAATGGCAAATTGGTAATGTTGGAAAACTGTTTAGTTCAATTGTTATATCTTCACAAAGAAAAAGAAAGAGGTTCGATATGGAAGAGTAAAAGCTTATTTGTATTTAAAAAAAATGAAATGACTTTTATTATAGTAATATTTATAGAATGCCATGTTATTTTACTATATTAAATAAAATAATTATATTAAATAAAATTACATTTTTCTTTATTAATTACTTTTTTTTATATAATCATTTCAATATTTGTTCAAAAATATTTTTTAAAAATATGTTTGTTTAATTTGGAATTTAAGTTCAATTTTGGATAGAAAAACATTTTGCTTAAACAAATTTTTGGACCTCCATCTATTCTAAGTAAAGTGCTTTCCAAGATAATATTCAGAAATACCATTGCTTTCTAAAATCTAAAAAACAAGTAATTTTTTTAAGTTTAATTTTTATATCTTGACATACTTTTAACACATTTATATATTTTACCATAAATGAAAAATAAAAATTGTTGCATATTATGCAATTTTTTTAAATTAGTTTTCTTTTTCTTTTGGTAACCTGTCAAAAGAGTGTAAGACAAAATAGCCCAGTCAAATTAGACGTTTTTGTCCGTAACTATTAGGGCCAAAGTTATATTAATATTAAATAGAGGTGTTATGGCATCATCAATCAAAAAGCTTTTGTTTAAAACCAGTAAGTAATACTATTTGTTAGGCATTTTCAACAAGATTCTTTTTTGAGCATTGTTTTCATAGTGTTATCTTGGCAGGTTTGTCTTGTCAGTGGTAATTTTTCTAATATATTTATTTCAAGTAGTTTTTTTATTTGTGTTGATTTTCCAGTTTTGGGTTTCTTATTTTTTGTATGGGAAAATTCACAAAAAGAAAATATTTTGATTTTAAAATAAATTTATATTTATTTTAACAATAATAGATTCATATAGATTTAAAATGAAAAGAAAAGTAGAAGCACAAAACACTAATTTAATAAAAGTTAAGAAGAAAAAGATAAACACAACAAAGGTTTTTTTTTATTTTGCTTTTTCCTTTAATAATTATGATATTTGAGAGTAACATCATAACAAAGTTAGTATTTATAAATTTTTCAAGCAAATTTGGCATAAATTAAATATTCTCAAAAATTTTGAAAAAAAAAGTTTTTTTTCATATATCTTTTTAATCAAGGTGTTGTCTGCTGAAGAAAGACAAAGAAAAAAAACTTCTCTTTATAGTGCTCCGACAAGTGAAGAGTTAAACCAGCTAAGAGAAAATGAGAATTTATACAAAAGTAATTTGTTTAGAATGCAGGTTAGTCATTCATTTTACACATTTAAATGTTTATGAATAAAATAATTACTGTGTATTTCTGCATTTCTTTTTATGTATCAGTTGTTTGATAGTTAAATATGTAATTACTGGAATTGCTTATAATTTAATATATAATCAAAATATATAAAGATATATATATATATATATATATATATATATATATATATATATATATATATATATATATATATATATATATATATATATATATATATATATATATATATATATATATATATATATAGAGAGAGAGAGAGAGAGAGAGAGAGAGATTCCATTTTTGTTCTTGTTTACAATTATATTACTGCATAAATACATTTTTCAAAGAAAAGTAATTATGTCATTATAAAATACAATAACTAGTAATAAATTTATAATATCAAGAACGCTCGAACTCAAAGAACCGCTTGCTTGAATTAAAAAGCAAATTTAAATGTTTAAATGAACCATAATTATAACATTATATGACTATGAATGAAAAAATAGTTATTGGTGTTCTTCGTTGCAACAATAGTGTGCAATTGCTTGTGATCAATATTCTTTTGTAATTAAACAACATTTGTTGTTGTTTTTGCTGAGATTTTGAATTGTAACTTTAGTAATTGTAACTGGCTATGCAATTATTGTATAAAGAAAATTAATATTAATTAGAAAATTGAACTCACAATAAATGTGAAATATAAAATTTACGAACTTGTGTTAATTGTTTCAAAACCATTTTTATTTGTAAAGCACTTCTTTTGATGACACAATTTAGTATATGATGGTGTTAGGGTTTGTCCACAAAAGGCATCAAGCAGAATTTAATACATTTGTGTTTGAGAAATGCGTTATTGATTTAGTTGTTTTATCGATTTGCTCGTATATCAGAAAAAAATCCATTTACAGGAATTTCCACCAGTGAAATAAATATATATTCAAAAGAATATTCTTAAAATGAAAGTTGCAATGATAAATTAAGTTTGAAAATAAATCAAATATACAAGTTTTAATAATGATTAATATACACTCATTAAAATAATATAAAAATATACAATTCCTAATAAACCTTTAAAAATTGGAGAACGAGTTTGCTGTGTCGTTGTGAAGCTTATTTAATTTTATGTTGGTTTTATCTTCAACTTCAAGTTGAACCCCATTCTTAGAATACACTTTAATCTCGATTTATATGCCATTAGGTTTTACTCTTGAATTAAGAACTTATTCTATCAAAAAAATATGCGCTCTTTTTTACATCAACAAAATATTGACAAATATAAAAAAACAATTTACAAATACTTTAAAGCCTTTGCTTTAAATGTTCTTTATTTGCTTTTAATGTGTTGTAAAGTATTGCGTTGTAGTTAAGTTTGCAATTTTAAACATCGCGCAAAGTTATTTAAATACATTTAACAAAAATTATTAATTGGATCTAAATTCGGTATTTGAAAAAAATCGGTATTTTTCTTATTATTTCTCAAAACAATCTTATACTCAACATGATTTCTTGTTTGTTTATCACAATTTATTTATTTATTTTAATTCTAACGTATTTAATGTAGTATTTTTAATAAAGATTATAAACAATTTATAGATAGATTTTTTCAGTTACCATTAAGATATTTGTAAACATAATTTATGTTCTTAAACATATTAGGTCAAAGGAACTTTACACAGAGTTTTTTATTTTATTGAATTAATAAGAAAGAAAAAATACATTTGTGAAAAGAATTCTTTTAAACAAAAGCAATTCTTCCTTTTATATAATGAAAAAAAAAATTTTTTTTCTCTTATAATAATCATGATAATATACGATGGAGAGACTTATCTTTAACGTAATGAATTAGTTGGTGATTAACAAAAAACAAAAAATGAATGTAAAATAGTTTTGCAATTTTAAAAAATTTGAAATTGCAAAACTATTTTACATTCATTTGAAATTCCTCATTCAACATTTTACTATTTTACATTCTTTCAAAATAAATTTAAATTTTTAAAATTATGTATAATATAAAGTATAATAAAATAAAATAAAATAAAATTTTTAAAAAATTCTTCATTTCTTAAACTGTTTTTATGACCTAATATTTTCTGAATAAACGTCAAATAAATGATGTAACATATTTGCTGCCTAACTATTTTAAACTATGCTTAATTTCTTTCGAAAAATTGAGCCAAATGTCTGCAATGAATAATTTTTACCAAGGCTGTTTTGTGTGGCTTCATTCCCATTGCCAAGGCTAGATATCAATATTTCAATAAATAAAGTATTTTTAATATAATATAATTTTATAGTATTTTTTATACTGACAAAAAAAAAGCACTATGAGTATACTCGTACTTTTACAATGGAGAAGAAATTTTTTTCTCCAAAACCGAAGTACGAGTATACTTGTAACACCGTAATGAGTAAAACTCATTGTGGTGACACAATAAGTTTTACTCATTAAACAACAATGAGTTTTACTCATTAGACAATAAACAATTCATATGTATTATAGCTTATTTGATGGTATTGAAGATTCGGATTAATTTTTTGCTTATACTACTACGTCTTCCAGCTTGACTGCATCAGAATCAGATTCTGATTCTGATGCAGTCAAGCTTTCAGTTAACAATCAAGATTTCAGTTAACAGACGTTCATCTAGCAGCCACGGCAGAAAATTTTTTAATGCCGCCAAAAAGAGCTAGAAAAACAGGTGGTCTTGCTTAAAGACAAAATCTAAACAAAGCTCAACATATCTTATAAAAAATATTATGATGAAACAACTTCTGAAATAAATCCATTTAGAAATTCAAACCAATTAAAAGATGAGCGAATATTGTAAAACATTGAATTTACTGCCGATCCTTGTTTGAAAATAAACCTGGAGAGCACAATTTGATTTTTTTAGACTATTTGTTACAGAAGAGCTTATAAATACTATGGTAGTTGAAACTAATTGCTACACAACGAAAGAAAAAAAATAAGCAGCGCCCGCTCAGAAGAAGCTCACATTTTAAAGATTGGAAACTAATAAGTTCAGAAGATATGTGGCAGTTCCTTGGAGTTCTTCTTCATGTGGGATTTGTCAAAATGCCATCCTTAGAATACTATTGGTTTAAAAACAGTCTCTATAGCTTTCCCTTATTTTCTAGAATAATGCTAAATGGAAAGACAAATAAGACATGCTGATAATTAGCAACTTGCTTTCGCTCAAATGATTGAAGTGACAAATAGGAGAGAAGAGAAAAAAATCAAACCCAATATTAAAGATTACAATCAATGTATGTCAGGAGTAGATAAGGCGTATCAAATGTTATCATATTGTAATTGCCTAAGAAAGACAATTAGATGGTATAAAAAAGTAGCACTTCACCTCCTTGATACTTTTTTTGTTTAATTCTTACTATCTAAGCAGCAAATATGGAGTAGACAAAACAATTTCTTTGTTTAAGTTTAGAGAATTAGTTGTTACAAAATTATTGGGTCAATCTTTAAATGAAATTGTACCTCCAATCACCAATAATAGCTTTCACTACCTGTCTTCAATACCAAATGAAAAGAAAAAATTGCCTACTAAACTATGTCTAGTCTGCTCTAAAATAAAATGTAAAGAAACACAATATGAATGTTTGTGAAAATAGACCTTCATTATGTATTGGCGAATGTTTTAGAATATATCATTCAAAAGAATAGGTTTATACTTTAATTTTCATGAAATAAAGTTAAAACGATATCAATACTTTATTTTTATCTGTTTTAAGCTATTTTTGTCTTTATCTGCATATAAATTAGTTTCCCGGGATTTTTTTTTAAAAAACTTAAATGTAATCTTTTCTAAAAATCAATTGTGAAGCTTAGAAAAAAAAATGAACAGACAAAACCAATCTGACACAAACATTATTTAAAATAAGTTAGTATAACTACGAGTTTACTCAAAGTTGTCAAATGACGCCGGCTTACTACAAGTATTCTCGTAGTTGGCAAATATCAAACTCGCGCGAATTACAAGTATAGTCGTAGTTGGCAAATAAATAACGCCAACTTACTATGAGTATACTGGTAGTTGGCAGCAAACAGGTTTAACAAAAAAGTTTAAACTGAACAAATTTTTTTAGCAAATTTAGTTCCATTACTTTATCTTAATCCTTAAATAAAATTTGTAAAAAAATAAAATAGTGTTTTTGTTTGAACAATAAACCTTTTTAGTTTTTATTTAGGAAGTATTTTATTAAATATGTTTAAATGCTCGTACAATTTTCTTATGTTCTAAATAATAATAAAACCATACCATAAAAATCAATAGTAGCCCATTTGGGCTTAATTGCATCAAAGGAATTTTTTTAGTCGCCCTTCACAAAATTTGGTCATCTGGTACTGTTGGGCAACCACGAGTGTACATCCCTGATATATATATATATATATATATATATATATATATATATATATATATATATATATATATATATATATATATATATATATATATATATATATCAGTCCTCCTAATTAAGGTCAGCATTTGGAAAAGCTGACTTAAAAGTGTTTGAGGTTGGTGAAAAACTGTCAATATATATATATATATATATATATATATATATATATATATATATATATATATATATATATATATATATATATATATATATATATATATATCAGTCCTCCTAATTAAGGTCAGCATTTGGAAAAGCTGACTTAAAAGTGTTTGAGGTTGGTGAAAAACTGTCAATATATATATATATATATATATATATATATATATATATATATATATATATATATATATATATATATATATATATATATATATATATCAGTCCTCCTAATTAAGGTCAGCATTTGGAAAAGCTGACTTAAAAGTGTTTGAGGTTGGTGAAAAACTGTCAATATATATATATATATATATATATATATATATATATATATATATATATATATATATATATATATATATATATATATATATATATATATATATATATATATATATATATATATATATATCTGTGCGTATATATGCAGACCTTGTTTTAAATAAAAAATGCTTAATACAATAGCTTTATGTGAATTTGATATCATAAAATTCTCTTTATTTCTATTTTGATTTTTTACTTTTTTAAACTACTTGAAGCAACGATGAGTTAAATAGAGTTCAAAAGTTTATTGCATTTTTAGAACCTTTGAAAATTTTTTTTTTTCGGACCAGCAAATTATAAACATTTTTATTTCAGCTCAAATAGTGTGATGGTTGAAACATTGTATTTAAAGTATCTGTAAGAAAGCTTTTATTACATTGTTGAGACTAAGAAGAAGTTTTAATATAGAGGTTTTTTTATACTTTTACTCTTGAATATTTGTTGTTTGTGAATATTTTGTTTATTCTATTTACACAACATGGATAACTTATATTTCATGGATTCATTTTTTATCATTTTGAAAAAGCGGTATTGTTTACGGAGTAACAAGGAGATGAAAGAAACCTTTCTTGAGTTTTTAGAATATTAAAGAATATCTGTGTATAGATTGTATTGAATTTGAGTAAAAAGTTATGCATACTGTTCTTCACATAATTCATTGCATGGTGTAATCTATTGTCACAACTAATCCACATGGCGTTGTGTATTTTATATCAGATTCTAAAATGTTGTAGTGGTAGAGTGCTTGCTTTTTAAGCCTGAAGTTCCGATTTCTATCCTTACCTTGTCCCTGGTAGTACTGCAAAAACTATTTTGAACAAGGTTCTTGAACAAAAACCTTGTTCAAAATGGATTTCAATCTTTTTTAGTTCACTTTTTATATGTCTTTATAAGGTTTTTTTTGTGATCTTTTTATAAGTACTGATACAAAAAAAAAATAATTTAAAAAGATTAAAAATCATTTTGAACAAATATTTCAGAATTGAAATTTTAAGCTTTCTTGAAAATTATGGATTAAAACTTTACTCGTCAACAACCTTTGATAACCTTAAATAACTTTCTTTAGTTGCTATTTTTGAAAAGAATTTTTTATACAAATTGCATAAATATATTTGTATTTTTTTTATTAAAAAAAAATTTCTTTAACTGTCAATATTTATAGGGATGGTTAATATTTTTCTGATCTTGTCAAGTTATTTTTGTTTAAGCGTTTACTCTCAGGGGCTTGATATGAGAGAGTTATATTTTATTATCTTTTCAAAAATATACCCACCCTGAGCGTAAGGTTCATTAAAATCATTTGTTTATTTAATTTCACTTATTGTTATAAAAACTAACTGGTGTAAATAAAAACATCCAGAGTAATTAGGCTTTAAAATGTCAAATATATAAAAGAAAATCAAAGTGAAAATTTTCAGTGTAATCAACCCTTAAAAATTCACAAACATTAAAAATTAAAAAGGTTATTAAGAGTTTATATCGAAAACTTTTTTGTATTTCTCTTGTTATACATTTTTGTTTGTTCACATTTTCATCCCAGAATTCTTAGCTTTAATTTATTCTATATTTGCGTGACAAAAAAGTAGCTTATTGAAAAAATTTACTCAACAAAAACAATGTTATGTAAATATATTAAGTTTTTTTTTTTTTTTTCATTATCTAAATTCAATATTACATTTATTTTAAAATAATTATAAACTAATATTTTTCTTTTCTCAATATTTTCATAAATGAATTAAAACATGTTAAATTATTTTTCATTATACTTTCTTAAATTTGTAATCACTAATAATAATTAGTGAGTAAGATGTAAAAAATATAACTTATTGCAAAAATAAAAACCCTATTTACTTTACCGGTGATTTTGTTGTGAAAACAAAGATTGTTTTGGGTTTTCAAGTACCATTTATTAAAATATATATTGTGTCTTTACTTAGCTTATAAAAAAAATTTAATGTACATTTTTGATGCAGCTTTGGAACACTTTCACAAGGAATTTAATGTTTAGAATTGAATGAAGGAAAGCCGAAAAAAATTATGATAAAAATATATTAAAAGAATTGAGATAAAAAATATTTTTTTTTTAAGAAAAATTAAAATTGTAAATAAAACAGAAATAGAAATTAGATTTCTTTGTTTTTATAATTATCTGACTTTATTTCATTTGTTTCGCTTATATTGAATGTAGTTTTCAAACTTTTGTAACAAACTATTTTACATAATTATCATAACATTTATGTGGCTTTTAAAATTAATTACTTCTTTTATCTTACTGCTTAAAAGATATCTTTAGATTGATTAAAATATTTAAAAAATAAATAAATAACAAAATTATAAATTGTTTTAATGAATGTTAAAAAGTCATTTTAAGTGCTTAACATGTATGTAAATTGTGTGCTGTGTAACGTTTTAAAATGAAGCCTAATATATATTGGTATGTGTATATATATAAAAAATCCAGAGTTTAAATTTTTATAGTAATAGTAGCAGTAGTAGTATAGAAGTGGTGGGAAGTTGAACAATACATATATGTAATATATGTATTATGATTGCCTATACTTCTCTATTTTGTTTGTAATAATTTACAATTTAGTTAAAAATCCAAAATATTGAAAAAATAAATTGAATTAAATAAATATGTTCTGTATGCTTTTGCTGCTGTTGCATTGATTTGATGGTGGCAAAGTCATGTTCTACTGTTGTTTCACCATGTTTGTATTTAATGCCATTTTCTGTCATCGTATAGTCTGAGAGTTTTGTTGGCCAATGTGCTCTACTCTTTGTTCAACTCCGTAATAATTGAAAGAAGAATGAATGCATTAGAATTAAAATTATTTAGTTAATTCAAAATTGTTCAAAAAATTTGTAAATTTAAAATATAATGAAGAAAAAATAAATATTATTAGTGGTTCATGCTTTACAATTTACTTGTTATAAATTGTATTTAATATAATTTATATTTAATAAAATATAGATATTTTGATATATAAAAGTATAAAGAAGTAAGTCACAATCAAATTAGTAATTAACTAATTAATCATTTTTTTTTTTTGGTTCTAATTTCTTTTACATTTTATAATATAAGAAATAAGTGATATATTCTCTTATATATACTAATAGATATTATAAAAATATCTAACATATAGGATAATATTAGAAATATAGTAATAAATTAAATTTTTAAACCTTATATTAGATTCAATATCTTCTTGAAGAGGTCTGCTTAAAAGAAAAAAAAGTTAAAAAAATAAATGATGCTCTGCATTTGTTAAATACATTTATAAAAGGTACATGTTCGCAATCTGAAGAACACGAGGTAATTTTTCTTTTCTAATTTCTTTTTTAAATCTAATTTGACTTGACTGTTTGTAACTGCAAGTTTTAAAATGTTTATAAATTTAATTTTAGATATCTGGTAGTTGTCTACCAAGAGGTGTGGAGTTTCCCCTTCCTCATTATATATCAAGAGAAAAAATTAAAGGGAAATTTAGGTATATTGCTCCAAAAGAAATTACAGTAATTGGAAGTTATCTATTAAAAACCATGACAAAACCTAGAACATCTATTGATATTGCTGTTGAAATGCCAATGGTAATTTTTTTAAATGTTTTAAATACTTGTTTATTTTATTTAAAGTATGTTTTATTATAATTTTTTTTTTCAGATTGCTTTCTTTTTTTTCACCATTTTTTTTTTGTTTATAATTTGTATGACTTTTTTTTAGGATTGTTTTCAGCCTCGTGATAGCTTAAACTTTCGTTATTATTTTAAACGAGCTGCATATTTATCATGGCTTGCATTTTACTTGAAAGATTGGGAATTAACTGACTCTCTTCATTTTTCTTGCACTTATAACCAATACAAACCTATTCTGTGTTTGACTCTAAAAGGTTGTTTGTTTTTTGTAGTATACATTGTTATTCAAATGTTAGTATACATTGTTACATACAATATGATATTCTAATGAAGTATGGATTGTTACATACAAAGTTACATTGTTACATACAACACATGTTATTCTAATATACATTGTTATTCTAGCACAGGTTTATATATATATATATATATATATATATATATATATATATATATATATATATATATATATATATATATATATATATATATATACATATATACATATATACACACACACATACACACACATTGGTTGATGGCTTGATCAGGTATTATCTAGATATGAAGAACTAAAAACAAAAGGATATTGATAGAGAAAAAATGTTTATTTTTGAAACATATGCATTTATTCTTTTGTTGGTAAATTTATCTTTGAAATAGAAAAATAAAATGTTAGAATTTTATTTTAGCTTGTTTAAGGTTCATTAATCTTAGCTAAGTTTTGTATCAAAGAATGACACAGACACTAGAAAAATGATTGGAAAATGTTTTAAACTGGTTTATGAAAAAGCGTAATGCTTTTTAATTGAATTTTCAGTCAGCTTAACATTCATAGTGTTAAGTTTATATATTAAAGTGTTATATCAGAGTCCTAATATTCATGAACATGTTGTTTGAGGGAAAAAATGTTTGAAAAAAATCTTTATTTTAATATTGCAAAGCTAACATCAAAATGGTTACAGAAACATAAGAGTCAGTGTAGAAGTTCATATATTGTTGAAAATCGTCTCAGAGTTTATTGAGCAAGACATTGTTTGATATATTGGGTGATATTTTATAGTAAAATTTAAAATTAAAAACTTTCTATAAATTTTTATATAGAAGTATTGATTGTATATCTGACTTTAAATACAAAAAACCATAGAGAATAAAAAAATTTATATACTAATAAAATTTTCCACATATATTTCATAAAATTGTTTATTATTATTAAATGTAGTTTAGTAAAAGTTGGATTATAATTTATCAAAACAATATTAATGATTTTATTATTTTTATAACTATTATTAATAACTTGAATAATACTACCCAAAACTATTTTAAAACTATTTTGCAGTTCAATTTAGGTTGTAGGACATGCTGTTGCTTAAATTTTTTGGCAAAGAAATTCAACGTAATATAATGTAATCGCATGCATTTTGTTATTTAATTGAATCTTTTATTTTTTAGGAAAAAGTTTAAACAGTTATTTTATCAATATTCACTTGGCTATTCCTAATGGAGTATTTAAATTATCACGATTTACACCTTTAACTAGTAACATCAGAACAAGTTGGTTTTGCTTAAATACTTCTAAAACTGCAGATTCTGGTATATACAAAATTTATGTTACTTCTTTGTACTAAGTTTTTACCTTTTTTTCTTTTTTTCTTGTAATGGTCTTTTAAAATAAAAGTGGTTAAACCTTACTACATCCTCAGGCAGCCTCATGTTAATAAGTTTTTTGGTCTAATACCTAACAAACTTATTATGAATCAAAAACTAATAATCTTTATTTTGTTTCATAAAATATCAATGTAAATGATAAAGTTGATAGATTGATTTTAAAATAAGTTTTTATTACATTATTGAAACATTTGTAGTTTTATTAACTATTTGGTCTACAAATTAAAATAATAGGTATATTAAGGTTTTGAGACCCAGACTAAGTTTAAAATGTATATGTGAAGTATAAATAAATGGAGTGATCTTTATTTTTGATAAGTATATATATATATATATATATATATATATATATATATATATATATATATATATATATATATATATATATATATATATATATATATATATATATATATATATATATATATATATATATATATATATATATATATATATGTATATATATATATATGTATATATATATATATATATATATGTATATATATATATATATATATATATATATATATATATATATATATATATATATATATATATATATATATATATATATACTAGAGCATATTTATATGTGCAATTGCTCACTTTTTTTGCTCATCTAAATCAATATCGTTTTTGAGAAAAAGAAGAAGAAAACGAAGAATAATAAATGAAAAGGTTGCTGACCCATCCCAAACCCTTAGGCTATGTAGCAGCACTCCACTGCGAGTCTGGCTATTTGTCAGTCGATGTATATACTGAAGTCCTCGGCAGCAGGCTACTTCAGTATGACGTAATCATGCTCACCTAACTCAGTGCGGTTTTTTGTCTCGTACAACCACGAAAACGTTTTTCAAGTTAGAGAACGTGATCACGACCGTTTGCGCAAGTTTTATTATATGCGTTGCTGAAAAATTATTATAAATTTAACTACATAAGAAATTAAAGTAAACTTAAATAGAAATCAATAATAATAGTTTAAATATTTTGTATGTAGTTTTTATTTTTGTTTTTTCTTAGTGGTTATTATTATCGGCAACAAAATTCATTAAGTCAAAGCAAAAAAAAAAAAGTTTTAGGCGTTAAAAAAGATGACTTTCCCATATTTTATGTGTTTTTTCTTTTAAAGAGGAAAGAGAAAATATGTATCGTCATCTGTTTGTAAAATATATTTGTATAATTATAATGTAACGAGTTTATATCAAGAATTAAATTATACGATCGCGTTTGCAAAGTCTGGTAAAATATTAGGTCTTTAAAATTTTAGTTCATGCAAAGCTGTGTACTTTGTTTATAAGGAGCAAATTATTAAAAGTTTACTAGCCAAAAAGTTACAAAAAAGAAAACAAAAACAATAAACTTACAACTACAAAAGTAATAACACTTTAGTCACTAACTGCATTATAAAAGTAATAAAACTATAATACTGTTATTACATTTATAAAGCACTTATTACTTTTAAAGTTATGTTTTTGATTGCATTTGAAATAAATTACTTATCTTTAATTTTTTAGATAATAGCGTAGTCTTTTAAAAATAGTAATTTTTAATCATTTTACTAGTAAGTCAAGTTTAAAAAAAAAAAAAAAGCTCTTTACAATTCCTTGTAAAAATAGAAACAAAATGTTGTGAAGCCGTAATAAGTCTTTATTAAATATTTTCTGCTATTATCACATATTAAGTCAAACACAATTCAAGATATACAAAACAGATTTTATAGCACATCAATTAAATATAATTAGAATAACTTAAGTTCATTTAACCGTATTATTCTTAGTGATCCTCAAATTCTTGGGAATTTCAATTTCAGGAATATCGGGAATGAAAACGCTCATTCTCGGGAATTACCGTTACCAGGAATAAGCTTTTCAATATTTTTTTTCTTTCTAAAACCTGAAAATTTTTAATCAAAAAATACAAAAAACAATACAAAGAACCCAAAATTTATGTTTAAATCTACTTTATTAATTTATTTCGGAAATAACATTTAAGAAAAGAAATAGCATCAATGTTCTCATCACAAAGACGGTTGCGAACTTTGCTCACAAAAATATTTGCTTCCGAAAAAAGACATTCTGCAGTTACTGATGTTGCTTGTATTGTATTCAGTCCCTTGAAAAGTCTATCCAGAGTTGGTGAGCATACTTTTGTCTTCGCATACATCTGCATCTCTTTTTTGTAGTCAATAACTTTGCCCGCCTGCTTGTTGGTGACCTCTCTTGAAGCTTTCAAGGTAAGTGTCAGTTGCTCAGCTAAACTTCTTTGAACCTGCTGTGATGTTGATGCTGATGGTTCTTCTTGCTGTTCAGGTTGTTCCACACAATCATCATTTTCAGTACTGAAGAGTCTTTCCATCACTTTTACTGCAAGTTTGCTCATAGCTGCAACAATCGATGTAGCAAAGTGATTCCGCCCATTGATGCTGTTGATGTCGCGCAAGTAAAGGATGAGTGATTTAAGAATGTCATGTCTGCGTTTGTTGATTTTCTCTTTGATAGCCAAGAAGATGTCCTGCAAGAGCTGATGATCATGCATTTCTAAATTGTCCAAGAGAAACTTGATAGTTGTGTTGCAATCGATGAGATTTACTAATTTCTTTGACAAGAATTGAATTGCCAACTTCGCTGGACTCAGAACTTCTACCAGCTCCTCAAATCTTTTTGAGTCTTGCCGCGATCAACTTTATACTAGGTTGGTCTCTTGGAACGCGAAGCCTATACCTTAGGAATGTCAAAGCAATTGAACTTAAAGTTTGGAGAACTTTTAAAGTAACCTAAATTAATTCATATTTAGCTATTTATATTAAGCATTAACCATTAATTCATTGCTAAAAAATCACACATAGAACACCACCATTAGAGTCTTTTTGAGAAAAAATGATAATATACATATTTGTATTTAAGAAAAATTCCCGGGAATTTCTCGAAAAAAAAAACGGGAACAGGAATTGACCAACGAGATTCCTGGGATTTACCATTCCCATAATTCCCTTGAGGATCACTAATTATTATAATGGCGTGATTGACGTCAATTATTTAGTTCATAATACATATTTCTTAAGAATATACAGAATATAACAGTCTTCTCTTTTCTTTTTTTTTATTCTTTATTGGATTTCCAAACGAATGCTGTAGGTTCGAAGCTACTTTGTTGGTCTCATTTAATTCATCCTGTTTTCTTTTTCCAGAATTGTCGCTCTTGTTATTAATGACAATTTCATCATTGTTCGAGCATTCGGGCTGTTGTTTGACTGGTTCTATTAAGGAATTTCCATCTTGTAGTGGGGCAAGATCTTTTGTTAAAACCATATCTATTTTTTGTTTTGAAGTTTGACACGTGTGAAGCGGGGCAATAGTGTTTCTAATAGTTGAACTCTGTCGACAAGTGGATCTTCTTTTAATCATATCTGACGTCTGTATAAAACTGTTGAATCCTGCTCTGTTAGGAAGTTTCGCAGAACTGTACCTATTATTGAAGAGCGCTGAAAGTTCATCATCCTCTGGTGGGGTGTTTCATTAGTAGCAGTACACAGAAGTCCTCTTATAGATGATAGAGCCATTTGCAATGCTACCTCCCATCTATCTTTTCCCAGACTCAATGCTTTTAGGGTCAGACTAACAGCTTTAAGTATTAACCGTTGCCTTGTGTGTGATATGGAGTAGTTCGAGTTCGGATGACATCATTTCTTTCTAGGAATACTCTACTTTCAGCCCTACACTTCCAAACTGTTTCCCTGACCCGTACCCATAGCCGATGGTGCACCAAATAATGAAAAAAGACTGAGAAGGTGTTGTATCACTGTGTCCGCTATCCTTACAAGGGAATGCAAATGGATAGCACGAGTATTTGTCTACTATTATGAGGATGTATTTATTAGCTGAGGTGGATTGTAAAGGTCCGACAAAGTCTATAAATAAGCGTTCCCGAGGTCTCGTTGCCTGAATAAGACAACCAGTTGGAGGTTTGTAGAAACACGGTTTGAGTTAGTTACAGGTTGCACATTGGCTTGTTAGTTGTTTAATTTCAGTGGAAAAGTCAGGTAGATTTCGGGTTTTGCAATAAGATAACTTGTGGTATCCTTAAAGTTACTTGAAATAAAGAAGAGTGTAGGCCTTCAAGAATAACTTTATTACTGCAGTTAGTAAGAAATAATTTAATAATCTCAAAACCTTTATATAAAGAAACTAATAAAGAGTGAAGACTAATCGTAGGATAGTTAGAAAGGTCAAAGTGTTTTATAGGTTTTGAAAAAATGGAACACTTATTAAGCACTTTTTAAAAATTAAATATTAAATATTATATAATTAATAAGATTGAATGTTAGACTTACTTTAGTTAATGACGTTGTTGAAGACTAACCAAAAGTCTCTAGAACCTAATGTCTGATATAAGTTACAAGATTTAGTAAACTGAGAATAACAGAGCTTAGCATCAGACAGAACCTTATTTACATTGGCTTCTTGGAATAATAAAAGGACATTTGTTCTTAAGAGAGATGTTTTGTAATAAAGATGAAATAAATGATCAATAAAGCAATTGCTCAATTTGGTGAAAAATGTGGAATAGACTTTTAGTCCAGAAGGAATAAAAGCTTCTGAGATGCGTTTTATTATATGCATACATATTATGGACATAAACATTAATGTTTGCTATTTATTTAGATGCTGGCATAAAATATCCTTTCATATTTATATAAACTTTAGTATTTATATGGTGTAGTGTTTGCCAAAGGAGAAGATAATCAGATGGATGCATGATATGACTCTAGCAAGACAAGAAAAGGAGGCATAATCTTAGATTAGAAAAAACGTTGTATCTAACAACGTTTGTTAGAAAAGATTAAAGTAATTTAGGTATCAGCATGTAGAGAGGTAGCATCTTCAGTAGAAAATGGTAGTGGTAGAAAAACTTGAAGAGGGTGCCTTTTATATTGTATGAATGAACTTTAGTTAAGTATAAAAATGCTCTAGATTATTTATATTAGAGAAACAGCATAAAAGAGGAAGGCTAAAGCCTGATAATGATAATGACCATCATGATCATCATCACCATCAGGCTTTAGCCTTCCTCTTGTATGCTGTTGATGCTGTTGATGATGATGATGATGATGATGATGATGATGATGATGATGATGATGATGATGATGATGATGATGATGATGATGATGATGATGATGATGATGATGATGATGATGATGATGATGAGAATGAAGATGATGGTTTTGATGATGATGATGATTATGATGATCATGTTGATCATAATGATTTTTATATATACATATATATTCAAAATATAACATGAATTTTGAATTTAAAAAATATACTTTAGGATGTATAAGTTTTTTATGCAGCCCCAGTCACAAACCCGGCCCTGGCCCCAGCTATATTTTATCAAACCCGACCCCGGCCCTGGTCAAATATCAACCCGGTCATTTATTAGCTACGGGTCTGCCTAGTTGAAGTTATGTTCTTCCCAGTGCTGTGTCAGAGGCATCTGTTTCAATAGTTAGTGGAGCTTTGAAGTTGGGGGAGGCTAGACAAACTTCTGCAAGTTTAATTTTTAGCTTTTTAATTGCTTCTTTTATCTGTGGGGTCAAGCCCCTGTTGGAAAGTTGTCTCTTGCTTGAGTAAGCTGTAGAGCAAACTCGGTCCTATCATTTGGTTTAATTTTCGTAAGGTTTTTTGGCTCTGGCATATTCATAAAAGCTTCATATCTTTTTGGGTCCGGTTTCAAAGTTCCATTTTCAATGATATGGCCTAGGAATTTGATGTGAGTTTTTTAAAAATTGCTCTTTCCTTTGTTTATTTCTACGTTAGCGGTATTAGCTGCGTGTAGGAAACGGCTAAGATTTTTATCGTGCTCTTGTGCATCTTTTCCACCAATAGTTATATGGTCAAGTTAAACATTCATCCATAACCCGCTGAAAAGTTGGTACAGCATTTGTACAACTAAAATGTAAATGTTTGAACTCGTATTGTCTGCCATTAGCTTCGAATCCGGTTAGTTTGTAATCTTCAGGTCATATTTTTACCTGATGATAAGCCGATTTGAGTTCAATTGTACTAAAGACTTTATGAGCAGCTATGTTGAGTATCAAATCGTCGATTCTGGGTGTTGGGTATGAATCGTCGATTCTGGGTGTTGGGTATGAATCAAGTGAGTAGATTGATAGTATTCAATCACAAGACAATTTTTGTTTCTTGGTGATATTACAAAACATTATGCACACCAAAGACTACGACTCACTTGAATTATATCTTGCTTTAACATGTAGCTTATCTGGTCTGTTATGAAAAAGTTATTTTTGGGAACCCATTGTGATGTTGTAGTGATTGGTTTAATTTTTTCAATATTAATTCCAGGAATTAATGCATAAGTAGTACACTTCATGGTTTTTGTCACCAGACAGAATTTTAAGGGCTCTTTGTTTCCTTTAAGATTGATAGTAATTGAGGTATTTTGTGTTAATTGAGGTATATTGTACATTGTGTTGAGTATTGTAAGAAAGGTTCCAATGTTGAAGAAGTTCTGATGTAATAAATGTTTTATCGGAGCCAGTATCTATCAGTGCCTGTGTTATATTTTTGTTAATGGTGAAGTTAATTAGTCTACCAGGTGAATCAATTGCTACTATGACTGTAGATATTATTGCGTTATTGTTTTCTTCCTTATATTCTTTAACAACTGCTGCTTTAGTGTAGGTTTTATTTTGTTTTATTGAAAGACAAACAGTTGCCCAGTGGCCCCTTCTTTGAAAATTTGTACAGGTGGAATTTCGCACTGGACATTTAATTTTTGGATGTGGATCATTACTGCACCAGTAATAACAAAATTTCCTAAGGCTATGGTTTGCGGCAAAAATTTATAGTGTGGTATTAGCTGATGTGGTTGTTTTCAAATTAAGAGCATCTTCGGTGGCTAATTCCATTGTTAGCGCTGTTTTATAAAGTGTCTCGAGATTGTCTTCTGTAGCTTCGAGGAGTCGTTGTCGAAGAGAATGTGAATGAATTCCAGCAACAAAAGCGTCACAAATTAGTAAATTAATATGTTGTTCTGTTGTTAGGGGTTCTGTTGGACATTTCCTTGCGAATTGTTTCAGGCTGCTCATGATGCTTTCAACTGTTTCCTTTCTTGTTGCTTAAAAGAGCAAAGTTTGTAGCGCATCATAATAGCTGTTGATTGTTTTTAATATTTGTTATTGAGTTTTTGATATTTGTTATTGAGATTTTGATTGTGTCATCATATGATGTACTATCTTGAATTACTGTGAAAGCTTTTACTTCGGATAAAACGAATAAAACTTGAAGTTTGCAATCTTCGTCAATGTTAGCTTTATCAAAATAAATTGATAACATTTTTTTCCAGTATATATATTCTTCTTCGTATGGTTCGTTGCATAGTACATTTTAAAATATTTTAGCATCCATAATGACTTAAAATTTGATAAAATTGTTGTGAAACCGTAGTAATATAATTAATATCTGCTAATTCTAAATGCCATGAAGTTAGTTTTTTGTTTTTAATTTTTTTTTTGAAATCTGTTTATTGAAAATATTGATAAAATTGTTGTGAAACCGTAATAAATAAGTTTATATAAATTTTTTCTGCTTTTATCAAATATTAAGTCAAACACATTTCAAGATCTGCAAAATGGGTTTTATAGCACATCAATTAAATATAATTAGAATAACTTAAGTTCATTTAACCGTATTATTATAATGACATGATTGACATCAATTATTTAGTTCATAGTACATAGTTCTTAAGAATAAAGCAATTGAATCATTTCATTGCAACAGGAAGACTTTAATTTAACTAAATTTAAAAAAAAATAAAGCAATTGAATTTTTGAATTGAAAAAATAAAGCAATTGAAGATTTAATTTAACTTATTCATAATTCAAAGTAACTTAAAAAAATAAGCTTTTAAAAGATTTTTAGAAAGACATGGAAAAACAGTTTCAAATGTTTAAGTTTATCATAAAAAAATATATGCCTACTAAAAATAAATATAACATTTAATTTACACAAAATGTGTTTATTTTAAACGATCATTATAATTAATTTTTTATTTTATTTAAAGCTTTTGCTTAAAATAAAAACTTTAAAATAAAAAGATTACCAATTAAAAGTTATTCTTAAATAACAATTTCAAATTGTAAAGAAAAAAAATTATAAGCTTGGTCAGTTATAGCATGCGATCGCACGCCATTCCCGTCCGAGCCTGATAATTGCAACATTTATTCTCTTCTCACTATTAAAATCTCTAATACTCATTAAATTCATCAAATATTTACATTACAGGGATATTTGTCCATACAAGTTATTTATTCATTTTTCCTTATGTTTTTTATTTCTTCTTGACTTATTTAATTGTCTTTAAATTGTGTTTACTCTTTTACCTGTTGGTCTTTTTAATTAGACTTCAAACTTTCTCGCTGTTATGTTTTTAAAACATTTTTTAAAACATTACTTATTATAGAAGGAAAAAAATAATTTAAGAAAAATAAACAATAAAAGCTGAAAAATGGTTAGACAATCAAAAAATCATCTAGCTTGAAAGTTCTCTATTTTTTTATTTATTGTTTTGTATTAGCAATACCAACACCTCATTATAATAGTGGCATACTTTCTGATATGCTTTTTGAGGATCATTTAAAAGTTTTGTATGCTGCTATTAAAGAATGCCCAGCAATACGAGAGGCTGTATGTCTATTTAAAGTGTGGTTGAAGCAAAGAACTTTTAAGGTTTTTATTTTCAATGTTTGAAAACAGTTTAATGCTTTTTTACAGTAAATTATAATTTTCTATATTTTTACTATACCATAAAGAAGTCTAGATTATATTTAGGGTGCTTGCACATTTAATGGATTTGTTGGCTCCATGTTTATGGTATATTTACTGAAAAAAAAACAGATTTCATTTAATCTTAGTTCATATCAAATATTCAAGATTGCAATGCATTCATTAGGTAAGTCCTAGGTCATATTAAATATTCAAGTTTGCTATGAATTAATGTTTATAGAATGTTTTATGCTCTCAGTGGATAATTTAAGTAAATGTGTTATGTTGAATTATTAGGTAAAAGCCTCAGGTAAGTGTATTGAAAGGTAAGTATGTGTCAGTTAAATTGGATAATATGATAATGCTGGGTCAGTATTCTCTTGGTAAAAGATTTAGGTAAAGGCTTCATATTACATTAGCTAATGTTACTGTCAGGGATGCGAAGTTTTAAAATGGATTCTGGATTTGAAAAAAAAGGACTCTAGATTTGAAAAAAAAGGACTCCAGGTTTATTTATTTTATAATAACTGTGTACATGTACAATAACAATGTATGGAGTCTATGTTATCTAGGCTTTAATAGCCAGTTAATGTTAAAAAAAAAGGCCAATTTTTTAAGTATTTTAGAATCTACAATATTTTGATTTAAGTTATTTACAAATAGATAATGCAATGATAGGTTTTTTAATAACTTTAATAACACAGTTTGTTAAAAAAATGGTATCTCTTTTTTTTTATTAATTGTTTATGAAACCTCATATTATGCTATTTAGTTTTTTATCATCAGCATTTTACACTTAGTTGATAATTCGGTAAGTCGTTTGTACAATAGTAAACATAAGTGGACACAAGACAGAGCCTTGTGGCACTCCACTTGTAATTGGAGACCAATTTAAAGATTTCTTGTTGTGGGTGACATGTTGCACTCTGTTACAAACAAAATTTCTGCACCTTTTAAGTGCTTTATCATTAAATCCATAACTTTTTAGTTTAGACACAATCTGTTGCTTAGCACAGAATCAAAAGCTTTTTTCATATTAAAAAAAAGATATCAACTGGTAAATTATCTTTCGTTAGCTTAGTTATTAGACCCATAGATTCTATAAGATTTGTACAACAGTTTTTTTCTAGAAAATCCATGCTGTTCTATAGTCAAAAGATTTTTAAAAAATATTTGACTCTAGGTTAAAAAATAATAGGTTCAGAGTCATTAAATGTCATGAATTTTAAGTTGCAGATCATAGGCCGGGTGAATAAAAATGAGCAATTACTTTTACTCAGTAATTGGTCAGCTTTATGTAAATAAAAACTTTTGCAATTTTTCTCAAATTTTTATTCAGGTAAAGTTGAACATTTACTGAGTTAATTGCTTAACTTAAAGTGAATAAAAATTTGAGCAAAATTGCAAAAGTTTTTATTCACGTAAAGCTGACTAATTACTGAGTACAAGCAATTGCTCATTTTTATTCACCAGGCGTCATAAGTCACTCAACATTTTTAGAGCTCCTGGACACTAGAGTCCATGTAAAGATATTGCTTTAAAACTTGGGTCCTTTTTTGGGACTCTGCATCCTTGGTTAATTTTCAATAACCTCTAACTTTCAGATTGTAAAACTTAGAAAATGATAAATTTGCAGTTTTCTATTTTTAGCAACATCTGACTGGTCAAAAAATGGGATTACAATATGTGATGATGCAAATGTAAGTATTTACATAATTTTAATTGTTTTAGATTTTAAATTTAGTTATGCAATTTGTAAATATCAATTTATTAAGAAAATTTATTGATAAATTATTCAACTAATAATGAATTGTTTAGAATATTCATAGCATGATGATTATTATTTCTTGTTTCTTTGGCAACTGAGAATAAAACTTATACAAAATTTCAATTTTAGTTTAAAAAAAAAGTAGTAATTAATAAATTCTTAATAAAGAAATGAGATACTTAGAAAACATAATTAATATGATTATAAGAAATTAATATATGAAAATATAAAAAAGTATAATAAGACTAATAAAAAAGGCCCAACAATTAAAATTAAAACGAAAAAAAGTTACTTTTAAACAATGCATTTATTATAATAAATGTACTACCTTTGTAAAGAACTTTTAAACAATGTCTTTATTATAAGAAATGTTCCACCTTTGTATAGAACTTTTAAACATCGCTTTTATTATAATAAATGTGCCAGGGCTTGTATTAACGCAAAAAAAAAACTAATTGCCAAAAATTTACCTCTTTTGTGAATTGTTATTGTAAAAAGCTTATAGCTTTTTAGTTTTTTTGTTGTTTTATAAACAACAATAAAACAAACTGCAAATTTGTTTTGACAAAATAAAAAGTTTGTGTTAATGTAAAACAAATTGGTGACACTGCTTTATTGCTGTTTTATACAGTTCATAACATTAATAACATAAAACACATTTAAAATAAAACGAGTTAAAACTATTTTTTCTAATTAATAAATTAAAACATTAGCGTCATAAAACTTTAAATTTGCGCAAAAACATGCCTTTAGACCATACGAGTCTATAATCTAGAGACCAAATGAGTAAGAAAAGCAAAAATTCATTAGATACCACATTTTTTATAATTTATTGTTTCTTGATCTAGTGTACTATTAAAAATTTAAGTATAATTAATTTTTTCATTCAAATGGTTTTTAAGTTGATGTTTTCATTCAATTTTTTTATTCGAATTGTTTGCAGTAAAAAGTGAAAGAAAAATGTTTGGACTAATAAATTGATTTATATTTTTTTAAGTTTAAGTATATACTTGCACTATGTTCTAAATCTTTTATTGTTACTGAGCTGATCCTCCCTATGCCAATAAGTATTATGGACGCCGCTGCAATTAAATTTATAATTGTTTAGCATTTAAATTCTTTTAGATTTTTCAATTGTTTTTTTTAATTTCAAATTTCAATTGCGAAATTGTTTGAATAAGAGAATTTTTAAAGACTAAAATTCTTTTGTTCAAAATTTCTTTTTTTTTTTTACAATTTGCATATTTATAGAAAATGTCTTGATATAGCTTTAAATTAAATGAAAATATTTAAAAAATAGTATTGCCTGTTTTTATATTCTAATCCAGATTTCTTGTTAATATAATTTTTAATTAGAAGCTTATATTATGTGTTAACAACATATAAGATATAAATAAAAACATTTGCATGGCTAACTTTTGCAAGTCTTTGAGTGTATTAAGTAAATTTAATAGATGAGTAACTGTAAATTACTATAGTAAATTAACTGTTTGTTTTGATTCAGTTTATAGGTAAATTTACTGTGATGTACTTTATCCATCCAGTTAATCAAACTAAATATAACTTTAAAATTTAACTATAACATTCAAATTTATAATATTTAAATATAACTTTAAAATTATTGGCTTTCACGCAGAGATTTAAAGTAATTTAAATTCAAAAGCACTTTATGTTGAATAAAAATCTCCGCGTAAGAGAGCAAATGATCATACTTCTAATCAAAGATAATACTTCTAATCTAAGATAAATTTAGCGTGACTTTATGACCCCTAATAAAAAACTTAGACAAAAACATCACTTAAAAGAATGAGAAAAAAAAGCTAAATAAGAAAAAAAAAAAAAGTAAAAAAAAAAAAATTTTTTTAAAAAAAAAACTAATCGCAAAGGTGTGAAAAGCAATGGCGATCACAATAAGCTTAATTCGACCCCTGTGTGCCACTTTAGTGTAAAACTTTTAAAACAGCTTTTATTATGATAAATGTGACAACTTGGTATAGAACTTTAAAACAATGTTTTTATTATAATAAATGTGCCACCTTTGTATAAAACTTTTAAACAGCACTTTTATTTTAAGTAAAATGTTAGGCGTTCACTTAAGTTGTCATCTCTATTTTATTTCAAAAAAATTTTTTTTCATCTAAATGACGCTCAAAAATACTTAAAATAATATTTTTATCTAACCATCTTGCAGTTATATCTTTTAACTTGAAAATTTCAAAAATATTGGAATTATCAAAAGTTAAATTCAATTAGTTAATGGAGCTAAAAATTCTAATTTTAACAAAATTGTTTTTTAAAAGAATTTTTTAAAACTCTTGTCTTTAATTCAGATAATAAAAATGTGAATTTTAACGAAATTGTAGAACTAAATAGTTTTTTTTTAGAAGTCTTTAGTTTCTTTTCATGAAAAATTTGATGTTGTGTTTGTGGACTCAACTGGAGAACTCAATTTATGTGCAGACATCACTAAGTTAACTTACAATATGGTAATTTTATAGTTTTAAACTTTTTATACTGATAATTAATTGCTTTTAATACTGATAATTAATTGTAAAAATTTTTATATAAAAAAACAATAATCCAAACAGTAAATTTTGTAAATTTTCCAATATATTAAACCTCTTTTTTATCGCTATGCTTTAGTTTTTTTATGTGCATATAAAAAGCTTGTACTCAATGGACCCAGTGTCTATTTGAAACTGCTCTTGAAGGCTAATTTTGAAGTTACAGGTTGATGCTCAGATGCAAGCAGAAATCCTGAGGGATCTTGTAAAGTTGAGTGACTTGAATCTTTTTGGTTTTAAAGGTTGAGGGTTGAGGTTCTTTCAGTTGTGGTAAATTAGCATGGTCATCTTTAAAAATTATATCATTGTTTGAATCAGCGACAGGATAATTTTTTTTATAATTGTACCCCCAATCAGTGAATATTTGGCCACCTAAATAAAGTAATTTTTTGAATGAAACAGAGGTTACTGGTATACATAGATAGCTTCTTGCTAGGGTAGCAAGTAAATGTAGCTCCACAGCATGATTCTTCTTAGAAACAGGTTGAATATATTTTCAGCCACTGGTAAATTTGTGGTTTTATGTCCTGCCTATATTTTCTTCCAATTAAGTAAACTCTAATGTGTTATTTGACCTAGTCATTTGCGTTTCTTAATAATCACATCAAACTATATGGGTTTTTTGACTGGACTTTTGAATTGTTTAAGATATGATCAACACATATGATTGTAGTGAACAAATCATGTGATTAGAACTTTAGATCAAGGTACTTTGACCAATACCACTCTTCATATTTAAAGCCCCATCTGCCACAAACTCATTTTTGCTAAGATTGGAAATTCGGAAATCATGCTCTCCAATCTTTTAGCAAGCATAAATCCTATCTTCCTTCCAATGAAGTTTAGGCAATCTAAAGATCCAACTATCATATGTAAAAGCTACTAAACTGCAATCAGGGATGTCTTTTTTCAAATTGTTAATTCACTTGCTTCAGATTGGGAGCTTTCGGATTGGCTTTAGGTACATAGATAGTCCAGCAGCTAGATAATAGATAGTTGTATTTTAATACAAAGACTTTCAATTAATTTTCATGGCTTTAATTTGAACAAATAAAAACAAGTGTAAAAACATAATAAAATTCTATCTGCCTATCGTAAATGTAATATTGTTATGTAACTACATAAGTGGCCACTTATGTGGTTACATAAGTAGACATGCTAATTGATCAAACAAATCATGGAACTTTTAACAAGATGCTTGCCCATACATCTCGCCTGCCATACATCTCGTATAGTTAAAGCATGCATGAAAAAAAGAAAAGTAGATTTATTGCCCTAGTTTATTTATACCAATTTGAATATATTGCAGGGTTTTTTTTATTTAATTGAAAAGACTAAGAAAAGTTCTGTGACACTCTGCTGTTTGTTTCATGTTGGATGTTGACTAATGCAATGTCTGCATGACTGCTTGTTAGGTTCATTGTTTCTTCTCTAAGTAAGTTGTATGCTTTCTTGGCTGTTGTACAGTATCTTTGTTAAAGGGTAAAAGCAAACCAACTTGTAGGATGTACTAATTGGTAACTAAATTCAACATTCTGGATTTAGTTACCTGGTTGATCTTGCCATAAAGTATAGATACTGTGTAACTGCGAATGGTTCATTAATCAGTTATCAATTGTTTGATTGTACTTTACTAGATGGATATATGTGGTGATTCTAAGCTAATACATTTGAAAGGTTTTACTGAAGGAACGCTTTGAATATTTTAATTTTAGATTAAAATACCTTTATCTATAGTAACACAAGAAATTTGTATGATTTTAAGACTTTTCCTATTATATGATGAATCACCCTTTATATATATATATATATATATATATATATATATATATATATATATATATATATATATATATATATATATATATATATATATATATATATATATATATATACACACATATATATATACAGTGCTTCCAGAAAGTATTAGCGCACTCGCAATTTTTTTATTACAGACAACTTTAAATCAATTTAAATTATAAAGTAATTTTAATTACGAACTAGTAACTTTTTAATGAAAGGTAAAACCAATTTAATTTAATTAGAATATCAAATATTTGTCCAACTACCTATTTTTTTGATGAATTAATTAGAAGTTTAATGACTTCTGAAAAATTTGTGAAATTACGCATGCAAAAGTATTAGCGCACTGATTTAAAATGTATTAGTACAATTGTTTAATTCCTTCGAGAAAAACTTTTTTGGTTAATTTTTGTTAATTACTCTCTGCTGATTAATAATAGTCAATAAAAAATATAAGAAGCATAATTTGAAGTGTCAGAAATATCATTTGAAATACAGTTAGTTAAAACTTTAAAATTGCATTAACAAAAATATGGGTTTAAAGAGCATATCAATTAAAACAAAGTGGCAAGTTGTTGGCCTGTACAAAAGTGGTCTCAGCAATTGAGAAATCGGACATAACTTGAAATCAGTGAATGCAGCGTTAGAACAACGCTCAAAAACTATGATGAGTTTGTAACAATCAAAGACATAAGTCGCTCTGGTCGTCCTAAAAAAATGTCAGAAAGGGATGAAAATAAAACAATTATGTTCGCTAGACGCAACGCAAAAATGAGCATAGCGGAAATCGCCTCAGACCTAAATACAGTGTTGGGTACACATCAAGTTAGCAGATCAACAATTAGCAAGCTGATGAAGAAAAAACATCTCAATTCATACCTTGCAACAAAGAAGCCACTACTAAGCATCAAAGATCGTCTCAATTAAAGAAAATGGTGCAAAGAGAGAGCTGCATGGACTGCAGAGCAATGGAGAAAAGTAATTTTCTCAGACGAGTCAAATTTTGAACTTATTAATTGCAAAAAAAGAGTTTTCATGAGGAGATACATAAACGAAAAATATAATCCTTTTATCATGTCAAGAGTTCAAGGAGGAGGAGGTTCAATTGGCATTTAGGGCTGCATTGCTGGATCTAGCAATGGCCTGACACATCTTTACACTGATCGCCTTAATCGATGTTGATATAGAGAGATATTAGAAGATTATTTAAAGCCATCAATGAACATTTTCAAAGCTGACTCCACCTGGCAATTTCAACAAGATAACGCTCCGTGCCACACAGCACGCTCAATTAAGCAATACATGAATGAAAAACGGTTGAACCTGATGCCTTGGCCCGCTCGCTCATCTGATTTGAATCCTATTGAGAATCTTTGGAGTTAGATGGACTGCAAAGTACAAAAAAGCAGGCCCACTTACTTGGTGCAGCTCAAAACGCAAATGCAAACGTTGTGGAATACCTGCCACAAGAACTAATCAAAAAACTAGATTCTATGCCGCGTAGAGTCTTGGCATGCCTTAAAAACAAAGGTGGTCACATATACAACTTTCCTAAAATCTTTGAAAAACTGTAAGTGCGCTAATACTTTTGCACACTTTTTTATTATTGTTTTTATCAGTCTTATTGTATTCTAATTAAATTCAAAATAATAATAAAGAAATACTTTTATATATTTTACAATTAGTAATTCTGCCTAATTTTATGAATTAGTTAAAAAAAAAATTATCAATCAGTCTTTTATTGTTTTTGAATTACAATCCTTTATAGTTCTGAGGTAAAAAAAAATGAGTGCGCTTAGTGCTTTCAATACCGATACCATTTTTCAATACCGGTATTTTGGTACTAAATAATTTTAATACCCGTAATACCGGTATAATACCGGTATTAAACTTTATTTTTAAATTTATCATAATCTAAATAAAATCTGAAGTTAATAGTGAAAATTTTATTGGTTCATTCAGCTTATTTATTTTATATCTTAAAGCTACTGATTTTTTAATTTTTCGCTTTTTTCTGCTTTTTAAAATGAACCCGTAAAAAACATAGGGCGTTCACAATATCATCTTCAAGAGATCATCTAATTTTGTGACAGTTACCACTTGCTAAAAATCCACACTCCGAATGGAAGTAATGGTAGGAATTTTGCAAATATATACAACGATTTCCTCCCTCTTCAAAAACTGCCATCTCAATATATATAATTTTTGATAAATTGTTCGAAACATTCAATCTTCCTTTGTTGTTACATTTCTTATTTTTCAAAATTGCAAAGTCAAGCTTTTTTTTCAATGACAGGTTTACAGCGTTGTCCACAGAATCACTATCAGAAAAAACGCTGATGGAAGGAAGAGGACTATATGCTTTCTGATTGAGCCGATCTTTCAGTCAAGCAATGATATTTGCAATGGCTAATATGCTATGATGCTCAAAAGATAGAGCCACATTCTTGTAACAGTGGTGGCTCTTGTGCAGAAAATATTGTATGCTGAAAAAAGAGTATGTTGCTCATTGAATCATCACACCAACATAACTTTACAGCTAAATCGGTTTCTCCAAGGTTATCTATCATGAAAATGTTGTATCGGCTCACAACAGTGTTGCATGATTTTGGCACAATATTTCCACAACCAGTTTTACTGGTGCAAGACATAAGTTAACAGCTAATATTGCATCGAACTCCTTATTTAATACCTCAACTTTGGACTCAAGGGCAATCAGTGACTCACGAATGCATTTTTTCAATTATACAAAACGTTTGAGTGCTGTGTGCAAGCTAATCCAGCAAGTTTTGGAGCCAAGTATTAGTGGAAGATCTTTATCATCTTTTTCTAACGTATTTTTTTAAATTTTGATCATTTTTTGTTGGAGAACGGCGAAATAAAAATTTCACAACAGTGCGTACCTTTTTGATTAACAACTGCAAATCATTAGTCAGTTCAATAGAGTCATTCTCTTCATTCATTACAACTTGAAACCCGCCGGAAAAGTCTTCATCATTATTGGTTTTGTTTGTGTCATCAGTATTTCCTCGTCACTTTCTCTGTTTTTTTTTAAATTTTTTTATTTGCATTCACTCCCAACATGGCTGCAAGCAACCACTATTAAGTTGGGAGTTACTAGGAAAAAAAAAGAACAGAGTTATAGAGCAAGGAAATGGTTGACAGATGAAAAGTTGAAGTCAGGAAAACATGAAGATGGGAGAGAGTTCCAAAGGATTGAAGTGCGGGGAAAAAAACTAGATGAATAAAAATTTTAGAGCATGCAGGGACAGATACAGTAAACAAATGAGACTTAGCTGAATGACGAGTAAAACGAGAATGAATTTTAGTTGATGAAACTAGAGATGATAACTCCTTTGAGCAGTGACCATGATAGTATCTGTAGAAAAGAGAAAGAGGTGCAACTTTACGACGATGGGAAAGAGGTTCAAGCTTAGCAGAAAGTCCAAGTCCAACAACATTTACAATGCGTTTTTGGACCTTGTCAAGAAGAGAAAGTGAATCGTTAGAAGAACCAGCCCAAATATGACAACAGTATTCCATACAGGGACAAATAAGAGATTTGTAGAGGTAGAGAATGGAATCAGAAGTAAGGAAATGGCGAGCACGATAAAGAGAAGCAACCTTAGCAGAAGCTAATTTAGCAATCGATTGTATATATGGTTTCCATGAAAGGTCAGTAGTAAGCGATAATCCAAGAAGATGTAAAGAGGAGGACCCAGTAAGAGGATTGCCATTCATTAATATAGGAATGTTGACCATATTACGGTAGTTGTTTGCAGTAAGCAATTGTGTTTTTTTAGAGTGGAGATTCACAAGCCACTGTGAACCCCAACCTGAAGTGAGATCAGATTCAAGATCAGCTGCTTGTTCTAGGCGATCGAAAAGAGAAGACTTTTTGTCAAGACAGGAGTATAAAGTTGAGTCATCAGCAAAAAGAGCTACTTTAGATGAAAGGTTGTCAGGAAGATTGTTTATGTAGATAAGAAACAAAACAGGGCCCAGGATGGAACCTTGGGGAACCCCAGAAGTTACTGGAAATAAAGAAGAGTGTTGGCCTTCAAGGATGACTTTAATAAACCGGTTAGAAAGAAATGATTTGATAATCTCAAAAACTTTCCCAGAAACACCATATGAAGCAAGCTTATGGAGACCAGCATGCCAAACTTTGTCGAAAGCTTTAGATATGTCGAGAGCAATAGCCCTAGCCTCACCGCCTCCATCTAATGCACAATAAAATCTTTCAGTTACAACAGTTAGCAAGTCGGCCGTAGAGCGAGAGGATCGAAAACCGTATTGATTTTCTGACAGCAGTTTATTTGACTCAAGATGAGATGTGAGGAATTTGTTGATCAAAGACTCAAAGACCTTGCTAATAACAGAAAGAAGACTGATCGGACAATAATTGGAGGAGTCGGAATTTTCTCCAGAGTTTTTGAATATTGGAACCACAGTTGCCATTTTCCAACAAGCAGGAAAACAAGACTCAGTCAAACACTTGTTAAATAGTTTAGAGAGAATTGAAGAAAGTTCTGGAGAACAATTCTGCAAGACTGTGACAGGAATGTTGTCTGGACCACAAGCTGTAGACGAGTTTAATTATATGATATGGCTTTAGCAACAGAAGCCGGAGTGATTTGCATGTCTAACAATGGGTCAACCTGTTTGATTGGAATGGAAGGAAGAGAATGTCCATAAGATTCAAGAGTGGAATTAGAAGAAAAGTTCTTTGCAAATAGTTCTGCCTTATCCTTGGGAGAGGTAATAAGATCAGTCCCATGAATGAGAGATGGAATGTTAGATCTACCCTTGTTAACAATGCTGTTGAAGATTTTCCAAAAGTCTTTAGAGCCTAACTTTTGCAATAAGATGCGAGATTTAGTGAACTGAGAATAATGGAGTTTAGCATCAGAAAGCACCTTTTTACATCGATTTCTTGCAATAATAAATAGCTGTTTGTTCTTAAGAGAGTTGTTCTTTTGAAAAAGATGATTAAACAAGGTTTGAAAAAATGATTACAATTGGATATAGCAGCCGCACAAGAAGGAGAAAACCATGGAGTAGAATGAGGCTTGACTTGAAACCGACGAGAAGGAATAAAAGCTTCCATTCCAGCCTGAATCCAGGAGGTTACGTAGGAGGCGCATTTGTCAGCTGAGAGAGAAAAAACATCAGCCCAAGGACCATCACGAAGAAAATCACGAAAGGAATCCCAGTCAGCTTTAGGGTAGTAGTAGGTGGTGCGATGATAAGGTGAGCCCAAAAAAGAAGTATGAGAAGAAAGATTTATAGAGATCATTGCATGGTCAGAACCACCTAAGGGAGAAAAGAGAGAAACTGAACATAAGCTAGGGTCAGAGACATGACATAAGTCAAGGAGTGAAGGTAAATGATTAGGGTTGTCAGGAAAACGAGTCACAAAGTTAACTATCTGAGTAAGAGATTGAGAAACGCAGAAGTTAAAGGCTTTAGTGCCAGCAGGATCAGTGGTGTTAGAGCCAAGCCATTCAGTGTGATGGGCATTAAAATCACCAACAACAACAATATTGGCAGAGGGGTAAAGAGAGAGGGCATGGTCAATTTGATCAGAGATAACATCTAAAAGAGTGCAATCATGGGAAGAAGGAGAACGATAAAGAACAAAGAAAAAGGTGATAGAGTGAAGAGGTGCTAGGCGAAAGCACATAAAAGAATGGCCAAAGGATTCGAACCTGATTTCACGACCAATAGGGGAATTAATGCGTATGTATACCCCTAAACCTAGCATGTGACTATTGGAGTCTTTACGAATCAAAGGATAGTACCCATCAACACTGACATCTGAAGAAGGAACTGCAGAACTTAAATTTGTTTCACTGAGTGCAAGCAAGTCTGGTGAATTTTGCAGGAGGTAAGACTCAACTGATGGAAAGTTGCTTCATAGACCGCGAATATTAAAAGATATATTAAAATATTTAGGTGGTGGGGATGGTTTTTTAGGTTTTAAATTTTTGGTTACTTTGGTCATGATTTGAGTTTAATGAGAACTAGACTCATTCATAGATAGAGCACAGCCTCCTAATCAATGAGCTATGCAGTTGTCTCAGTCCTGCTAATTAACCCTGTTATTGTTGTAATTGCAGATTGCTTTCAAGTTTTTTTTTGCAGAAATTGACGATTTTTTTGTACAAAATATCTTGAATACCTAGTTGAATCCCATGCCTAATGCACAACTGTTGATCGCATTTACTTAAACGCCCCACTTTCTACATTACGAAAATTTTTCATTACGTTAGTGCGAAATTCAAACATGCGTTCTACATTAAAGCGAGTGTCGTAATGATAATATTTTAAATCGGTGCTTCATTATTCAATCAAACAACGCTTCCGGTAGGAAAAAGATAGCTAGATGATAAAAGACGTATTTAAATCATCTAAAACAAGTATTCAACGTATTTTATATGTCTTAAACGCGTCTTTTACCCATAGGTCGCGACTAGCTAGTTACTCGCTGGCTAGTTGCTAGCTCATTACCTACCGAGCTCATTTATCTTGTAATTAGAGTACAAAATCATCCTTGCTAAAGAGTTTGGGATTATTAATTATAGTAAATAAAATTAATATGAGAATGATTAGTTGTTTAATTAATTTTTGAAATAAAAAAGTTATTGCTATAAATATTTAATTAAAAATAAAACTTGTTTAATTTAAAAGTAAAATTTTGTCTTCCTTCTATTATAATAGAAGTCTTCCTTCTGTTATTATAGAAGGAAGACAAAATTTTACTTTTAAATTAAACAAGTTTTAATTTTAATTAAATATTTTTAGCAATAATTTTTTTATTTCAAAATTCAATTAAACAACTTATTATTTTCTTGATCCCAAACTCTTTAGCGAGGATGATTTTGTACTCTCATTACAAGATAAACAAGCCCAGTGGGAAATAAGCTGGCAACTACTACAGTGGGAAATGAACTGGCTACCTATGGGTAAAAGACACATTTAAAACGTATAAAGTACATAGAATACTTGTTTTAGACGATTCAAACACGTCTTTTCTCATCTAGCTATCTATTTCCTACCAGAAGCGTTGTTTTAAGTATTTCATTTACTTTCGTGTTTCATGTAAAGAAGGTGATTGTACCTGCTTTATCATAAGCCCTTTACATATATTTTAATACCGGTATTGAGCCAAACCAATACCGGTATTTTGGTACTTAAAAATGTCCCGTAATACCGGTATCCTGGTACCGGTACTACTGGTATTGGAAGCGCTAAGTGCGCTAATACTTTCTGCACTGTGTGTGTATATATATATATATATATATATATATATATATATATATATATATATATATATATATATATATATATATATATATATATATATATATATATATATATATATATATATATATATATATATATATATATATATATATATATATATATATATATATATATATATATAAGATAATTATTTTTTTTTAAGATTCGTTACCAAGCAACATTGTCTTTAAGTATTCTGGACAATTCTATGGAGGGTGGTTTTGATCCATTGTTTATCAAACAACAACATTTTCTTCAAGTTGCTGATCACTCATTTCGGTTATTTTTTTTATTTTTTACAGTGGCACTACATTGTCACTATCTGAAATAATTTTTGTTGCCAACATTACATATATATTTTATTGTCCCAGTGTGAATTACTATTGTGTAATACTAATTTTACATTAGTATTGTATTAAATTAGTTTTGAATAATCATTAGCATAAGATTTTCTTAGCTTCGTTAGTGACACTGTTGTCAACAAAGCAAAACTGTTATGTTATATATTGATATTGTGTTGCATTACTACTGTATTATATACTGTATTAAGTTTGTGTTGAATTAATATTAAGTTAGCATTAAATGAGTAGATATATTCTGCAATCATATTAAAAGGATGCATTTTGTTGTGAGGCCATGTGTTAGTGTTTAATCAGCATTGTGTAAAATTTAAATTAGTTATTTTATATGAATTATGTATATGTAGTTCAGTAGTGTTGTAATGCATAAGTAGAGGTGCAGAGGTGTGGAGGTGTATATAATGTTAGGGGGTGTGAGATGTGGAGGTGTATAGATGTGAGGAGGTGCAGAGGTGTGGAGGTGTATATAATGTGAGGAGGTGCTGAGATGAGGTGTGTAGATGTGAGGAGGTGCGGAGGTATGGAGGTTTATAGTTGTATAGATATAAAAAAGTGTGGAGGTGTATAGGTATGGATGTGTATACAATGTGCGGAGGTGTGGAGTGTATAGATGTGGCCTATAAGAGTTCATAGTGCAAATTAACTTAAAGAAATATTTATCACAAAAAAAAATTATAATTGTTGAAAAGATTATTTTGCTTATTTTCTAGATGACCTAAAGTATCACTGTGTGTAGCATGTGTGATGTATTTTTATAAGATATACTAATATTGTGTAATTTTTACATTAGTATAAGTTGAGAAATACAATTAGTGATACGTTTGTCTTATTGATTTAAAAATTTTAGTATGAAATATTTTTATTGGTAGATTTTTTATGCAATTGAGTTTTTTTTTTGTTTTTTTTTTCATTAATAGGCTCAACAATCTTGTTGATTTTCACAAACAACTGATGCAAAATCAATTACACAAAACTTTAATAATGGATTTTGGAGGAGACTGGTTAAAACTTGTTCCAAATATAGTTTCAGAAATTTTATTGTCTGGACTTGATAAAAGAGTTCGGTTGTTATTTGAGAAACCCTCTGAAGAAAAGCAGGTGTGTTTGACATTAAATTATTTAGAAAAAAAAGTTGTTAGACTTTGTTGACTGTTGTTAAAAGAATTTGATGTTTTATTAAGTTTTTAAACAGGAATCTGGACTGCACGAATCAAATTTAAAAAAAAATTGCTAATTTTTCAAATTGTATTAAATTTATATTAATATTACAGTTAATATGATTATAATAATTAATACTCATAATTGATGCTGTTTATAAACAATACAGTTTAAATTCTATTATAGCTATAATGGTAGTATAATCAGTGCTAGCTTTAGACATAGACAACTAACTAGATCAGCATTATTTCTAATGATGGGAATGAGTTTATTCAAAAGTTAGAAAAGTAGATTTTTCTTAAAAACAATTTTTAAATATTTTTTTATAAATTGTTTTTTTTTTTTTTTTTTTTTTTTTAATTTTTTTTTTAATCTCTAATCAACTACATAACATTTATACAGTTGTCAAAATTTTTAAATTTGTTAAAAGTTTCAAAACATTTAATAACATTTAAAAAGTTACATATTTTCTTATTTTAAATTTATGCTTCAAAATAAATAAATGTATAGTTTTTTCTTATAAAACCAGAAAAATAGAAATTACAAGTTTCTCTTAGAAAACTGAAGTTATTAATGGTGGTATTTTTTATCATTTTATCCCAACTCATTCTCATATTAATTTTATTTACTAAAATTATAAATCTTACCTCTAACATTATATCGATTTATATCTAGCTCAACATTAAATTTTATAAATATAAAAAAACTATAAAAATTGTTTCAATTTAAGTAATGTCAATTTATAAAAAAATATAAAAATGCATGTTCAAATAAAAATAAATTTACAAAATAAAATATTATTATCTATTAATTACAAATAAACAAAAAAATATATTAAAATTCAACAAAATACAAATAAAAAAAAGAAATCTACTAAATTTAATATGATTTGTAAGAACTTAAAAAGACCTTTTCTAAAATAATTTATTAAAATTAATTTTTAACAACTATTCAAACAAAAAAATTTTATAGACCGGTCCTACAGGAGATTCCCAGAATGCAATTTTGATCACAATGATTTGTGAATACAACTTTTTTTAACTATTGTGCAGCATTTTAAATTGGTTTAATTTAAAAAATTTTAATGATTATATTAAATTTATTTCCTATTTAAAAATATCATAGAGCCCTATTAAAATAACAAGTGTTGACATCAGGTTTATCAGTTACAATAAAGATGATGTATTAAAAAGCAGTCAGCATTTATACAAAATGTCTAATATATCAATTTTTCAATAGAAATCAAAAAGTTGATAAAGTAACAAAGATCAAAGTCTAATATCAATTTTTTGCAGAAAAAACTGTTTAGAGTTTAATAAAATAATTATTTTATTTCGTTTTATACAACCATTCAAATTAAAATAATTTTCAATTTTTTATTTTATTTTTCACAACCATTCAAATTAAAATAATTTTCAATTTTTTTTTTTTTGTTTTTCACAACCATTCAAATTAAAATAAAAGCATTTAACTTTAATTCTGTAAATTTTTTGCAATTTTTGTTTGTTTAAATATGAAAATAAACTTTATTAAAAAAAGTGATGAATATCTTAAATATTCCATTGAATTATCAAATTATCAAAATAAGTGATGAAACTAATATCTTAAATAATCCATTGAGTTATCAAAATAGTACAACTCAAAACCTAAACACTCAATTCAACCAATAGTAAGGAGTAAAATGAGTTATGGTAAGCATATGTGCCTTGTATAACCTTTTTTTTTATGATTATTATATCACACTGGAATTCGCTGAAAAATTGTTCCAAAAAAAGAAACATTATTCTTGTAATTTAGATTTTAATTATTGTAAAACTTATTTGTTTAAAAACAAATTTTTGAAATAACTTTGAATTTAAAATTTGTAATTATAGCTAAAAGTTAATAGAATCAAAGCCAAGTACAACCAACCAATACCTAAAAAAGCAAGTTGCAACACTTGCTTGGTTTCTTGATAGAATCTGCAAAGATTAACTTGTGCAGCATTTGTCACTTTCTATCGATTTTGAAAAAAAAATATTTAAAAGTTTTTGTTTTTTGACATGCAAAAACTTACCATATAAGAATTAAAGGTTAACCATATGAGGTTTTTAAGGTAAGCATCAACTTTATTAAATGTTTTACCATGAATTACATTGATTGTAGTTGAATATTGTAATATTCTGAATATTGAACAGATTAGGTATTAGTAAAATGTAAACTGCAGTTTGATATATACTAAACTGAAATCTTGGAACCCTACCCTTTTTTTTATGCTAATTATAGTCTGTAGTAAACTTTGAATCCACATTAACTTTATTGTTTTTACATAAATTTTTTTTTTTTGTTTTTTTTTTGTTTTTAATGTAAATTATCTCCCCAAGTCCAAGAAGACCACTACAAATAAGTAGGCTACTTAATTGTGGTTATAAACCTCTCTCAACTCTATAACTCCAAAATATCAACAATGAGGAACAAGACCGCTGCACAGAGAAACAAGTTGATAAATACATATAAATTGATATATACATAATAAACATAAAGATAAAATGTAAATTTTTTTCATGCACAAGTTTTATCAAAAGTTTTATGAAAAAGAAAATAAGTGTTAAATAATAAACAAAAATAATAAAGAAAATATATATAAAACTTAAAAATCATTAATAACTTTATTACTTTTAAAAACTTAAGATAAATTCAATGTGTATCTAAAAAAAAATTACAACATCAGTTCAGCATCTGTAATGAAAATAATACAATACATTATTTTTGTAACTTTAAATTAAATTTTAATTAAATAAAATTTTGGCTTTAATGCTATAAGAAACAATAATTTTATAAGTCGTTTTATGAGCAGATCCAGTATTTTCTGGTATTTGAATTAATTAAGTTCCATTCATTTCCAATCATGTTTAAATGCTCATCTTTTTCATATATATATATATATATATATATATATATATATATATATATATATATATATATATATATATATATATATATATATATACACACACACACATACACACACACACACACACACAACCCTCGGAATTAGGTAAAATGAAGTAGTTTTGGTGACCTCAAACTGTTAAAGTCAGCATTAGGTTGGCAAAAAATATTTGACACTAAGAGGCTACCATAAAACATAGAAACAAGGTCGGCAATTTTTTGCTGACCTCGAGCACTTTTAGGTCAGCAGTTAGATAGACATTGCCAAATGCCGACCCTAATTCCAAGGGTTATTATATATATATATATATGTATATATACACAAATAGTATTGCGTACTAAGGTAAGCAATCTGACGTCATACTGAAATAGCCTGCTGCTAGGGGCTTCAGTACATACATCGACTGACAAATAGCCTGACTTGCAGTGGAGTGCTGCTACATCGACTGAGGGTTTGGGATAGGGAAGCAATTGTTTTATTCATCATTTTTCTTTTTTTTTTTCTTTTTTGAAAAAAACGGTATAGCTTAAGGTAAGCAGAAAAAGTGAGCAAATGCTTATTAAAACACGCTTTAGTAAGTGTATTCTAAAGGAATACAGTGGCTTGGCCTTAATTTTTGGATTTGGGGATATTTTTCTAGAAAGGAAGGATTTACAATAACTATATATATATATATATATATATATATATTTATTTATTTCTATTTCTAGAAAGGAAGGATTTACAATATATATATATATATATATATATATATATATATATATATATATATATATATATATATATATATATATATATATATATATATATATAGTTTTTTAGTTATAGGTGTCTTGTACACACAGATAGGTTTACGAGACTTTAAAAATGGGCGTTGTATTATCCTACCAAACATGTTTACCAAAACCGTTTGCAATCTTGATATTTTGATTTTGATTTGTTTATGGTATTGGATTGAGCAATCAATGATTGCTAAATCCAATACCATAAACCAAGATCTCTGAAACTTTATATAAATCTTTTAATATATCATAGTAGTTGGGGTTCAATTTTTCAAATACATTGCTAAAGTTTCTCAAAGCTTTCCTTTAAATAAACTTACCTTTAAATAAGATAAATATGCATTTTATTCTACTTTTTGTAAGTCACTCTGGTAAGATATATGGTAGACATGTAACTATTTACAAATTGAAACACCTAATTAGTTTTCTCAAAAAAATTCTCAAACAAATCTTTTAAAACTTTACATTCATACTAATCAGAATATTTTACACTTTTCTTTTTACTTAAATGTGGATCTAACTCTGGCTTCAAAATAAATGGTATGGTAACTTTAAGATAACCCTGCTCTCCATTTACCCCAACCTTAATAATTACATTTACTCGTGTAAAAGATCTATGTTGTAAAACTGTTGCAACTAACTAAAGAAATCTTTTGATGAGATTTCTGATGAAATTTATTGATGATTATTTTTATTGATGAAACACTGTGTTGAATGAAAAAATTTTCTAATGTGATTTTCTACTAATTTATTACTGTTCTGTTCTTTTAAGAACATCTCTGATACCTTTGCAATCAGCATTGCTCAGCATCAAACCAAAATAATTGTTTTCAGAATAATAGTAATAAAAACTTAGTGATTTTTTTGGCTTATTGGTAAATAAAAAGCTCTTTGAATCTACTTTCTTTTAACTCAATAGATTTTTTCTGCACATAAAAAAAAACAGAAGATCGTTGTTTTCCAAAAAGTACTTCTTGATAAGGATTTCAAAACTTTCCCTTGCTTTGGACTTGCTTTATTGGATTTAGACTGAACAAACCTCAAAATTTAAGGTGTAAAATTATAACAATAATAGTTAACATTAATTTTTATAAGTTAATACTATAATGATTTAAGTTAAATTTTTTCGTAATATAGAAATTATTTTATAAAGTCATTGTGATTTAGTAAAGTATGGTACTTTTTTTCTTGATTTAGAAACTAATTTTAAGATTTTCTAACTAGTTCTAATAGATCTAGAACTAAAGATGAAAAGTAAGAAGTTAGAAGATAAAAACACAGCTATTTTATTGTTATAGCCACTGTTATTATATTTAGGCTTTTAAAGCAACATCCTATAGACAATAATTATTAGCCAATCAGAAACCACTAAATATTGCACCAATAGTGTTGTTGCAATTACAGAAAATAGACATATAATAATGGCTGATAAAAAAACATTATTTTAGTACCAAAACATTGTTTTATATAAAACTTCTAAGCAAGTTTTCTCAAGAAGTTACCAACAAATGATTTAAATTTTTGCAGTTATAGAATGTGCAGGTAGACTACTTTCAAATTCTAAAAACAAATTTTTCTGGATACAACATAAGGTCTTAGGTGACCTTTAGGGTACCCATGTAGTGGTAGTAAAACAATAAAAATAGAGTACCAGTTCTGATTTGCAAAACAGGTTAAGGCCAGGAAAAACATTAAATTGTAAAATATTGCTTTAACTCTTCCATAATATAAATTAGAAAATGATGTTATGAAAATATCAGGACTCAAATTAAGCATTTTGCCATCACAAATTGCAGTTGCTTTTCCTACTTTCTCCATAAGTTTTTTCTTTAAAAAATTATTTTTGCAGTTTATTTTTTTTTTTTTTTTACTTTTCTAGTTTAGCTCTTTTTTTTGGCCATTCCTAAAAGTATAGAATGTTTTAGTATAAGGTTTTTATTAGAGGTCATTAAGTTTGTCTAAGTGACATTGTCATTAAGTGGTCATTAAGTTTAGCTTAAAATAAAAATATGATCATTTCTGCTCTTTTCTGCTGAGATTTTTATTCAACAATGCTTTTGAATTTTAATTATTTTAAATCTCTGCATGGAAGAGATTTAAAATAATTAAAACAATATCCTTTCATATTTATAGAAAATATTTAATCTTGATATTGCTATAAATAAAATGAAAATATTTAAAAATGGTGTTTTTCATATTCTATTTGAAATGCCTCATTAAAATAATGTTTAGTTTAAATCTTATTGAGTGTTAACAACATATAAGATATAATAGAAACATTAGTGTGGCTAACATTTGCAAGTAAATGCCTTTGAGCATATTAAGCAAATATAATAGTTAAGTAACTTAACTGGTTGTTTAGATTTAGTTTATAGGTAAATTTACTGTAATGTACTTTATCTAATAAGTAAATAGAAGTAGGATATTGTTGGCTTCCATGCAGAGATATAAAATAATGAAAAATTCAGAAGCACTTTATGTTGAATGAAAAAAATCTCACGCAAGAGAGCAAATGCTCATGCTTTTATTTAAAAGTTAAATTTAGCGTGATGTACTTAATTACCTTTAATACATTTAAAAACCTTAATACCTTTAATACCTTTAAAAACCTTAGACAAAAACATTCTATACTTTTAAGAAGGAATAAAAAAATGCTAAATTGCTTGGAAAATGCTATAAAAAAAATAATAATAATAAATAATAATATTAAATAAAATTGCAGGAGTGTGAAAAGCAATCACAATAAACTTAATTGGAATCCTGGCTTGATATATTTACTGCATGTTATAATAACTTAACTGCAAAATAATAACTTATTTTGCAGGCTTTAGATTTTTTAGTTTTTAAAATGCTTAAGTATATCAGGATGCTTTTTCTAGAAAAAGAAGTAAAATAATGAAAAGTTAGTTTGCTTTAATGGATCTTCATATGTAAAAATTGCCCTAGCCTTAACCTTTGGTCAATGTAAATATCTACTTTGTTCCTATAATCTACTTTTTTCTATTTCTGTACTTTATTCTTATTTTTCTACAAAAAAAGCATAAGAGAGGACTTTAGGGTATGCATTGACTGAGGGTTTAAGTTTGAACATCATGACAAAAATATAATAAAAATGCTTTGTATGAAGAACATTATGGCAAAAATGATAAATGTTTTTCATTTTTTTTTTTCTTTTTCTAAAAACAATAAATATAAAAAGGTATAAATGAAAAAAATAAATACAATTTGGCTGCTACCATATAGAAGGCTGTTGATTTGTTTTTTACTTATAAGTTATTTAAAAGTTTTAGATTTCTCTTTGTTGTTTTTTGAATTATTAGTTCTGTTTATGATAACTGGTGTGGTGGTACTTTTTTTATTCAATATCAAGGATCCACAATTTTATTTATAGTCTTTTTTATTTTTATGAATCAGTGGACAGTTACATCATGTAAGGGAATTGATGATTTTGGTGGATATATTTGGTTTGGGTTATTGTTAGATCCTGAGTACTCTGAAAATGTTCTTAGTATGGGACCATCAGCAGATCAGCCAGAGGTTTGTTTAATTTCAGATATTTTTTTATTAAGTTTAATTTTTTTTTTAATGTAATTGCTATTTATGTTTTATTACAAAATATGATAAATAAAAATAATTTTTTAAAGTATGTTTGCAGTTGTTTATGTATTTTTATTATGTAATTTTATTTTGGGACTTATTTTGGAAGTAGGGGGTTCAGTTGATTAACTATTTGCAGCAACTGTTGAGTTTGTTGTTGTGATTGAAGGACTACTGTTTTTTCTTTCATATATTCCAGACATCATTGATAATGTTGGACTCATAATCGCTAGCTGATTCATTATAGTATCTAGTTCCTTTTTTCTTTTATTTTTTTTTGTAAGCTTACGAAAATACATTTTAATTATCTTCATGGCATATAAACCATATAATGTTACAATCGATATGGCTTGGTATGTAAAACACAAAGTATAAAGTTGTTTTGGCTGAGAATCTAGAACATAAGCCACTGCAAGTCCAGCTGTAGACAGAAAAACTGTTATATACATGGTAATTGCTATGCTCTTTATTTCATTGTAAGTTTCAGGTAAGTTCCTGGTTTTAAATGCCCAATACGCACAAGATAACATCAAAACACACGGAAAGACAGCATTTAGAGTCATATTTTTACTAGAAGAGTTGCAAACTTGTTCTACATGGTTTGGTTTGAATTCCGTTAACACTACTGGTTGACTGTTTACTACCCAGAAAACAGCCATTGTCAGCTGAATGCCAACCATTCCAAGTATGAGTAATATTTGAGAGGGCATTGAAATTAGTATCAACCCTCTTAGTTTTGGTTTATCAGAACAAAGATAAGTTCTATAAATTCTATTTGTTTTTAAGACCAATGGAGCGTAGCAGAGTGTTAGCGGCATGCCAAACATTATTTTTTGAGCATGGCATGCAATTATAGATGGTTTTTGAATGTAAAGTAAAGGTGTTATTGACATAAAAATTACACCAACCAAAGAGCACAATTGGGTGTTGCCTTCCCTTATAATATATTTGTTGTGGTTATTTAAGTATACAATAATTAGGAAAACTGAAAGAAAAATAGTTGTGCTTGAAATAGAGAATACAATATATGCTAATGTGTCATTCATATTCATAGAGACTAGAGGTAATGGGTAGCATTCCCTTTGCTTTTTGTTTGTTTTTGTTCCTGGTGCACACTTAACACAAACATTGTCTTTTATTATATCCTCTGGATTGCAAGGACTACAACTCCAACAACAATCAGTTGTTGGAATCTGAATTTGATTTTCCTTACATGGAGAGCTACATATTGATTCTTCTAATGGAATTATTGGATGTATTTGTAATGCAGTAGTATTACTGTGGTTCCAAAATCCAATAACTTTAAATTCACCTTGAGTGTATTGAAAAATATCATAACTATCCTCTACGCAACCAAATTCATTAAACATGGGTATTTTACTTAAATTGTTTTCTGTTATGTTAGATAAATAAGTGTTTATGTAAATGTTATCTGTACTAAGTAATGCTTGTGCGCAAGATATATTGTTTTGTGGCTTCATATCACATTCTTCTAACCATTTATGAATGGCAAAGGCTGCAGCATTTACAGATTTTATTACTGGTCTTACAGGGGTGTATGCACTGTAGTTGAAGTTTTTATACTTCAATTTCAAGTAATTTTGAAAATCAGGTGGCATAGGGTTTGTTATTTGTACAGCAAGCATCCCTTCAAAATAAAGTTGAATGGAACTAGGTATATTTAGCATGGTTCCACAAGATGTACTAATCACAAACTGAAATAATTTTAAATTTTCTTTGTATTTTTCAGCAGCTATGAAAAAATTTTTACAAGACTCGTATGTAAAGAATATAAACACAGTTTTTACATCTTTATGTTGGAGTAGCGAAGCAATTGCATTCTCATATTCGTCTATTTTTGAATCTGGGTAAATTTTTTCCATGTGTTTTATACATATACTTTTGTTTAAAACAGTTCCTAAGTTAAAAGTCATTGAGGCTCCATCTTCATCTTGTGTCTGCAGAATGGCAACAGTCTGCCAGTTGAAATGCAAAGCTAATTGTAGAAGTAATTTTGATTGGTATTTGTCTGATGGCACTGTTGAAAAAATGGATGGGTAATCATTTCTCCTAGAAAATTTGGTACTGCTTGCACCATAACTAATTACTGATTTTTTTCCAACCCATAAGACATTCGACCAAAACTCAGAAAACTCTGAAGAGTAAGGTCCAATTGATATCACAAACCTTCCTGAAAGAACACGGTATACTGATATTTTTTCATTTATATTCATATTTTGCAGTTTTAGAGTGTGATTAAAAAGGATTTTAGGGTTTTTATTAATCTCTTCAATTGCAAACTCTGTTGCTTTTTCATATAAGAATTGGAAAACACATTTTGGCTCATTCTCATTAGACTTACATGAATCAATGGCGCCAGCTAAAAAAATGTCATCACCTACATAAAATATAAGTAATAATTAATATGGATAATAACAAATTAAGTTAATAAAAATAATAAATATAGGTAATAGTAATTCAATAAAAATATGAAATTAACTAATTTGTTAAATCAAATAAAAAGTAAAATAAACTTAGTTATTTTAAGTCATTCCAATGATTAAATAAATATTTAATATAAAAATTGGATTAAAAAAAAAACCTTTAGTCACTTGAGAGTGTCCTATTATAAAAAATACCATAATAATCATCTTTTGAGAGAAAAAATACTTTTTTTAAAAATTTAAGTATGCAAATTTAGCAATCATTATTCTGTTTGAAACTTTTATGTTTTAAAGATTTTGAAAGTTGTTTGATTTCAAAATTTTAAACAAATATTATTGTTTATACTGCTATAAAAGTCATATGTTTACATTTCAAATGCAGTTGATTGTTTATCTGTAGTAACTTGATGTAATTGTTGCTTAGGCTTTCATAATCACACATTAAAAGCTGTGTTTGAATGTGATTTTTACCATTATAATATTATTGTTTAGTTATAAATGCTATTCGGATAAAAACATGTGTTTTAGTTTGTGTGAAATGTTTTTTTTTTGTTTGTTTGTTTTTGCAAAACCACAAGAAAAAAATTTATGGCAAGTAGATTTTGTAACTATTAAAGTCAATCATGTTAACAAATGTAATAAATAATAAATAAATATATTGTTTAACTAAAATATGTATATAGAAAATTTTAGTTTACCTTTGTTTAAAAAAAGTGTAAGTTCCATTTTATTTTTTAAAGTGTTAAATTTTTTTAGGATTATGATTAATGCAAATATTTGAGTTCAACTATTCAACATTGTGAAATTCAAATTTAACATCTGTATTCATTTTTTCTTTTCCTGCATTTAATACTTTCTGCATATTCATTGAAAGTTTGTTATCAATTTTAATTTTTTGTAGATAAAATAATGTATTTAAGTTATATTTAATATATAAACTTTTGATAAATATTGTTATATTACTATTTCTTGCTTTTAATTAATTTTTTTTTTTTTCATTTGTTTTATTGTTTATAATAATGCTTTAGAATTAGTCTTATTTTTCTTTTTTATTAATTTTTATAATATAAATAAAGTTCTGCAATGTTTGTACTGAGTATAATATATTATTTTCAAACCACACACACACACACCCACAGATAAAATGTTAAAAAAAGGTTTATCATTAGTTAATTGAATTATGAATTATTAACTAAGTTTAATTTGCAAGTATTGTTTAAGCTCTTTACTGAAAATTGAGTTTAATATGTTTAAAGAAAATTTTTATTGAATGAAATAAAAAAAAGAACACAAAAATATTTTATAATATAAAATATATATGTGTGTGTATGTATGTATGTATGTATGTATGTATGTATGTATGTATGTATGTATGTATGTATGTATGTATGTATGTATGTATGTATGTATGTATGTATGTATGTATGTATTTGTGTATACTGTCTTTTCATTACTTTATTGCAGGTCCACTTTATTATTTTAATATAGTTGTACCTAATTATGAGCCTTTTTTTTGTTATCATTATTTACCGGTTAGGCTTAACCAGAATAATTATAAAGCAAATAAATTGACATTAACATTGTATAAAAATTACATTTTGTGTTATTTAGTATGTGTAGTATCTAGTATGTATGTAATATGTATGTAATATGTATGTATCTAGTATGTGTAGTATGTCTGTAGGTAGTATGTACTATGTATGTAATAAGTATGTAGTATGTGTAGTATGTATGTAGTATGTATGTGTTTTATGTAAAATATTTAATAATCAAAAACCCATATTCAGGTTTTCCTGGCTCATACAACCTACTACTCTTCAATATTTTCTGTCAACTGTTTCCTTGACAACTCTATTCTTTGTTTTCTATTAACTTCCAAATTAATAGTAGTTGCTTGCAGTCTTGTTGGAAGTGAATTAGATATTTATTTATTGAGTATATTTATTTAGATATTTAATTTTTGAATTATAGAATTTAATTATAGTAAAGTATTATAAATAGGCAAAAACTTTTCGAAAAATATGGGGTGCAAAATCAGAATTAAGAAGATTTCCTGATGGTAGCATTAATGAAGCTGTATTATGGTCTTGTGTTAATAAAGAGGAAACTAAGTTTATCTGTAAACAAATTGTTCATCATCTCCTACAGTTGTGAGTTTTTTGTTTTTGTTTTGTTTTTCTATATATGTAAAAAATATGGAAGTATGTATTGTTTATTCTTAATCAAAAGATTACTTTTTATAATTGTTGTTTACCTTTTAGGCATTGTAACATCCCCTCAACAAATATTTTTTATCATGGCGGAGAGTTTAATGTTTGTCTAAAAAGGAAGTATATTGAAACTGATGATCATGTCAAAAATAAACCTGGATGTGGAGAAGAGGAAGGAATTAACTTTATAAAAACATTTGAAAAATTGTGTAAGGAAATTAATGCACTTGAGAATTTACCATTAAAAATTCATTCCATTGATGGAATTGACCCTGCTTTTCGCATGACTGAGGTATTTTTATCATTAAAAGCCACATATTGTTATTTTTTTTAACATGTCATATTAATTTATTATTGTAAAGTTTTGCTAATTTGGTTATTATCGATTTCTGCTGTAGTAGTCTAGTTGTATCTTTCGTTTAGTAATTTATTTCTGTTGATTTTTTTTATTAATTGAATCTCTCAGATGATATTACTACAAACAAAATATCTCAAAAATTAAATTTGCACTATTACCATACATACACAGCAATACAGCGTAGAAACATATGCATGCATATACAGCAAAAGTAGATTTCAGTTTGCTTGTTTTTTTTATCCAAATCTAAAAACACATTCTTTAAGAATGAGACAAGTTAAAATAGCTGGGTTCTTTGATTTTTTCCTTAATTGCAAGTGAAAGCTTCAAATTATTTCAGAAAAAATTTCAAAAAGTTAAATCCTATAATTCCATGCAGTCATTGCAGTTTTAAGTTTCAGAAAACGTTTTCCCAAATGTTTGGATATATGGGTTTAAATGATAGAGTGCTGGTTTAAATGATAAAGTGTTGGTTTATGCTGGTAATAACACTATGAACTTCTTTAGGTTCTGATGTTTTGTCTGAGGTAGAGTTTTGCAAAGCTAAAATAAGTATTATATTTGAATTCAAAAAATAAAAATTGTATATTAAATTACTAAGAGGCCAAAATATATTAAACTTTTAAGCATTGTTGATTTATTTATAAGTTAATCTTACATTTATATCTGTTTTATGCTTAATTTTTATGTATCTGATTTTAATGCTATTATGATGTATTGTTTTCATTTCAAGTTATTTTTGATAAATTTTGTGGTTTTAAAAAGGAATTAAGTTTTCTTTTTATATTTATATATTTTGTGTTTTACATTATACAATTTTAAAGGTATAGTAGTTTATAGGATAATTGTCTATTCTAAACATTTTGTATGTGTGTGTCAAAGGCCATTTTGAAATATGGATGTATGCATAAAAAAAACATATGTGATATAGTTTTAACTCATTAAAAACAAATGGGTAGATCAATCATTCATTTTTTAGTTTGATCAACAAATTAAATTGAACTTCAATAGCTTGTTGGTATGTATTAAAATTCACACAAATTTTTTAAAGCTTTTAAACCACCTGAAGTGGTTCACTCTGAAAAATTCATCCTGTCATACTATCCTAAATAGTCTAGATATAAATCCTTGTAATATTATATATGTAAATATATGACAATATGATGATATATTACAAAATTTATTATTGAAAATATAAGCCTTGATAATTCGAAAATATAAACCTTGATAATTCGAAAATATAAGCCTTGATAATTCATGATGTTATATTCTAAATTTTATAATAGAATTATTTTTTGAATTGTTGCTTACTTACAATTAAGTTAGTTTTTATGACTGCTTAAAACAATCCAAATTATACAAGCATGGATAACTTTGAGAAAATCCAAGAACCTAACTATTTATAGTTGCTAATAATCACCTCTTATAAATCACCTTCTTATAAATGAAGTGTTCTTAAGTAGTGTTGTTTTGAAGCTTCTTTTTTTTTCTTTTCTTTTTTTTTATTACAAGTCTTGGTGTTTTAACACTTGTTATGTTTTGTTGAGCCAAATATTTATAGTTGATATATTTATTTGGTTTTTAATTCTATATTTATATGGGTTTTATACTTGAATTTTATACTTTACTGTATGTGTCTGTGTTTTATATTATTTAGAGCTTTTTTCTATTGGTTTTGGTAACACTAGTTCTTCTCTTTTAATATAGTTTTTTACGAAGAAGTCTTAAGGAGAGTCTTAATTTTTTTATAGGAGAAGTTTGTTTTGTGTTTTAGGTAAATACACCTCTACAGCATATTACAAAAGCTGGTTATGAAAATAAAATTATTGCTCCTAAATTTGAAAAGAAGCTGCCTCGTTTTTGTCCTGTTTATAATGGTATTTCTTTTTTACATTTTTATATAGGATAAGTCATATTGTGTTTGCAAAATGCAACTATTAAAATAAAGTACAATATGTTTACTAAAAGAAGTCAATTTTAATTTATACATAATACTTTTTTTATTCAAATAATAACCACCCCCAGGTTTATAGTGCTAGTATTTATAAGTAATTTCAATTAACCATATAGACAATTAATTGTAATTAGCCTAATAATTGTTAAAATTTAATGATTAAAAATAATAAAGTTATCTAACAAATAATAACTATCTACACAATGTTTTCCTTTTGTTGTTTGTTTTGTTTTTTTTACAAGTTTTAGTAAATTTTATTAAAAAGTGCTTTAACACTTATGTTTTGTTGAGCATAAATGGTGCATCATGGTATTGTGCATCATAACAGACTTTCAGTTGTTATCAAAGATTTTTTTTTATACTATGAAGTTAGTAAATATTAAGTTCATCAAAACAAACTGAATTATTGTTTTATATGTGATTAGGATTCACACAAAAATGTCATAAAAGTTTATGACATTTTTGTGTGAATGTTAGTAAGAAATATAACTTTTTACCATATGAGAATTTTTTGTCTAACATACTTTATACCTAAATTGTTTTGACTTGAAATTTGGTCTTGTTTAATCTTATAAATTTAAAACATTAGAGAAACTTATTAAAACTGTTTTTATAGTTGTTTTGCAATTTGAAACAAGTGGAAAATGGCCTGATGATGTTTTGGCTATTCAACACATAAAAGCTGCTTTCCACCTCAAATTAGCAGATTCCATTCGAAGTTCTATTAATATTCCAGCCGTTGCATCCCCTGGATTTGTTGATGTCATCAAGGTAATCAAAATTTATATTATAAATTCAATACATAAAATAATAATGAACTGGTGTTTAATTAATTTTTGAAGTTTATTTTTCATACTGTAATACAATTAGCTTTCAACTTCTATCTTTGTCTTTCAACTTCTATCTTTGTCTTATGTGGTATAAAAACATTTGATATCTCTACTTTTATATTCAATATCTTTGCTTATTGAAACATATATTTATGTATATGGCACTATTTATAGAAGACTATTTCTTTTTACATCTCTGTTTTTAATTTACCATAAACACACAAAAGGCATTATTAGGATGGTAAGCACAATTTAAAAAATTTTTTTTTTTTGACACCTCCCATTTAAAAACATCTTTTTTTTTTCGAGAATGAATTTTAGTAGATGACACAAGAGGTATTAGCTCATTAGAGCAGTATCCATTATTATTTCTAAAAAAGAGAAAGAGAAGCAACATTACAATGTGATAATATTTCAAGGTTGGCTGCCAGAGCAAGTCCAACTTTTTTACAATGCATTTTTGTACCTTGTCTAAAAGAGAAAAGGCATCATTAGAAGATTCACCTCAGATATGTCAACAGTATTCCATACAAGGACAGATTTGAGATTTATAGAGATAGTGAATAGAATCCAGAGTAAAAAAGTGTCCAGCTTGATAAATAGAGATGCAACCTAAACAAGTGTTAATTTTGCAGTTGATTTGATATATGGTCTCAAAGAAAGATCGGAAGTAAGAGTTAATCCTAGAAGATGAAATATAGATGACTCATCGGGTACATTACCATTTATAAATATAGGAAGATCTAAATTATTGCGATAACAATTAGCTGAAAAAATTGGGTTTTATTTGAATTCAAGTTCACCAGTCACTGTGAGCTCCATTCTGTAGCAGAAGTCAAATCTTTTTCAAGCTCAAATGCCTCCTCCAAGCAATCAGAGAGTGTTGGCTTCTTATCATGACAAGAATAAATGGTAGTATCGTCAGTAAACAATGTCACCTTAGATGTGAGAATATCTGAAATATCATTAATATAAATTAAAAAGAGTATAGGGCCAAAGATAGAACCTCGGGCAACCCCTGAAGTTATAGGAAATAAAGTCTGTCCATTGAAGACAACTTTTATACTACAATAGTAAAGGAAAGATTCAATAATTTTAAAGATGTTACTTGATACACTGTAAGAAGAAAGCTTATGGAGAAGACCAGCATGCCAAACCTTATCAAAAGCTTTAGAAATGTCAAGAACAATAGTCTTAACCTCTCCACTTCTATCTAATGTACGATAAAACCTATTGGTTATTACTAATAGCAAATCAGCCGTAGAACGAGAAGATCGAAATCCATATTGATGATGAGAAAGTAAGTTATTAGATTCAAGATGAGAGATTAAGTGTTTATTAATTAAAGATTCAAAAACCTTGCTTATGATAGGAAGAAGACTAATGGGGCGGTAGTTAGATGAATCAGATCGCTCTCCAGAATTTAAAAATAGGGATAACAAGCCGGAAAACAAGACTCTGATAAGCACTTGTTAAATAATTCTGAAAGTATAGACAACAGTTCCGGAGAACACTTCTGCAAGGCTAAAACAGGTATGTTGTCTAGGCTACAAGTTGTAGAAGAGTCTAAGCAGGAAATCACTTTTAATACAGAAGCTGGAGTAATATGTATGTCAAGCAATGGATCAACCTTGCCGTCCTCCTGAAACCGGGTCAAGTTTCAAGACTGTTCCCGAAGACAACGCTATATGCCTGTGAAAGATTTCAAAAATTTTGCATTTTTACAGTATTCTTTAAAAATAAAACTTTTCTATGAACCAAGAAAGTTTTCAAAACATTAGTATTTAAGAAAATAATTCAGGTTTGGAAACAAAACTGCATGTAAATTCAATTCCAAGAAGAAATTTTTGGATTTTGTTTAATTTTCTCTTCACCATGACTAATTTTATCAAAAATTCTTGCTGTTGAAGTCCACAAGGCAGTGAACAAGCCTCTGTCCATATTCTGGATGACCAATGGGGCGCTTGTATCTTGTCCAATGAGTATTGAAATGATGGTGGATGGCTTCTGTTGTCTGTTCACTATAAATTCCAAGAGAAGATTTGTTTTTAAAGACAGTCTTTTACGTAGAAAAAAACAGTGTGCACCTTGGGTGTCACACTCCCGCATGGTAGAGCTAGAAAGGAGCTTCTGAAAGCATCAATTTTTTCTGCAAAGCTTTCATCCAACTTGTTGCCAAAACATGCTGACACAACTTCTTCAAATTTTTGAAAACTTTCAATAATTGGAAAGATCTGCAAGGCAGCATCTTTTTCTGTCAGAGTTTGCGAAACGTCGAGGTTTTTAAGCAGTTTATATTCATTTCCAACAAATTGTCGTCCATGAAAGGCCTGAGCTTTTATGTTCAATGCTTGAAGCCACTGATCTGCTTTTGGCCATGTGTTTTTGAGAATCTTGAAGAGATGGTTTACTATTCCCAAAAGCAGATGAAGCTCCATTGGTGGTATGAGGTCAAAGACAAAGGCAGAATCACCAAGTGAGATTCGTGAACCACATTTCCAAACTGATGATGAAATGAGGTTCCAAACTGATGATGAAATGAGGTTCATGAACCACATTTCCAAACTTCTTGTTATTTTTTTTGTTTGAGCCAGCTGCTGTAAACTTATTGAAAGACTGCTTCAAAGACCAAAAAGTTCGAAGTGTCCCACAATTTGAAAGTTTTGAACTCTCTGCATTGCACCAAGTGCAGGGATGGGAAGAAGAATGTGCTTGTAAGCCACAAATGATGTTTGCTAACTTCATATCACAAGAGATAACAAAATTGACATCTTTAATGGCAAGAAGTGAGAGAATGAGTTTAACATTTGTGTAGTTTTCTTGAACTCCTTCTGCAATAGCCATGAGAAGTTGCTTTTTGACTCCAGAATTTTTAGAGGCTTGAGATGTCAGAAGACGCTTGTTGGAAGGTAAACATTCTCCATACTCCGGTTCTTTGGCAGAGACACCCAAGCAAACTTTTAAAAATCCTCCATCACCATCTATTCCAAGTTTGATGATGTGTTGTGAAATAATCTTTCGTGAGAGAAGAAGTTCTTCAATGAGACTGTTCAAGTTTTTGCAATGAGCAACAATGCAGTTTGATTTTGTCTGATCAGAGGAGGTTAATGTCATGGTACTCTGAGTGAAATTAACTACCAAGCATTTTCCAAGTTCTTGAAACTTCTTAAGAATATTTGGCTCAAAGACTTTTGCAGCAGTAACATGGTTCACTGTTGATGGTCCCATAAATACACAAAGCCTATTTAAAATTATTTCCAAAACCTAAATTTGAAAATGTTTTTAATGTACATTACCTGAAGTTATTGGCAGATATTTTCCCCCCTTGGCTTGGGCAAGACGAACTGTTCCATGAGGAGATGATTCCTTGTTTGCAAATGCTGATGATGCAATTTGTTCTGCAAATGTGCAATCACCTGCTGCCATAATTCGTAAATTTTCACGAAACTGAGCAGTAGAGCATGGATGAGGTAGACCCTACCAGTTAGAGAAAGACATTTTGAGCAAGGCCTATCAGAGCTTTGTTCTTCATTTTTTTCCATCTCTAGTGGGTGTTTTTCCTTTAATTTCAATCTTCCAATGGAGCAGATTAGGCAGTTGCATTGCTGTCCTCTTGTTTAGGGCCTAACAAGTATTGTTTCAAACTGAAATAATTGAGGTAGTTCCACTTGTTGCCCCTCATCACGTTTTCTTAAAGCAGTTCTGCATGGGTCACACAAACCTCGAGGAATTCTTAAGTCATCAAAGTCAATTGGTCGGCTATATATTTTTTGGATTTTGTCAATCAAAAATGCTGTCAGCACTCTATTGGTCTTTTTTAAAAACAATAGGCATACAGCTTTGCGGTTTTCATTGTGAGTTCGAGCTGAATTAGGCATTTTCCTTATTTTTTCAAAGAGAGCTGAAAACCCGACCTTCACAGAATTTGCGTTCAAAAAAATGTACCTTTTCCTGAATTTTTTTGTCATATTAAATATTTTAAAAATTACATGTTTTGATATTTGTGTATGTCTGTAGTTTAGTTATATATCTTTAAAAATATTTGCTGCTGTAAAATTTTTGAATGCTTTCATTTCTTATATCTGTGCAATAAGGAAAAAAAACCGTACAAGAGAGGTGGAATAGCAGATTCATCCTTACTATTGATACTGTGAAAGATTCTCCAGAAGTCATGAGAGCCTAATTTTTGAGATAAAATACAAGATTTCATGACCTGAGAATAGCAGGCTTTGGCATTAAACAAAACTTTTTTACAATGGTTTCTAGCAATAGTAAGCAGGTGTCTGTTTTCTGAAGAATTGTTTTGCTAATAGATATGGAAGTAATGATTTCAATTGGAAATTGCAGCAGCACAATATTTTTAACTCCTAAACAAAAAGACTAGCTGATTTTTTTTTTTTTTTAAAACTAAACTTTAGAGAAATGTGAAAGTTTACAACCTGTATTTAATTTAATAAACAAACAAACAATGAAGAAAATGAAATAGATACAAATTTAATAAATAAAGAAAGTTTAAATTAAGTTAGCATATTCCATACCTTCTTCTTTAATATTTTTTTAAATGAATAAATTTATATAAAATTTAATTGAATATTTTTTTAACTAAATCAAAAAAATTTTAAAATATCACTTGTTGCATGTACCAAACTTCTTTTTATTTATTTTTTTTTTTAGTCGTTTTACTTTTTTTATTAATATGAAGCTTTTTTTCTCAGTATTGCAAAAGTACTTGGTAACAATATATTTCTAAAAATAATATTTTCGGCCAAATATTTTATAAAAAAATAATTGTATGTATGGATATAGAGTTTTGATGTCATTTTTTTGTTTTACTTTGCTTATAAATGATTAACACCCAAAAATTGTTTTAGAATGGTTATGTTTTTAGTATATCTTTGGTTAATTATTTTAGAATGGTTATGTTTTTAGTATATTTGTGTTTAATTAATTTAGAATGGTTATGCTTTTAGTATATTTGTGTTTAATTATTTTAGAATGGTTATGTTTTTCGTATATCTGTGGTTAATTATCGTGAAATGGTATTGTACCAAGAAAATTTGAATGTTGGTTCTCTTCTTAAAAAAGAGTGTGAATTAGCTGCTCACCAACTTGATGTTATAATTGTAAAAAAACCATTGCACAACTCTCTAATTAAAAGGTCTAAATTATAATTTTTGATTATTAACCAAAATATAGGGTACATTAAATATCTGTTATTAGTGGTAGAGTTGAGTTATGAGCGACAAGGTGACACGATAAGTGACAAGGTGACACGGTGGGCTTGTGTTGTAAAGGCTTTAACCCTATTCTTTAACATTTAAGTATGATTTTTTTGTTTTTTAACACTGGTGCTTACTTAAGTTAGTTCTAAGCATGATACTGGTTAATAGTGAAAAAGATGTGTAAGGGGGAGGTGGTAAGGGGGGAAAATACTGACTAGTGATCTCAATTTATATATCAACACTTGTGAGTTGTTTGATTTGAAAGTTCTTTGAAATAAAAAGTTTCAATTGTGTTAAAAAGTTGAAGCTGAGTTAATATTGAAAAATTTTTGAATTTTTTTACCTTGAGTTTTCACTCCATTATTTTAAATAAATATCATGTTGATTTGTTTTATTAATTTTAACTTGAATCTTAGTTTCAATCTTCTACAGATTGATGGCTAGATATGGTTTCTCTCTATAAATGCAAAGGTTGTAGTTATAACTCTGTCTAATTTTTGTATTTTTTCAAAAGCAAAGAAATCTTAAAATAAACCATTTTATATATATATATATATATATATATATATATATATATATATATATATATATATATATATATATATATATATATATATATATATATATATATATATGTATATATCTGTGTGTGTGTGTGTGTGTATATACAAAAAATTTATATTATTTTAATTATTGCATAGTTTTTTTATATTTTGTGTGCGATAAGTGTTTATTTTTCAAGACTCTTTTTCTCAGGTGTTTTATTATGGATCAAAATTTTATGAAAAATCTTGCATACTTTCACCAAGAGCCAAATCACTCTAAACTATGTTACATTGGGTGGCTTAAACAAATCCACAGTTGACACAAGTTATGCTGAATAAAACCAACATTAATAAAACAAAGTTTTACAGTTGAAATCTAAATTACAATTTAACAAGAAAATTGCAAAAAAAAACAACAAATCTGATCTTTATATATTCTAAATTCAAGAGATATATATCTTAGAAATAAAATAAAAATTTAATAGTAAGGTATAAAGAGAAGAAGTAACAACAACTATATTTTACAAAACATTTCTAACAAATTGATGAACGCAATTTTAAACATTTTAGTTTTTTAGAATAAACTTTTCACGCACACTTAAAAAAAATATTTTTAAAACAAAATGTATTTTTATCTTTTTAAGAAAAAACTGAAAATATTTTCTTTAATGAAACTTGGATTTCTTTGAATAAGCTTCATATTAATAATATTTTCCATCTAGTTTTTACAAAAGTTTTGTTCCATAGATAAACGAGTAGTTTTGTCCAATAGATAAATGAGTAGTTCTGATTTATGTAAAGGAAAACATTGTACACAACGCTGTAAAAACAAGTAGGTTTCTGAATCAAAAACTCAAATATATTTGGAATGTTATGTTCAATGTTTTCAGAAATGATGGTGGGGAAAAAAGGGTTATCCGCCATTTGATAAAGCTACCCATGCATTAACCAATGGGCGGGTACCCATTGACAGTCTTACATAAGAATACTTGTAAAAAAAATTTTTTTTTCAAACTAATAAACCTTTTTTTTGTGCTTTTAAATCCTATTATATTTTCAAGCAGGGGCATCTGGGATTCATCAGGGACATATGGGATTGTCTAAGACCATTTAAAAGTGCCAAAGCTAATAATTATTTTCATTATCTCATTAAAAGCTCAATTCATGAAAGAAATGAAATGCTACAAATAGGAATTTAAAATTAATTTTTCATTAATTTTGTATTTATAGTTTAAACAGTCAATATCATGAATACCCTTTAACAGTCAGATTGGCTAAAAAATGGATAGCTGCCCAAATGTTTTCTGAATTTCTCTCAGAAGAGGCAGTAGAGCTTATTGTAGCTTTTTTGTTTTTATGTCCACAACCATCAGAAGCACCAAGGTACGTTTTAAAAGCTGAATAAAAAAAAAGAGAAAATACAAACAAAAAGTTGTAATTATTTTTATGTTCTTTATAATAAATATATTATATTTATTATTATAATGATAACAATAATAGTAATAATAATAGCAATAACTGTCAAACTAGATGTCACATGTCTGGCTTTATACGCTTCTTAGAGTTTATGTGTAACCATGATTGGAATAATGAACCAGTAATTGTTAATCTCAACAACCAAATTACAAGTAAGTTTTTCTTAATACTGCTTTTATATGAAAATCTCTCAGGTAAAAGTCATAATAGTAATAAAAATTTAGATGAAGAATTTCACAAAATAAAGGAGAATTTCGAATTGAACAGAGATCAGCTATCTCCTATGTGTGTGGCTTGTTCATATGATCACCAGGGAGGATTGTGGACAAAAAATATAAATAAGCAGGTTAGGTAAAACCCTTATCACTTTTGTGATTAATTAATGTTTAAGTTTTGTATTTTTTTTAACTAATAGCTAATTATTTAAGATTCTACGTCGTTTGGCGTTGCTGGCAGACTCCGCATTAAAATACATCGACTCAAACATATGGTCAAACGTTTCTATTTCTGTTGAAGTAAGCTTTCTGACTAAAAACACACTTTATAACCTTCATTATATGTTAATTTGTCTATTTTGTTTTAATAAATATTTTTATTGCTATTTTTAATTTGTTGATTACTTTTTTTATTGTTATTACATGTTTATCTAGCTAAGTTTTCTATATATTTAGCCTATATTTCGTCCTCCGATCAGCGACTATCACGTTGTTATTGAGTTAAAAAAGGAGATGGTTCCTCTTTATTATTTAAATATTGATTCCAATATTCGTTCCAAATCATTTGCAATTAAAGATTCTATTGTGAGTACATGTATGCCTGTGGCTGATTTCAATCCACCAAAGCTATATCTAGAAGAGTTACGCGTAAGAATTACGTTCTTGTATTTTTTCCCCTGTTAAATTGCGTAAAAATAAAATATATATTTATAAGTTTTGTTAAAACATCATGCAGACAAGATCAAAATTAGATGCCAATAATTATAATTGTTATAATTAGCATAATTTTTGTTTTATGAAACAAAAATATGAAACAGTAAATTAAATTTAAAAATGCTTTTTTTTGGGATAGGTATACTTGATCTTCTCTGTTGTCACGCCGGTGTATTTGATTCCTATGTTTATATAATAAATACTTAAAAAAATTGTCGAAACAAAGTTTAGTTTATAATATTTAACTTTTCGTTAACTTTAGTAATTGATATTTTATATAATATTAGAGTGCGTTCTCGGAGATTGCTTTGTTTTTTTACGATGCTTATGGAGGAATAAATATTGGAGTTATTTGGAAGTTAAGTGCGTTAACTCCGCAACCTTTTAAGGTGATAAAAAATTTTTGTAAAATTATAAATTTTACTGTTGCTAAGGCAACAGTAAAATTTATAAGTATTTCTTATTATTTTCATTTATTATTTACTTATTACTTTTAATTATTTATTATTACTGTTTATTACTTTTATTATAAAATTTGTTTTAGATTTTGCATGCTCGTTACCAAACTCTTGTCAAAGCTGATATAAAGAAATCTAAAAAAAAGGTCTTTTTTTTTTTCTATTTTACGTTAAAATTTTAATTTAACTTGTTTGTTGGTTTTATCGTGTTTTTATAATTAATTGCGTTTTGACCAATAGATCGTGCCATGTTCAACACCAATGTCTATACCAAATATTTCAGCTATTATTGATGACTTCAAAATTATAGGAAAAGGCCTGGTCAACAATGTAACTGTCTTGAAAAAAAATTAACTGTTTGGAATTATTTTTGTGTTAGTTGGCGTCCGTACACAAGAATTACGCGAAGTATTATTATTATTAATACAATATTCTATTTGAGATTAAAATGATGTTTTTCTAACAAAATTTTCTTTACAAAATTCTTTTAAAAGTTTGTGCTCGATCAGTCAGTTTTGTATAAATAGCAGATACTCAATATCAACCAAGTTTAGGACAAAATGCTTTTAGCTTTTAATACACTTCAATCTCTTTCATTTAAGTTTTATGGGGAAAAATAAATGTGATAGGTTTGAGTGATTTTCAAATTATATAAGGTTGACTTTTTCCAATTATTCTGGACAAAGTAAAGAATAAAAATGAAATAAACAAATAGTGACTCTAAGACCTAAATGCAATATATGAGTTTTAAACTTTTACATTTTCAAAAAAAGTCAGTAATTGTTGATTGTCTTTTATGAGCTTTTTAATTCCATGTCATTGAAACGATTTTTTTTTTAAAAGCCTTTGTCAGATTAACTCCTAAGTTAAATTAAACTTCTTTTTATTATTATTGTTAATTTTTTTTTTAAAACAATTTACATTTAATAGTTGTACAGTTTTATAAAATAGTTAACATAAAACATAGTTACATAAATAATAAGTAAAACAATTGCAAACCTCGTAAATTTAATAGATACATAAGTTATTCATGAAAAAATACAGCGAGTTATTAAGCGTTTAAAAAAATTTCTTATAGCTTTTTCTTAACAGAGAAAACTCCATTCATAAAAAAAGTCAAAATGTTTTAAAACTTTTGTTCCAAAGAGAAGCTTAACGAAATAAATGATTAGTTTTAAAAAGTCGTTGCCTTATTAAGGTAGTTCTATACTAATAAAATCAAAATTTTAAAAATGCACTCATATTTTATGATTTTCATATAAGAAATAGTATTTTATATTTAAAGCACAGTAAAGGAAAAAATATGGACTACGCGCTGCGATAAACAGTCTGTAAACTAATAATGGTATGATCATGAAATTTTCACAGCTTTTTAATATCAGATGATTACACTCACCCTGCCAAAATCAAATAATTTAACTAACTATTGAAGCTTTTGTAATAAAACCGATTTAAGGCCTAAAAAAAGCCCTGAAAAGGCTTAGAACCTAGACCTTATTTGTAGAACCAGTTATCTAACATGAATTCTTTTGGTAAGGTGCATACATATAATAAACAACTCCTAAAAATTTCAACACAATCAGACAAACCAATATCAAGATATTTATCGCAGCGTGCAAAATAACTCATATATTGAGAAAAACAATAATAAAGATTTTTTAATGAAAAAAAAATTTAATATATAAAAAGGTCAAAAAATTATTGAAAAACAAAAAACTTGAACATTATTAAAAACGCAGAAAAAAATGTGAAAACTCTAATATTTGAAAAACATTTAACCAAAATAGAATTATTCAATCAAGGAAAAAAAAACTTGAATATAGAAAATAATATACAATAACTACATTAAAAAAATATAATAACTGCTTTAACATAAATTTAATTTAAAAGGTAACAAAAACCTAATATCTAAAAAACTCCTGCTTCATAAGATGCACCATCAATTTGATTTACTATATCTGTAAAACCTTTTCGTTCAGCTCGAAGCAGCTTTCTTCTTTGTTTTATTGAATCAAGCGACTTTTTTTCCATCATCTTTATTCTTTCTTGGTCTATTTTGGTACAGAACTGAGTAGCAAATGTAGCTGGTGTACCTCAGCATGTGCGTTGAAATCCCCGTCTCCAACGTAATGAGTATGTCAAAGTCTCCTTTTGTCTATAGATTTCATAAAACAATCTTCAATTCCAGAAACTTCGTGGTTGTTTAAACAATCATGGATTTCCAAAAAAATTTCATAAAGTTCTGGATTGCTATCTTTTTTTGATTCCCATGATGTTCAGGCACTGCATATTTTTGAAAGAACTCGATAGTAAACACATTTCCCTGAGTCATTAGCAATAATAGTAACAACACCATTAAGTGAGGAATCACCCCAAGTTCACAGGAAACAACAACATCAGCTATTACATTAATATCAAAATCATTTGGTTGGATATCGTTGTTAAGATATCGAAATTCATTTGCTGCATTTTTTATTTTCACATCAGCTACACTTTAGTATATGATATGAATTCTATCTTGAATACCATTAAATGATTTTATGTTTATTGGAGGAGGTAAGTTCATTAACCACAAAATTTATCCAAACCAGAATAACCTTTTCTTATCTCTCTAATTACAACAACAGATCTATAATTTATTTTAAATGGTGACATTTCTGGACCTTGCATTTCAATCTCTTTGCTAGAATATAAAGACTGTTTCCAATCGCACGAAGATGTTGCTCAAGAAATGTTTAAAAACACTGCCAAGCCTTTCTTTTTTGATAAATCAGTTGAGATTTTAATTGAATTGTTATGGCATTGAGGACAATGTCCAATCAAAGTAACAATTGATTTTAACATGTCTGTGTCAATAAGTATAAAGCATGAAGGCAATTAATTTGAATCATTAATTTTTGCATTACTACTTTTACTGCTATGTGATGTCAAAATTTTTGATTGAGTTGAGTTACTGATTACCGATTGAGAAGTTAAATTAATGCTGATTGTTGATGCTGAATAAAATTGATTTCCTCTAAAGAATTTTTTTTTTTTTTTGAAAATCCTGTTTCCGGCGCTAATGCAGTTTCTACCCCCTTATTTTATTGCTGATTATGATAGAGAATTTTATCCTGATTAAGAATCGTATAAAAACATAGGTCTGAAAATCAACAGAAAGTGCTCTAATTCGGTGTTGAAGTTTAATAAATTACATTAAAAAACGCTTATATTTGCCATTTTTTAAAAACGTTTTACATTTTGAAATCGATCGTTTAGAAAACCTTTTTTTAGTTACGCGACCCGGTTTTTATTGACATCAAAATTAAATTTCATCATTGGGGTCGTCCATAAGTTACGTCACGCAATTTTAGACTGTTTTCGAACCCCCCCTCCCTCGTCACAAAATTGTAACACTTAAGAAGCGAGTTTTGAATGAGTCGTCACAAAACCACCAACCCCCCTCCCCCTTATAACGTGACGTAATTTATGGACGACCCCATTACATTATTACAAATTAAACTTTCAGTGCAAAGGCTTCCGGAATGGCGGACGCTTTTTTATAATGAATTTTATAAATAAATTATATGAAAAAATAATAATAATAAAAGATAATTGAATCAAGATTTTATCAATCATATAAATTTAGTTATGGCAGTTACTCGAGATGACATTAAAAAAATATTGAAAGAGATGTTTAGTGATTACAAAAAACAATTTGAAGAAATATTAAAACAACAAGAAATAAACATTATTGCCATTCAAGCGCAAAAATAATTCATGACCGCTTAGGTAAAGTTTAAAAAAAATATAAACGACAATGCCGAACGAGTTAAGTCAATAATAAAAGATGTTGAAGAAATTATTGTATATTATTATATTTTCTCTTTATCACCCGATAGTAAACTACAGGTAAAATAATATTTAAATAGTCAAACAATAAATTAAAAATCAGCTAAAACAACACGGCTCTTGTAGTTGTTAGCAATAAATGCTGATAAACAGCCGGTTTGTTTTCCACATATTATTGGGAGTTCTAGGAACATTCTCCTCCATCAAGATTTTAAACGCCTCTCTATTTTCTTTCAAATTCCAAAACTGGAACGTTTCTTTCAATATTAGCATGACATTAGTTTGTAGCTCTACGATGGGTTGCGTCAATTTAATTTTTTTGCCATTTAACATGCACAGTATGAAATTTAAATCAAGTGTGTTGCATGCATCAAATACTTCGTTTGTAAAGAATTTTTTATTCTGTGTTTTCTGTATTTGATTAATTATTAGTGAGTAACAAGTTTGATTCTTCAGCAGCCTCATAAAAAGATTAACTTTGTTCCTATGGAGAATAGTTGAGATATCTTTTATTTTAAAAAAAGAATGAAGGTTAATTTTACTGGGTTATTTTTACTTTTACTTCGAAATACAAAAAAATGATTTTAAGACTGCTCTTCCAACAGCGTCTATTTTGCTGAGAAAATTAGTATCATATTTACATAGTTCAAGGCCATATATAAGCTTCGGCACTGTTAATGTATTGTACAGATGAACAATTGTTGATGGCTGGCAGTAACGAATCCCACTGTCAATTAGAGCTTTTGCAACTGATTGAAACTGAGTTATACGCTTATTTAAATTTTTCTTTCGGAGTGTTGCAATTTTATTTTTGCTAGTATCGTTATCCCATTGGAAACCCAGATGTTTTAATTTATTTTGAAGATGTATAGAAACTTTATTAATTTTAACAACGTTGTTAGGAATATAACTTTTTCCAGAAATCAGAAATTCTGTTTTCTCAGTGTTTAGCTTGATAAAGTTTGTTACTCCATATGTTTGAATCTGTTAATCAGTTCCTGCATGCTGTAGCGCCCTGTTTCCCTCTTAAATTTAAATCACATTTAATTTTTCCCATAACAAAAATAAGCACAAGGCAAATAAAGTATAACACGAGGCTGATAATTTTTTTTATAAGTAATATATGTAAACATAGTAATTGTACTTAAAAATTATGGCTTATTTAGAAAAGTAAACATGAAACAATTACTGGCACCAATGTCAAAAACTTATAGTAAATGGCGCAAGATTCTAAAAAACCTATTTTCTAATATAAACAACCCGTTGCTAAGGCCGTTGCTGAGAAAATTATTTAACTTCACTATGAAACTTGCTATTTTAGAGCATTTTTAAATTCACTCCTTTTAATGATCTATATATATTTGGAATGTAGAATGTTTGGGCTTCAAGAATTTGCAATTTTTGAAAAATCGTTTTTTTTAATTTTTTTTAGTTTTGGACCACCTTAAACTATTCAAAATTATTTGGCGTCATGGAATATCCCAACATTTTACTTAATTTAATCAAACTTCTACTTGACTCTTAAGGGTCATGCAAACAGTAATCAAGATATTTTTAGACACGCATTGCTCTTGAGCACTTTGTTTAAAAAAACACATTAATTATTTGAAGACTATTCTAGACTTTGATGTCTATTTCATTTGCTTCGCAAACACCTTCAACTTGGTCTCAAATATTGTCTACATCTATTTCCGCATCAGGAAAAAAACAATGCTTAAGCTTCATATCAAGGTCTAACTTGATTCACGTAACTTAATATCTATATATTTCGTCCACCACCCTTACATTATTTTTTTCCAGCGATAACAACTTCCGGTAATTATGTTTTTCATCGCTCTGATCTATTATTTTTATTATACTATGGTTTTTATCCACAACTCCGTTTCCTTTAGGGCAATAATTGAATCAAAAAGTAATATACACTCACCAACAGTCAAGGAAACTCCTCATTTCTTAAACGTCGCTTCATTATCTATTAATATTATGACACTTTTATATATTTTTTAAATTTATTTACTTGCGACACACTGTTAAATGACCCATCAACTGTCTACAAACTAAAAACAGTACTTTCCTAGTTTTAAAAATTCTTTGACTTGATTCCTTCTTTTTGACTCGAACCACGTCAGTTTGTCACCAGTTTTGCGCACATATATTTTCCCCACACATAGAGTCTATTACCGACAACCTGTTTAATTTCAATGTAAAACTAACCATATTTTTCAAAATGTTACACTACACAAAATGTAAGTTCTTAATTAATGATCGCGTTCTCACTGGATTTCTTAATCATTGGCGCAACGTTCAATCCAAAACGAAGTTGTGTTAAACAATATCATTTGTTGTGTATTACCAAAGTTTTGAACGACCAAAGGTATTCCTTAGGTTTCAACAAAAGATGTCTTGCATACAGGAACTACATGAACAGGGTGTCCCACCTCTTACCCCCAAAAAGCTGTTATATATGCATGTGAGTTGGTACATTTAACATTTGAGTTGGCAAGTTTTGAAGGATAGTTGGCAAATGTCAAATATCAAAGACCTTTTTTTTTTCAACTTTGTGTGTCTCTAGTTGGCAAAAAACTTATACAAACCCCCTCTTCTCCCCACCAACTTAAAAAAATTGTCACCCTATTGTTAAAAATTGTCTGCCTATCATCTTTGAAAACGTGTCCACCATAGTTGTTGCTACCATGCCATCAACTTTTAAACAAATAATAGATGTTCTAATTTTACTCTTTCATTTGTTTCCCTACATCTTTGAGCATCTTGAAACCACGTGCCCTTTTATCACCACATTTAAAACACCAAAAATTATTCTTATAAAACATGTTTTTTACAAATAAACAGTTCTTTGCAACGTCGTGCAACCCATTACAATTGTAACACACAAAAGAAATTTTCGCAGGACGATGTTAAGAAGCGCCAATAACATTACTGTCATCTATTTTCCCGTGATTTAAAGCTGCTCTCGCTTTGGGCAACATAATATTATTCGGATTTATCGCTGCTCAAAACTTTGATAATAAAATCTTGGGCAATCCCAAGACAAAGGCCAATCATACTGAATTTTCTAACAATTTAACAAGATTAGCCAAACATTCCAAATCAGCCTTAAAATACGTTAGCTCTTTTTCTCTTTCAACTTCAAATGCATCTTGATTATTTTCAACGTTTTTTGTACCACCTACTAAAATTTATTCTCGTGTAACTTGTCATTCAGTTAAGTCTCATTCCTTTACTGTGACTGCTCCTAAGTGCTCCAACAATTCTTATTTGTCTAGTTTTTTTCCTCTAACATCAGTTCTTTGAAATTCGCTACCTTCATTTTGTTTTCCTGATTCATACAATTTGCAATCTTTCAAGTCGTTTGTTAATCGTTATCTTGCCGTATAAACTTCATCTTTTCTCTTCTAGTAACTTCCAAATCTAATACCTGACAATCTTGTTGGAAGTGAAGATGTTTTTAAAAAAACTTGATTCCATGCCTGGTTAGCTTGAAGTTTTTTCGCATTGACACAATACTAAATTAACATGTTTTCTCTTCTTAACTCAATAAGTAACTCTCCTTACAAATTCTAATAAAAGTTTATACTAATTTACAAATCTCAAAAAATAACAAACAATTTCACATTAATCCAAATAAAAACATTAGAAAATACACTTTACATCGTACAAACATTAAAAATAATTATCAATTAAAAAGCCACTTAAATTATAAACCACTTAGCGTCATGGAATATACCAATGCTTTATGTAATATAATCATATTCTGCCATTTCTATTTTTATTTGAGTATTACCTCTAGCTTCTTTAAACAGTATTTGGTCTCGCTGGCCTGCACTTAAATATCTTTTACTGTGCTTTTGTTTGTTGTTAATATGTTGTAGTATACAACTTTTTTTTTTCCAGGAATATAAAGATTTTCTACATTATTGCTATTTTTAACTACCTCAAACTCTTCTGATAAGTCTTGATTGATTGTTAACAGAGTTTCTTCGGTTTCATTAAAATCATCCTTATTTTTTGCCAAATGTTAATGGTTTGTATTAGCTAAACCACCCCTCGACCAGGAAATGAGTCATAAAACTCAAATGCAAAATTTTACTTTGACTACCATTATCTTACGCACTGCTATCTTTTGCAAGGTAATGGAAAGTCTTATACATGGACACATCACTGATCACCTGACCAAAAATAAACTCTTCGACGATGCTCAACGCAATTTGCAAAAAGGAAAAGGTTGTCTCACAAACTAAAACTCACGACATCTTAACATAAGCTCCTAACAAAGGTCACCCAACCAACATCATATTTACAGACTTTGTAAAAATGTTTGGCAAAACTTCACACTGTTGAATACTGTACAAACTAAAATTGTACGGGGTGACTGACACCTCACAAATGGATTGAGAGCTGACTAACCAACCTACGGCAACAACGTGTTGTTACACGCCAACAACGTGTAACAACTGATAATAACAAATCTGAATGGAAAACATCCCCACCCGTGGAAATCTCTAGCTATGTGCCACAAAGGTCTGTTCTCGGACCACTCCTATTTTATCTACATAAATATTCTACCAGAAAAAATAATATACCGTTTCAAAATATATGCAGACGACTGTAAAATCTGTGTTATCAAATTGAACGAAGACACCATAAAACTCTAAGCCGACATCAATGAAGCACTGTCATACACGTGGCTAATGTCTTTAAATGTTGATGAGGGCAAAGTCAGCCACAGGTCGCAACAGCAACAAAAAAAATTAACTGCAATCAACACAATTAATAACACTGCTGGTCAACTGTACTAGCTATTGTTCACTACATCTAAACAAGATTTAGGATTTGTAATAACTAATAATTTTAAGATCAGAAAGCAAGTATGCCCAGCTGCATCAGTTGGCAACCCTGTGCCTTGCATGCTCAAGAGTACTTTTCGAGGCCTGTGGCCTCGAAAAGTATTTTTTAAGGAGATCTTACTGAACAATAGAAAATTTACAGCAAAATAAACATTCAAAAATTTTGCTTTAAATTTAACACAAAAATAACTTTGTCTCTCGGTCAACCAAGCTCAATAACTTCAAAGAAAATGTGCAAAAACAAACAACTTCCTTATCAACCGTGTGATCTAACTATGGAACGCTTTAACTCAAAATTCGGAGTATTCAACAAATCTGCATAGCTTAAAACACGAACTATCTTTACTATAATACATCTTAACTGTAGCTTGAAAGCTGAAGACTGTATTTTCATCAAAGAGTGGCCTGGTGTTGCGGCCTAGTGAGCGGCCTGGTGTTGCGGCCTAGTGAGCGGCCTGGTGTTGCGCTCTTCATAATAATTATACAGATTAAAACAAGATTGGTCGCAAAACTAATAAATAATTTAATTCATAGTAACGATAAGTGAAAATAACAATAAAATATAACTGCGAGATTGTTTTGTCAATTTAAAAAATTTTTGTTAATACAAAACAACTTCGCTTTGTTATTTTATTGTTGTTTTATACAGTTGTTATGTTGTTTTATTGTTGTTTTATACAGTTTATAACAATTTAAAATATAAAACGAGTTCAGAATAAAACCTGTTTTATTTTCGGTTAAGTATAGTTATTAACCTACGTTTTAATGTTTTTCGCGTTTATGTAAGATAAGCCAATTTCTATAAAGTTAAAAAAATATTTTGACTAAAGAAACTATCGAAGCCTTCTTAAACGGGTTAGATAACAGCTCGTAAAGGAGCGGCTTACTGTTTATATAATACTGCAAATAATTAAACTACTTTTTGTGCATATCTCTGTTGTTTTTTATTTAATTACTTTTTAATATAGTTGATTCCTAAACCTTTTTCTTCCAAAAAATAGCTTGTCGTGTAAACAATATTATTGCACTGTGAACGATTATTTGTTGGTGTTATGTTTCTGTTTTTCTCCAATAAAAATCAGTTTCAATTTTTGTTATTAAGAACACATTGGGATATCAATTGAAAACATAACAAAAGTCTCATTCAAAAGATCACAAAGCTAGAAAAAAAAAAAAATTGAAAACCTGATTCTGTAAAAATTGCTTTATTTGATATAAAAAATATTTACATTTCATTCATGAATCTAACCACAAACTTGTAAATATGGTTACAAAATTGTAACTTAAATCTTATTGTAACTTTGGGTTTTCAAATCTGAAATTTAGAATAAAAAGAGAGAGTTTTTTTAACATATTAAAACTTAAAAAGTATAATTTAAAAAGTAACAACATAACATGTTTAAAAAATGTTACAAATATTTGGATATCTTATTTGCAAACATTTGAACTATTTAATAATAAGACGTGACTCGCTAACCGTTTTCATGGTGGTGCGCTGACAAATTTTAAAAAAGTTGTAAAAAAATGTTTTTAAAAGGATATAGGTTTGAATGTGAATAAATTTTTTAAAATAATGTTACTCATGACTAGTTGTATTTTTCCTTTATAGGGCTATTTATTTCAGAAAACCTAAAAAAACTAGAAAGCTTTATGAACAAACTTGCATCGAAACTTAAAATTCATATCAATATGTTGAAGCTCATTAGGTTTTTTCAGTAAGTTTTTTTTTTAGTTAAAAGTATATACATAAAAGTTATAAATAAAATAGTAAATAGTTTTTAAAATATCTATTACGTTTTTTTACAATGAAATGATTTATTCAATCGTTCAATCAACCTGTTAGTCTCATATTTTTTCAATGCGCCTGACGTCACTTAATAGCCAACAATTACTGACCATCAAAAACAAAAAGTTTTCCATTGTTTCGCGATGCTTCAGAGTTTTGTCGATAATCGATTTAAAATAAAAATATACAAAATTTTGAAAATATTACTTTTGTTATGTATACATATATCTTAATTATTATTGTTATATAATAATAATCATGATTATTATTGTTATTGCTATTACTATTATATATATTTAATGACATAATTATATTAAGGTGGTAGTACAGTAATTGGAAAAAAAATTTATATTCTACTTTTACAAATGTTTTTTTTTCCTCAAATTGTTTAATATATTATTAAAATGCTAAAAAAAATTGAGAAAGTTTTTTTAATAATTGTTTATTAATCATTAAAGGTCAAAAAATGGGGTAAAAGACGAAAAAGATTTTTCAGCAACTGTTCATAATTTAATAATAAGAAAAATGCAAGTAAAAAAAAAAAGTAAACAAACAAAGTTCAAAATTCTTCACTTTTTTACATTACACTAACTAATGCTTTATTTTGATTGCAAAAACTATTTTGTATTACTAATAACATTTTTTTTTGATTTTGTTTTATGGTTACATTGCTTTTCTGCTACTGAGACTTGTTTGGTGTCTTTACGTAAACTATAAATTTCCCCTTTATTACTAAAGGTCATTACAAACTCAATAAAAAAGTTTTTAAAAAAACTGTTGTCTATTATAGAATTTAGAACAGCTGATCCTACTTCAATACTTAGAGCAGTTCTTTCAACATGTATATAATTCAGACATCTTGTATAATTTGATTTAGCAATTCATTGGAACTCTTTTTTTTTCATTTCATTTTCAGAAAAGTTATCAAAAGAAATGATTATAAGTATTGGTTTGATAGTGTACACAACAGCTAAAAAAAAATTAAATTATATGTCATTTTTTGAGCCAATTTTTAAGATTGGAATTTATACCATAAACCTTTTGGTGCGCATGCAAAACTGATGGCAATTAATACCCAATTCACAAAATGCTGGTTTATGCCAAATACACTTATATTTAATTAGATCATTTTGTTTTACATTTCTTTTTAGCAGTAGTAGCAGATAAATAAATTAACAGTTTCTCATTAACAACCATTGCAACAAATTTTTAGTCCTATATCAATGCTTTCTTTTTTAGAAAAGTTAAAATGTAAATTTACAAAATCTTTTTATTCTAGACATTTAAGAAGCATAATTATGTTTTTAGCTTATAATAAAGTTAAAATCTTCATTAACGTTTTAAAGATCCTGTACAACTTCTTTGCTGGACAACTTATTGAAGGAGGAGGATTCTGAAATATTTTTAATTGAACTTCAGTCTGAAAGTATAGCATTGGTTTCTTTAAAAATGTAAACCCTTTTATCACTTTTTTCATGACACTTTAATTTTTCATTTAGTAAAGCTTTTCTGACAATACTTTTCTTTTTTAACTATCAGTCAATATAGAGGTATTTTTATACATTTTAAACAAAAATTAGATGCAGATAGTTTTTTTTGCAATCCAAGAAAAAATTAGGAATCTACTATGATTTTGTTGACAAATTTTTGAAAAAATGATTTTTTTTTAAATTTTAATTACTGTACTACCCCCTTAATTATTTTATATATGTTAATATTATATATACTAAAATTTTTATTAAATATCATTATATTAAAAAATGATTTTTTTTTAATTTTAAAATTAAATTAAAATTAAAAAAAAAAAGATTATTGTCTACTAGATGAATAATAATTTCGTCTCACAAGGAGAAAAACAATTGTTGAAATAATTTAGTTCCCAGAATGTCAATACATTTATAACAAAAGTAAATTCATTTTATAAACAATATATCTCTTATATTAAACTGTGGGAAAGTAGTTTTAGTGGAACTGAGATATTTGTATGAATTGGATTAGATCATGTATTGAAGTGGGAGAATGTTGAACAATCTGCTGAAGCTATAAACAATATTCATGGTTCAGGTAATCAACAAAAAATTAATATTGTCATTCTTTTCAATGAGATTTCAAATGCAAAAACATTTTTAGCATCAAAGAAGGAAGAGTAGAGTTTATTGAAAATCCAAATCGCCTATGTTGAAAATGGGCCCAATAATTCAAGCATTTTCAAGAAAAAGATGGTGATGGTGTATCTAATCTGGATGGTGTATCTAATCTGGTAAAATTTATTGAATGCATTATGTGTATGCAAGAAACATCTGCAACTATAGAGGTTATTTTTTTATTCATGAAAATATTTCATAAAAGGGTCAGATGACAGGCTTTTAGGAGGAGTCCACTGTACGCCCATTTCTGTACCGCAAGTTAACATTACATGCTTACTTTTTTATGAGAAAATTAAAAAAATCATAACTTACTAGAAAAAGTACATTCTACCGAAAATTTACACTATTTAATTTCTTGAAAATGCATTAATTTAGAACCTAAAATTTATTTTATACTTTTATATCTAGTATTAAATAACTTCAGTGTTGTAGTATACATACAAAACTTTTTAAGCGTACAAGATTTTATGATATATTCATAATTCATTATTTGATAAGTGTTTGTTGCTTGTTTTTTTATTTTTTTTATTTTATAGCATTTTTTTTTGTAGAAAAAATGATGGAAAGTTAAAAAGTTTTTATCGACCGCTTTCTGTGCTACCACATGCTGTTTCTGTTCTTAATGGAAAATTTGAATCTTTATCTGAAAATGTAAAAGATTTTGTTAATAAAAAAGTTGATCTATGCCAACCTGATAGTTTATTTATTTGTAATGGGTCTCAAGAGGAAAAGAATCATCTTACTGATTTACTTGTAAAAGCTGGAAGTGCAAAAAAACTTCATAAACTAGATAACTGGTAAGTGCTAACAAACCTCATAAAAAAATATTCAGCGCTATATATTATCTATTTATAGCAATATATTTTAACGTATATATATTTGAGTTGAAACTTTGTAAAGTATATTAGTACAGTGTCAACCTTAGTTTGCAGTAGTTGATATTAAAGAAACCCTAATTGCACCTTAGTGCATGTATTGACACTTTAGAAAAAGATAAGGTGCAAGGTGTTCACAAAGTTGAAAGTATCTTTTTAATGTTGGAATAAAAAAAAATATATATATATATATATATATATATATATATATATTTAAGTAAGCAAGTTATATTATATAAAAAAATACTCAACTAAATAATTTAAGTATATTTAATAATTTGAATCGTATCTGTTTATAATAAACGTTCGTAAAAATTTGTTTATTAAAAATTAAGTTCCATTTTATAAACAAACTCAAAAGTATTTTCATTCTACGTATAATTACAAAACTCTTTTTGTTTTCGTTTGTAAGCAATTTAATAAAATAAAAAAAGAATAAAGATGAGGTAATCTTTGTTAAGAACAAATTAAATTTATTTATTAAACTATATTTTTATTTATATATCAACTTAATTAAAATATAGTAACATGTTAAAATATTTTAACATGACTTGTGTTATTTATAAACCGTAGGGCAGCTGCCATTGTTTTTGGATAATATTTTATTTTGATGAAGATCACATAACTTACATTTGATTTTCATAAAGTCTTCTCTTTTTCTGTGATCATCGCATCGCCAAAGCATCAGCAAAGTCCCAAAATTTAAAAGTTTTTAAAGTAAATCTTTTTTCCTTCAAAATACAATCTATATTCGAACTTTAAACAATTTAGAGAGAATAGAAATATACAATGTTTTTATATACTAGTTTGTCTTGTTTTATAAAGAAAAATACATATTCATTAGTAAAAAATAGAGGCTGTCTTTAAACTAAAACGTGCCTTAGTATTTATTTAACGGAATCTGTAATGTGCGCGTGCATAATGAAACCTCCGTTATATAAATATATTCAACGTAATATTAATGTCATCAGCGGATGTTGTAGTCTACTTGTGATTTCTTTACTTTATAATATAACTTGATTTATGAAAAAAACGTATTGAATCGAACGCAGAAGAAATTTAACAAATTGTCTTCATTCAAAAATTTTGAGTAACAGGTAATTTTTTTTTTCTGTACCTCCCCCCTCCTTCCCGCATAACTTAAATGTAAAGGTATCTATATACCTTTAACTAATAAGAAAAGCAAAGAGTAATAATTAATGAAGTAATTTTTAGAAAAATACAAATAGATTGTTCATTCATTGGCACATTTTTTTTAATATCTTGAAAAAATGTCTTGATATTTTTGTTATTATGATAACAAAAATATTAAGACATTTTTTGAGATATTAAAAAAAATGTCAATCCTTAATTACAAATTTTTTTGCAAATGTTTTTTATTATAAATTCAGTAAATAATTCTTAAAAAATCTATATTACAAAAAATATTTATATTCTGTATTACAGGCTTGGTCGGGAAGCGGGAGCGATCGCTCTCGAATACTGACCACGGAAATTATATTTAGTTGCGTAAAACTGGTCAGGTTTTTTAGTCGTTTTGAGAACATTTAAGCTTATGTATGAAACAAAGAATTTTTGTTTTATGGACATACATGGAAACATAAAAAACTTGAATGTTCTCAAAGCATCTTTGTGCGAAAGAATAAAAAGAATATTTGCGAACACTATAAACCCGCCAAATTAACGAACAAACTAATTCTATTAGTTCAAAAAAAAACGCTGATTAAGCGAAATAAAGTTCTAGAGTATTCTGTTAAAATGTTTTAGAAATTGTATTATTCACGATTTGTTACGTTTTGAGATTTCTAGCATTGTCTTAAGAATATATATTATTTGTTTACGAAAATAAATGTTTTAAATATATATTAATTAAATTGTTAAAATTTTAAAAGTTTATTATAAATCATAGATTTTATTAGTATATATATATTTTTTTATTTTAAAAGAGATTGTATTCTTTATGTAAATGTAATTTTGTGTATTTGTTTTTTATCGTAATGTATCTTTTAAAGCAATTTTTATGATTTAAACAAAGACTTACAAAAATAATTGCGTTTTCAATGAAGTTATAATCGTTAAAGTTAATAAAACTAATTATGTAACAAACGTATAAGAAGTTTCTGGTTACTAAACACAAACAACGCATACAAAGTAACTCGCGGATGAACAAGCATCGCGCCTGAAGTCACGATAGAACACAAATATATATAGCAAATAATTAGATATAAAGAAAAGTTTCTAGATATTGGTTTACTAACTCTAATTATTTTCGCTTAAGTTGCCATTCTTAAAACTCATTATACTTTTTTCTACTTTAAATACTAATTAAAATTAAAAAGCCCACTCACTAAACATCATCAGTGATATTGTGAAGCAGTTTCGCTTCCTGGTCATTAAGTATTTTTAACCTTTTTAGTTGATTTCTATCTTGATAATTTAATTCCTATAGTAATTCAATGATTTAATTATTTCATTTGTTTATCGCTTCAAATATGTTAAACTTTTCAAACTACGCGAAACATAAAATAGGTATTAAAAAAATTAACTTTTTTATTTATAAAATAAATTAAGCTTAAGTAAAACTAAAACTTGCAAACTTAGTTAAATAAAGAATATTTGTTTCCCTTTTAAACAATCGTAAGTTGTTACTTTATATAAAAAACATCGCTTAATTTTATAAAAAAAAATTATAAAAGAGCGATGTTTCGAAAATATTTGTTCTAAATGTAATTTATTTAGCTTAAAGTTTGTTCGCGTTTAAAGATATTTTATTTGCCTATTTATTTATTTTTTTTTTTTTGTAATTTTCTCTCATCGGTCCAATTAATCTTTGTCGCTTTTTTTTTTTTTGCTTTTTAAAATGTTCTCAAAACGACTAAAAAATCTGGCCAGCTTTTCGCAACTAAATATTATTTACGTGGTCAGCAATTGAGAGCGATCGCTCCTGCTTTCCGACCAAGCCTGGTATTAATAAAAATGGAATATAGATTTTTTTAAAGTTTCTTACTGAAAACTTTAAAAAATTACTACTTTTTATTAAAAACATTGCAAAAAAGTTGTATTTAAGGGTTGACGAACAATTTTTCATGCTGCTAAATATTTGGATAAAGAGTTTAGCATAAAATTAGTTGCTATACAAAAGGTAAGATATATCGCAATGAAAAGTTACAACAATTATTTTTAACGTAAATTCTTTTTTGTAATAAATATCTTTACATATCGTTATTTAAAAGTTAATGTGGTTTGTTTAAAAATTAATTACTTCTTTTATGTTACCGCAAATTTAAAAGTTAAAAAATGATAAAAAGTAGCTTAACCAAAACAGCTCTACGCGTACGTAAAAATCGCTTAAGGTGTACGTAAATCGCTTTAGTTGTAACGCTTTAAAACAAGGCCTGATATATAATATATATATATATATATATATATATATATATATATATATTTTTTAAATTCACCTCCTCAAGGCCGAGAAGGCCACTACAGACGAGGAGGCTTCTTATTTGTGGTTATAACCCTCTCTCAACTCTATAACTCCGAAACACGAACCTTGATAAACAAGGCCGCTGCGCGGAGAAACGAGTTGAGTGTGGTACTACCAGGGACGTGGTGGGGATCGAACTCGGAACCACTCGTTTATGAAGCGAGCGCTCTACCACTACACCACTACCGCATATATATATATATATATATATATATATATATATATATATATATATATATATATATATATATATATATATATATGTATATATATATATGTATATATATATATATATAATATATATATATATATATATATACACATATATATACATACATATATATATATATATATATATATATATATATATATATATATATATATATATATATATATATATATATATATATATATATATATATGTATATGTATATGTATATATATATGTATATATATATATATATATGTATATATATGTATATATATATATGTATATATATATATCTATATATATATATATATATATATATATATATATATATATATATATATATTATATATATATATATATATATATATATATGTATATATATATATTTATATATATATATATATATATATATATATATATATATATATATATATATATATATATTGATATTTATTAGAACATCGAATACATGTTTTAAAAGACAAGAAAGCCCATACAAGGATAGACACTAACAGCGTGCCCATAAATAAATTAAAAAAATAAAATAAAATGTCACTACAAAACCAATAACAAAATTGTAAAGAAACAAATAGTTATTCCTTTTACAATAAGTGTTTGTTAAAACCAAAATATTCAATTTTAATTTTAAATGTTAAAATATTGTTTGCATTAACAGCTTCCGAAGTCATATATATATATATATATATATATATATATATATATATATATATATATATATATATATATATATATATATATATATATATATATATATATATATATATATATATATATATTTTTCAACATCTTCGCTTCTAACAAGGCTGCAAGCAACCACTAATTAGTGTTGGAAGTTACTGGAAGAGAAAAGATGAAGATTGTAGAGCAAGATAACGATTGACAGACGACTTAAAAGATTGCAAATTATATGAATCAGGAAAGCAAGATGAAGGAAGCGAATTCCAAAGAACTGATGTTTGAGGAAAAAACTAGACAAATAAGTGTTTTTGGAGCACTTAGGAACAGTAACAGAAAAAGGATGAGACTTAATTGAATGACGAGTAACACGAGAATGAATTTTTGTAGATGGCACAAGAGACGCTAGCTCTTTAGAGCAGTGCCCATTATAGTATTATAGTATATAGTAGTGCCCATTATAGTATTATAGTATTTGTAGGAAAGAGAAAGAGAAGCAACATTACGACGATGTGACAGAGGTTGAAGGTTGGCTGCAAGAGTAGGTCCAACTATGTTTACAATGCGTTTTTGCACCTTGTCTAAAAGAGAAAGGGCATCATTAGAAGATCCACCCCAGATATGACAACAGTATTCCATACAAGGCCGGATTTGAGATTTATAAAGATAGAGAATAGAATCTAGAGTAAGAAAGTGACGAGCTCAATAAAGAGAAGCGACTTTAGCAGATGCTAATTTTGCAACGGATTTGATATAAGGTTTCCAAGAAAGATCAGAAGTAAGAGTTAATCCTAGAAGATGAAGGGTAGGAGACTCACCGAGTACATTACCGTTCATAAATATAGGAAGGTCTAAATTATTGCGATAACGATTGGCTGAAAAAAATTGATTTTTATCTGAATTAAAGTTCACCAGCCACTGTGAGCCCCATGCTGTAGCAGAAGTGAGATCCTTTTCAAGCTCAGATGCCCCCTGCAAGCAATCAGAGGGAGTTGGCTTCTTATCGTGACAAGAATAAATGGTAGTATCATCAGCGAACAATGCCACCTTAGATGTGAGAAAATCTGGAAGATCGTTAATGTAAATTAAAAAGAGTATAGGGCCAAGGATTAAACCTTGAGGAACCCCTGAGGTTACAGAATAAGAAGAAGAGTGCTGTCCATTGAGGACAGCTTTTATACTACGATTGGAAAGGAAGGATTCGATAATCTTAAAGATGTTTCCAGATACACCGTAAGAAGAAAGCTTATGGAGAAGACCAGCATGCCAAACTTTATCAAACGACTTAGAAATGTCAAGAGCGATGGCCTTAACCTCTCCACCTGTATCTAATGTGCGATAAAACCTATCGGTTATTACTGTTAGCAAATCAGCCGTAGAACGAGAAGATCCAAATCCATATTGATGATCAGAAAGTAGGTTATGAGATTCGAGATGTTTGTTAATTAAAGATTCAAAAACCTTGCTTATGATAGGAAGAAGACTAATGGGACGGTAGTTAGACGAATCAGATCGCTCTCCAGAATTTTTAAAAATAGGGATAACAGATGAACAAAATAGGGATAACAGATATAGTTCCACATGTCAGCAACCCAGTAAGAAAATCTATGTTTTCTTAAATTCGAGCGACAAAATTGTTGGCATATTTTATAAATATGACCCTGGGTGTGGCTATTGTTATCAATTATAAAGAACATAGATTGTTCTGTACAAACAAGTGTATGAAAAAATTTTAAACAAGTTACTAAGTCGTTTTTAGGGTGCCAAAAGCAACTATAGTCTATTATGATAGGACATTTTTCTTTGTAAATTTTTGTTGGACGCTTTCACCTATTTTAATCAATCCAATTTGGTGTGGTGACTAAACTGGAGAACAATATTCTAAAATTGGTTGTATATATATAGTGAATGCTCTAACTAGGATACAAGGGTCGGGAGTTTTGAAGCATTTCAAAACTAAGTATACTCTAGTGTTAGCTTGAGTATACTTAGGATGATGGTTGAAATATGTTTTTTATAATTAAGGTTATAGTCCGTTGTTATTCCTAGATGTTTTGGGTTTGAAGATTGTGGTGCTATTTTGATTGCATAATATTCACTACTAGCAAGCCTTCCTAGGAAACGTGTGCGATTTTTCATCTTGTATGTCCACGCATGAGTATTTTATTTTAGACAACTTGGTCATGGCCATTTGCAAGTTTTTTTATATATAAGGCGTTGCAGAAAAAACAAAGAAAGCAAAAATAGGAAATTAATATAAATTTAAATAGAAAAAAGATAATTTAAACCATTTGTTTACTGTTTTTATTTCTTTAGAGTGGTTGTTATTTTCAGCAAAAAAATAAACAGTTTTAAGTCAACATTAAAATAGAATGATTTTCCTATATTTTATTTGTTTTTATTTAAAGAGGAAAGCAAAAATGTTAACTGCTTCTGCTTGTAAAATATATTTGTATAATTTTAATGTAACATGTATATATTGTCCCTATATGAAAATGTCTATGTAATGCATGCGTATACTTTTATGTATGACTTTTTTTATTATATAACTATATTTATTTGTTCATATGTTTACAAATGTTTAGCTTATTTGAATAAGGTGTTTACTTTACAAATACAGAGAGTATGAAGTTCAAATACCACTAATGTCAATGTTTTTAAATTGTTTTTCTTTTAATACCGCTGGTCATATATTTGTGTTGTAACCATTTATCTTTTCTTTTTTGTATATAAAAATCTATTTGTTGTATTTTTATGAATGATACATATCTCTTCACATTTAGATTTCTTATACCATTTAAGACTTTCAGTGTACTTTCTAAGTAAGGCGCACACATATATACAGTTTTTAAGCTTTAATCAGACCATGCCATCTACACATTTTTTTACATAGCCTTAATTGTTTTATATTACCTTTCTATTCCTGTACATTTTTTATCCTCAATCTTTTAGCGCTATGTAATTTTGAATACCTGTTGCTTTTTGCCTTTGGCTCAGTGCGTTAAGTTCTACATGCCCCCTCCCTTTTGGTCTACTATGTTATTGGTGAACAATTATTAATAATTATTATTTATTGTTATCTAATTATTAATAATAATTGCTAATAATTGTTTACGTATATTTTTTTATGATTATTTTTTATTTATTAAATCAATCAAAAAAAGAATGCATAAACATATAAAAAAAGTAATAATGTAAATAATTTTAATTAAACATGTTAAAAAAATAAAAGATTTTTTTTTAATTCTCCTAATACAAAGCCAACACGACGAACTATAATACTTTGATCTTTTCTAATGTTTTTATAAATTAGGCAAACTCTTTTAAATAAAAAAAAAACATATCTAATTATCATTTAATATAAAACAAACATTAAAATTATCATAAAGTATTTTTTAAAAAAAGTTTATTGAAACGCATTTGTTGTTGCCATTGTTTAAGAATACAAATTGTTTAAAAAAAAATTACTTCATTAAAAAAAAAGACTTTTGAAATATAATTTTTATTTAATATTCTATGATAATTTATTTTATTGCATTTTAAAACTTTATTTAAAAGCGTTTAGCTTATTGTAAACAAATTTAGTTAGAAAGTTTACATAGCATAACAAAAAAAAAATTGTTTATGTTTTTGGCTATTGAATATATGGATTCATCAAAAAGTTTATTAAAACAATGGTTTTTGTTGTTGTTTATAAAATTAATTGCACAAATTTATGATGAATGTAAATGTTTTAAAAACATTTACATTCATTGTAAAAAATACACTTTTTAAAAATATAATATCTTTCGATAATTTAAATATGTCATTTAAAGTCTACAATCTTTTAAAGCAATTTCTCGCTTTATTACCTTATACTTTTTTTTAAAACGTTTTCAAAAAATTTAAAAGCCATGGTTAAGTTGTCACAAAAAAATAAATAAACGCATGGTCACGAATATTTTCTAAAGCTTGTTTAGATGAGCATTTGCTCACTACTTTTGCTTATCTTTATAGCATACTGCGTTTTTAGAAAAAGAAGAAAAAAATGAAGAATAATGAAAGAAAAGGTTGCAGCCCCATGCTAAACCCTCAGTTAATGTAGCAGCACTCCACTGCAAGTCAGGCTATTTGTCAGTCGATGTATGTACTGAAGCCCCTGGCAACAGGCTTTTCAGTGTGACATCAGAGTGCTCATCTAAACTAGCAATTTATGTTAAATATGTGTGTTTATATATATATATATATATATATATATATATATATATATATATATATATATATATATATATATATATATATATATATATAGATACATACATAGTCTTCTCTGTTTAAATATAATGCCAGCAGACAATTGTAAAAATTCATCTTTATTTGCTATTTAAATTCAAACAAAAGCAGCAAAAATAATGCTTTGAATAAATTGAAGCTGATAATTTTATGAAAGTTCTAGATTTTTTAATTAAAATAAAAATGACAGAAAAATTTAAAAAATTTTATTATTATTTTTAATATTAACCAAAATAATCAAAATAAAAGCGTTTTATTTTAATTCTAAATTAAAACAATTAATATAAAAATGGCAAAAAACCAATAAGAATTATTTTTTCTGATAATACTTCCTTTTTGTTCTTGTTGTTGTTGTTGTTGTTGTTGCATTTCTACATACAAGTTTAACAACATTATTAGCTATAAACATTAGCTAAAAGCATACAAGTTATAACAACAAATAGATTTAAAACCAGCATTTAAAAAAAATGAAAATAGTTTTATTTGTGCATACATGAATGTATTGTATATTTTAAAAGACACTAGAAAATCAAGTAAAATAGAAAAGTTAAGCAAAATGTGATGCAACAAAATTTCTCTTACACAGTTGTTTTACAAGTATCAGTAACTTGAGTATAAGTTTTTGCATTTCTGCAACACTGTTATATAAAGGTTAATATCAATTTATTTATATTTAAGATTTATATTTAAGATATATACTGAAATGAAAATTTATTTTTAAGCTGAAATGATTAACATAACACTTTATATGATTCAGTGTACTTGTTTTTATCAGTTATGCAATCAATACAAATCCTGCAGATGTTGCACGAGTAGAATCAAAGACTCTTGTTTGTACTATTGATAAAAGTTCTGCCATTCCAAACATTAAAGACGGAGTTCCAGGACAACTTGGCTATTGGGCAGATATTAGTGAAACAGATGCAAAGCTAGAAAAAATGTTTTCTGGTTGCATGAAAGGTTTTTACATTTTATTGAATTATTTGGAATATTTATAATATAAATGTCCAAACCATACTTTTCAAACATACCATACATTGAAACCATATGTCATTCTTTTACACTTTTGCTATCATTTGTGTTCATATAATACCGAATTCATATATGTGTGTGTGTATATTTGGGTGGATATAAATACAACTTTTTTGAAAATGTATGTTGACACCCCCTAAATTTGCTCTATATAAATAAAATAATAATGGGTTTAAAAAATTTTTGAATAAAAATATCTTTAGTAGTTCAAAATGGAAATAAAAAATTTCAGAAATTATTTAAAAATTTAGTTATTGAAAAATTTCAAAAATATGAATCATTTTATAAATAAATTGTAATTTTAGAATTTAGTAAATAGAAAATGACATTTTTTAACGTAGCTGAACCCAAAAGAAAAACAATAGTATTAACATGTTTGCCACTACAGATTTATTCTGCACTAGAAGCTCTATGCTTGCCTGCATACCCAGAAGATGACTCAGTTACCTATGTAGACATTTAGGAAAACATCATGAAGCTTTCTAAACTGAAGTAATCATTAATACTACGCTTTGAATTTGCAACATTAAAAAAAGCAAGTAACAAAAGTGTGACAGAATTTTCCCGACGGATTGCAAGAGCTGCTAAAGATAATTAGATGGGCGACCAATTCATCATGGGTTTTAACAGTGGTGTTACAATCAAACAGTTATTACTGGAACCTGAAGAACTAACGTTTGCGAAGGCTGTGGAGATTGCTGTTCCCTTGAACGAGTAACTCAGGAAGCTCGACAATTATATGGTTCAGATAATTTAATGATTGTGGCAATATCATTACTTCCACGGACTTCTGTTGTGTTTAACACAAACAAAGTTACATGTTTCAATTGTGGAAAACTAGGATATTTTGCACAGGATTGCAAAGCAAAATGCAAGACTTGTTGACACAAAACGCAAGACAAAAATGCAAGACTTGTTGCAAAATAGTAAATAGCAAAAAAAAAATAACAAAAAAAAGCAAAATGTTGACACAATCATTAATCTAAAGACTGCTTCAAATGATTGCAAAGTTTAAAATGGAAAAGAAAAATTTGGAAATAATGGCATCCAGTATTCTCCCAGAAATGACGTTGCCATCATTAAAAATGAAAATAAAAGGAATGCTCTGAACAGCATTAGTTGATTCTGGATGCTCCATCACTTTGGTTCATGCTGAATCCACACATGGTCTTCTTTTAAAAAGTCAAAAACTCATCACAACTTTGGGAGGAACTGTGTAAGTGCTGGGTGAAATGGTAATCAAATGGGAAATTGATGGAATACACCTGATAGTTAATTATCTAAATGTGAAAGAAAAACCATTTGGGTTTGATTTGATTTTTGGAATGAATGCAATTGAAAAATTAAGAGGAGTCATTATTTATGGTGATAAAAACCGTACAGTCTGAATGTTAGCATGTGACACAGCAAAATATGGTGTTATTACTATGCCAAGAAAAAACAAAAACGAAATAAAAGAAATGTGGTGTCATTAATACGACAAGAAATAAAGCGAGCGAGATAAATGAAATAAAATACGGTGCTGTGTTACTACAACAAGAAAAAACGAAAAGAAAATAAACAAAATTTAATGTGATGTCATTAATACAAGAAGAAATAAAGAGAACAAATAAATAACATTTTTAAATAAATTATGAACTAAGAGCACCACTATAGTTCCATTAAGAAATAAGTGAATAAATCAACTCTGAATGATGCAAAGCTAGAAAAACATTTTTTCTAGCTTTGTATCTGTTTCACTAATATCTGCACAATAGCCAAGTTGTCCTGAAACTCCGTCTTTAATGTTTGGAATGGCATAACTTATATCAATGGTACAAACAAGTGTCTTTGATTCCACTAATGCAACATCTGCAGGGTTTGTATTGATTGCATAACTGATAAAAACAAGTACACTGAATCATATAAAGTGTTATGTCATTCTTGTACCATATAACAAACTAACATTGGGACCACCTTATTGATACCGCTTATGTGCGTAGTGCAAGAAAACAAATACAAAAAGGTATGTCCAGTGGGAGATTTCTGAGCTCTCAACAAATTTGTAATTGTCACACAGCAAATTCAGACGTTTGTCAAGAAAAATTGCATTGTTGGAGAAAAATAAAAAATGCAAAATTTCTTGACCTTAAAAAAGCCTACCTTCAAATTCACATTAAAAAAGCCTACCTCCAAATTCACAAAAAAATTTTGGCCATATCAAGCGGTGATTGTAAATGGGAAATGGTATTGTTTTACCAGAATGTATTTTGGCATCAATATTTCTCCAACAATAATGACCACAATTATTTGGCATGTGCTCAATTTAAATCCAACCCTAAAGATCTCATTTGATAACTACATTAATGATATATTTGTTAATGAAAGTGTCGAAACTGCAAAAAATGTAGAGAAGCATCTGCATAAATTCGGATTACAATGTAAACCTCTACAAGATCTTGAACTAGGATGTGTCTTAGGATTGAGAGTCGAAAGAAATAAAAATGGGAAACTGATATGGAAATGAGACAATGTGGTACAATTTGAACCTTTAAATGCAGTCACACGATCACAGCTTTTCAGCCAGTTAGGTAAACTCATTAGACATTACCCGGTGGCAGGAAGTTTGCATTTACAAGCTTTATACATTCATTAATTTATACAAAAATTCAGTTGGAACTTTGGTGTGATTTTATTTAATGAAGATTGTAAAGAAAAACTGAAAGAGTTGCTTCACTGTGTGAAAAAAGTGGATCCGTTTGGTGGAAAATGGCTGGTACCAGTGAATGAAAATGCTGACCTTTATTGTGATACATCATCAAACGGACTTGGGTTAGTTCTGTTTGGTGGAGTAATTGTTGAAGATACAGCATAGCTACAGCCAACGAGTGACACACACCATATCAATGTAAGTGAACTGGATTTGATACTTCGAGGACTAAACTTAGCTAGTTAGTGGGACATAAAGGAGTTAATAGCCGTGGCGCAGTGGTAGTTAGCAGCCGTGGCGCAGTGGTAGCGCACTTGCCTCAGAAACGTAAGATCCGTGGTTCAAACCCCACCTCTGGGCAGGTTTTGCGACATTGGTTGGGAAGGAGGCGTGAACTTCCTATTTAATGCTCTTCCGCGGTGCTCTGTGATAAGACCGTAAGGACTTCTTTGGGCACCTAAAATCAACATAAAAAAAAAAAAAAAAATAGTATACAGTGAAAGCAAAAGCAAAATATGAAAAATATCGCGTAAAAACTCAAGGAATTTCACAATTGTTAGTACAAAGACGGTTGAATACTATTAAGAAAGTGGCGAAAGATATCCAGATTGTAGTACAATCAATTCCATCTGAAAAAAACTTGGCTAATTAGCTCTCAAAAATCCCTCAAAAATGGTGCAGAACAGTATGTGCAGCTGGATTACATGAAGAAAAAGACAGATAATTCATTCAATTGGCAGGCTTGGACAGGAACGGTGTGCGATCGAGCGCTGTTGCTGACCATGCAAATGATTTTATTTTTTGACAACTTGTTTAGATAATTTTTAAACATTTTAGAAATGCGCTGCAAAAAGAAGCGCTAAAAACTTAAACTGAGAAGAAAATTAAAAAAAAAAAGAAAACAATTCTTTATGAAAAAAATTAAATAATCACTGAATCAATGAAACAAATTAAATAATCACTGAATCAATGAAAAAAAATTGAATAATCACTTAAATAAAAACTTAAAAAACTCAAACTCAAAGCAAAAATTACTTTTTGTTGCGTTTTTAATTTTTAATTAATAATTAAAAGAAACCAGGTCATATTTCAAAATGTGTTATCTCAAGAAATTTTTAGTATTTTGAGCTGAAATTTTATACCAACCTTTCTAATAATAGAGCCAGCTCACACAAAAATAATTATTAGTTTTAATTATCATTGTTCTAATTAAGATACCAATTTAATGAATAATTGGTCAAAAATAGCCTTTTTTTAAATATTCAAATCCTCAGGGAAGTCAGAGAAATTGAAATTTTTTTAAAACTTTTTTGGAATTGTCTTGTTTAACAAAATAAAATGGTAAAATAAAGTGGCAAAGTGGTAGTTTTTCCGACCCCTAAAAACGACCCAGCAATAAAACATTCGAAATGTCAAATACCAGAGTATTGAATCCTTACAAGGGTGAATACTATATCCATTTTCTAACAAAAATCTGGTATTATACTACATAATTTACAAATTTATTCAACTCTGATATTTTTATAATCTTTCTTTCAGTAATTCGTAGCGTAATTTTCCTTATTATAATATGTGTTTGTTTTCATTGTTTGTTATAATACTGCAGCTTGTTGTTGTGTTTTATATCTAATAAATTATTTTGTAATATTATACTAATTGGTTTATCACATTATCCTTACCGCAACAATGACAATCATTTACAATTTATAATTCTTTGTTATGTATTGTTTTCTGCAAAATTTATAGACAAAATTATGACAGTTATTCACATCAATTAAACAGTTAAAAATTCTTGTAATAGTTATTCCTGCCATTATCAGATTTCTAATTTTTTTGCTTATTTATCAATTTATTAAGCCAGATTATGACACATGAAAAAGTTCTGTTATTTCTTTGTGATTAGTGATATTTTTTGGTTGAAAGTTTAATAATTACCGATTTTGATACTGTTACTACTACTCAAATAAGGATGCTTTGCAGAAAATTGTGGTGATTGGAGTCTGGAAACAAAAAAGCTCAAAAAGATTCGGCCACAAATGCCCCAAACAAGAGAGAAAAAAAGTTGATAAAATATTTTTTGTGCTATTCTTAAATAATTTTATATTCATCCATAAATTCTAAATTTCATACAATAATCTCTTAGTGTTCAAAAATTATGACTGTACAAAGTTTGAACCCCTCTCAATTTAAGGGGTTCAAATTTTATAAGGTCATACCTTTTGAACGCTAAGAGATTATTTACTAGTTTTAATTAATTATTATTATTTAATATTTTTGATTAAATTATTAAAACATTATTTCGATAGGAAAAAAAACACAACAATAAACAGCCTACATAAATATAGAAAAAAAAAATCTCGTTGCTTTAAAAAAAAAAAAAGCAACTTTTTATGTAGGAGTTTGCCTCAAAAATCTTATTTAAGATTTTATCTTAATATTGTTTAGCTCTCGCACAAAACAGGAAAACATAAGTCAACTTAAATATAATATTCTGGAAAAAGGAAATATAACATTCTATAATACTTGTGCAAAAATTATACCTTCAAGAAATATGGTATTTAAAAAATCTAAACAACTATATAAAAGATACAATAATTTAAAAATCATCCAGACGATTGTTAAAAATAAGTTGTGCTTATAAAATCTAAACATAAAATATATTACTCTATTTTTAATTGTACCACAAATATTTTTTGGTATTTTGTAAAAAAAATATATAATCAAAAATATTTGATTTGCTGATTGTAGGGAAAAAAATTAAAAATTCATTAAAAAAAAAACAATATCTTTGAAAAAAAATTTTTATGATGACGATGTCCAAAACTGTTATGAATTAACACGCATGAAATATATTATCAAGTCTGCAGATTGCAGCTAACATTATACAGACTCCATGAATCAAGAAAAAATGACAGCGAGCTTCAACTAAAACAAAAATTTTAATTTTATTTGTATGCATTTATTATTTAGTTTTAATCAAAAAAATTTATTCAAATCATTTTTTTAAAACATTTTCTTTAATATAAACACAACTTGTCTCAGCACAAAATGTTTACTGTTAATAATTATCACAGTGTAGTTGATATTCCTATATTAATAAATGGCAACATTTTACTGTCTAGTTTACTTCTTTCCAAATTATCCGTCATAGTTGAAATCTCATGGAAACCATATATATAATCTGTTGTAAAGTCAGCATCAACAAGATTGCCTCTATTGTGATTGTCTTTTCCTTACTTCTGATTCCATTTTCTATCCTTATAAAAAAGACTGGAATAAAGTTTAAAATTTGGAGATATAGAGGGGGATATAGGATATATAATAGTTTCATTATTGGCTCAACAAATATTTTTTTATAAATAAGCATGTGGTTTCAAGTGATTATTACTTTAATCACTTGAAACCACATGCTTATTTATAAAGAACGATTTTTTCAAATTATTTTTTTTTTTTTTTTGTTTTTTAAAACTAAAAATTCTATAAAAATATTTTTTTTTAGGTAGAACAATGTACCTCATTCCGTTTAGTATGGGTCCAGTTGGATCACCTTTTTCTAAAGTTGGGATTCAGCTTACTGATTCTGTTTATGTTGCTATTTCTATGCACATAATGACTCGTATGGGGCAGCAAGTGTTGGACTATTTAAATGATGGACATTTTGTTAAATGTTTACATTCTGTTGGTAAACCACTTCCATCAGACATCGATCCTTACAACTGGCCTTGTAATCCTGAAAAAACATTGATAACTCATTTTCCTGATCGCCATGAAATTATATCATTTGGATCTGGTTATGGTGGTAATTCTCTTCTTGGAAAAAAATGTTTTGCTCTGCGAATTGCATCTTGTATTGCTAGGGATGAAGGATGGTTAGCAGAACACATGTTGGTAAGTTTTTTCAAATAAATTTATAATACTGAGTTATTAAAAAGTTACAGAATTATTAAGGTTTTTTTATATATAGTTACATTCTATTATTTATATAGTTACATTCTATTATTTATTTTCTTTTTGAGCAATAATAAAAGCATTCAGATAATCAACAAACCTATTCAGTTATTTAGATATATCATTCAGGGTTATTTTAAAACTAGGTTTTAAATAGAGTTGTTTAAAGTCAAATGAATTGATATCCAGAGGATTAGTAAGAATTATTAAGAGGATTAGTAAGACTTAATCTTTGATTATGAGATTAAAGATATCTGTGAATATCTTGCATTGGGTACTAGGTAAAATGCGAACTGCGAGCCGCGAACTGCGAACTGGTAAAATGCGAACTTATTTGCGAACCATCGTCTTATTGGTTGTTAATGATGTAATGTTTTATTTCCGTTAAATAGCTCATTTAGTGGCATACTTTCAAGACTTTTAAGCAAAAAATTTATTTAAAAAAAATAAAAGGAAATTAAGTGAAACTAGACAAATACAATGTAAAAAATCTTTTTTTAAATTATTTAATAGGCTGCCTGCACAAACCAAACCCACAGTCAATTTAGCAGCACTCCGTCGCAATTCAGGCTATAATATAGTCGATGTAGCAGCACTCCAATGCAATTCAAGCTATAAAATAGTCGATGTAGCAACACTCCGTTGCAAATCAGGCTATAAGATAGTAACATAGATGTAGCAACACTTCGCGCATGTTTTACAGTTAAATAATAAAAATTTTAATTTTAATAAGGTTTTAAAATAGATAATTAAGATTGGAGAGTTTTTTATTATTTTTTTATCATAACAATAATGGTCTTTAAAATATAATGTTTTGGTTCGCAAGAAAGTTCGCATTTTTACTGGTTCACAATTCGCATTTTACCGACAACCCTTGAATTGTGGTAACTAGTTGGAAGAAAAAATTATTTTCAAAAAATTTATTGCTTTATATATCTATATATTTATTATTATATAGTTTGTTTTTACATGAACATTTGAAATTTTTAGAATTTAATTTTAGATTTTAGGTATAACAAACCCACAGGGAGAAAAGCGTTATATTGCGGCAGCGTTTCCGAGTGCTTGTGGAAAAACTAATCTTGCAATGATGACTCCGACACTTCCTGGTTGGAAAGTAGAATGTGTTGGAGATGATATTGCTTGGATGAGATTCGATGAAAATGGATTGCTTAGAGCTATTAATCCTGAAAATGGATTCTTTGGGGTTGCAGTTGGAACTTCTATGGCAACAAATCCCCAAGCCATGAATTTGTGTAAAAAAGATACTTTATTTACAAATGTTGCAACCACAAGTGATGGAGATGTGTATTGGGAAGGTATTAATACCTTTTTTTTTTTATGTTTGTTATTAGAATTAATAGTTAGTTAAAATTTTGTAATTTTACACTGTCTTTCATCAATAAAGACTCATGAGAAACACAGTGTAAAGTGAAAAAATTTTATTAAGTGATTTTCTACTAATTTATTATTGCTCTGTTCTTTTAAGAGCATTGAGCACTCTATTTCGTAGAACAAATTTTAAAGTTGTTTATATTTATATATATATATATATATATATATATATATATATTTATTTATTTATTTATATATATATATATATATATATATATTTATATATATATTTATATAAATATTTATATATATTCAGTCGTGTGCAGTAAAATAGTAGTGCATATTTTATTTTTCTATCAAACAAACTTTGAACATTAAAATATATTTTTCTATTGTTTGTTTTTTATCGTTATTGTTCATAAACTAAATGTTGTGATTATAATAGTATAAAAAAAAAAATTTAAGAACGATAATCGCAGCACTGTATGGTTTTAAATTTCAATATTATCGATTTAAGGTCATTCGTATTTTTTTTTAGACTGTGCAATAAAATAGTAGTGAAAATCATTATTTATGAAAAGGTCAAAAAATAATTAAATTTTATTATAAAAAAATTTTTTTTTTGAAGCTCTACATTAGTATTTTGTGGCATGACCTTTATTTGTAATAACCGCCGAACATCTTTGTTGCATGGGATTAACAAGATTCTGACATCATTCGACAGATATATTTTGCCATGCTGACTGTACTATGTCTCACAATTGGTTACAACCTCTTGGATTATTTTCAGAAACTGCTTGTTTAACATCAATCCACAAATTTTCTATTGGATTGAGGTCAGGGATTGTGCTGGCCACTCCATCACATTGATTTTGTTCTCATTAAACCACGATTTGGCTAACTTGCTTATATGTTTGGGATCATTATCCTGCTGGAACAAAAATTTTAACGGCGTTTCTTCTTCAGCATAAGGCAGGATGATCTCTTCAAGTATTTTTACACATACAATCCGATCCATGATACCTTTTATGTGATGTATAGGCTTAACACCATAGTAAGAAAAACAACCCCATATCATTTTTGAACCTCCATGTTTGATGGTCTATAATGTAAACTGTGGCTTATATACTGCACCTGTTGGTCTTCTAACATACTGTTTACGAACATGGGAACCAAAAATTTCAACTTTGCTTTCATCAGTCCACAAAACATTTTGCCATTTTTCTTTAGGCCAAGAAGCATGCATATGTGCAAATTTTAAACAATTTTTGATATGTCTTTTACTCTAAAGTGCCACTTTTGAGTGCCACTTTTAAATGATAAAATTTCTCAAAAATCAGTTGTTGGGGCAGATTGAAAAGTCTTGTTTTTGAAAGAAACCTTTATAAACTAAAATACTAGTTTTAAAAAAACAAAATAACAAAATTTGCATAGGGCTAATAAATACCTACACGAACAGTGCTGTGGCTTTTATTTGTGTATTTTAAAAGATTACCTGGTGGCTCTGAATCTGATTTAAAGTCATGTGGATTATGCAAACAGCATAGTAAACCAACAATAACATAGTTTGTTTTTTTAGTAATTTAATACATTTAATAGACCAATTAATAGGCAACATATAAAAGACCAATGTTTTTTCATTAATTTAATACATTTAATAGACAATTAATAGACAACATTTAATAGACCAATGTTCTCTAAGATTTTGTAGTAAAAACAAAATAATGTTATCATATTTTATTAGATCACATTCTCCTTTTTCCAATGCCGTAACACTTAACTCTACTACATGAGGAACCTGAACAATATCATTTGTGTTTTATTTTTTTTCTGATAAAATCAAATCTGTTCTGAATATATCTACAAGAGCTTTTCCAATAACAATTTTTTATTTCAAAAATCTTTTTAACATACTGATTAGAGAATTCCATCTTGTTTTAGCATCCAGGCCTAAGCTCTTTTCCAAACTTGATCTGCAAATTTTTTGAAGGATATCATTTTTAAGTGGTGATTTTTTAAACAGCCTGATAATTTTACGAACCTTTGATATAATAGTACCATAGTCTTTATTAAATTGCATTTCCTTATCAACATAGCTGATACTTTCTTCACTCCAGCATTCTCCATTTTTTATTTTCCTCATCAGGGTCGAAACAAGATTCTTCATTTTTATTTACCTCTTTCATAGTTAGTTCTTCACCAGTTGTTTCTGTTGCTGAACCTTTTTTCTTGTAAAGAATATCACATACGGAAAGATAAATTCCACGGCAATAGCAATAGCAAGTTGGCGGGTAGGTCCCATTTCTCGTCTCATTTTTTTCATGACTGATGCATCATCAGTAACACACCCAAAAATATCATTGATTAAATTTAAGCTAAAATTATTTAACTTTTCAATAACAATATTAACTGCTCTTTCTGAAGGCATTTAACCATATATTCTAATCATTCATTTTTCAATCATCATTCAAGACCATAACAAAATTTGTCTGAACATTATACATTAAGACACAAATACCCTTCAAGTTCCACCCATTAAGAGAAATTGAAAACCTTTCTCCGTTTTTTTTTTTTTTTTTTGTATAAGCTCTTGAGCAATTTTTAATTTGGATTGAGCTTGCGTAGTTCATAACAATTGCCATTTTAGCATGTCGATCATCGGGGATTTTAAGTCTTTGGGCTTTCCAGCCATTTTTAATATCTTTACTATTGGCCAACGTTGAAAAAGAAATACCATCTACAGCTGTTAAACAACCTAATACTTCTTCAGCTTTGTTATCTGTTTTATTACAGTAAGCAGCAACACTTGGCTGTGTATTTTTTGTCTTTTCTTAAACAATTTTGGTCAGAAAAATCTTATGTTCGTGCTCTAAATGATATAAGAAAGTTAAAGTCGAATAATTTAATTTTGACTGAACAATGTTCGCATTTGTATAATGGTTTTACATTGTTTTCCAATGACAAATGTTATGATCCATAAGTTTTGTCATTCAAAGCATGTACAATTTTAGCATTTCCATTACATTACATAGTAATTTTAAACTTTTTATAAAAACCATTGTTGAAAATGGTCAGGGAAATTCATCTGATTGTTCAAAAAAGTCAGGGAATTTATATATCTGTGTTTATGTAAAATTTTAACAATTATTTATTTATCCAGGGCTTGAAAAAGAAAAAGACCTGAATGGTATTGAAGTGAGAAGTTGGCTTGGTAAGCCTTGGACACCTAGTAGTAATACGCTTGCAGCTCACCCAAATTCTCGTTTTTGTTCGCCAGCAAAAAACTGTAAAATTATGGATCCGCTTTGGGAAGATCCAAATGGGGTACCAATATCTGCTATTTTATTTGGAGGACGTCGTCCAGAAGGAGTTCCTTTAGTTTACGAATCATTTGATTGGAAGCATGGTGTATTTGTTGCTAGCTCCATGTGTTCTGAAACCACTGCTGCAGCTGAGCATGCTAGTAAAGTTATTATGCGTGATCCTTTTGCTATGAGACCTTTTTTTGGTTATAATGCGGGTCATTATCTTCAACATTGGTTAAATATGGATGTCAAAGGACGTAAACTTCCAAAAATATTTCACGTCAATTGGTTCAGAAAAGATTTGAATGGAAAGTTTTTATGGCCAGGTAAAGATATTGTTTACTACAATAAATTGGTTGTCCTAATAAGAGTTGTTTTATTTAAAATAAATATTTTTCAGGTTATGGCGAAAATTCGCGTGTTTTAAAATGGGTGTTTGATAGAATCAATAATAAAGATGTTGCTGAAGAATCTCCGGTTGGTTTAATACCAAAGGAAGGTAGTCTTGACGTAAGTGGACTCGCTCGTATAAATTTAAAAGAATTAATGTCTATACCAAAAGAATATTGGGTCAATCAATTAAACGATCTGGAGAGCTATTATAAAGAGCAATTTGGCAAAGATCTTCCTCGTGATATTTGGAACGAATTACATAACTTCAGAGAAAGATTAAAAAACGCAAAGTAATTGCTTTCTAATTTTATGAGATTTTAAGTTATTTTTTACGCTAGCTCTCTCTATATATTATTTTACGATAGGTTTCTTTTATAATTTTAGACTGTTTAATATTTAAATTACCATCCCTATAAAAATATTACGCGTGAATTTATTAATTTTTTTTAGTCTTCAGTTTTTCATTTGATTCACGGTAAAAATTATTACAATGCGTTTTTTTTTTTTTTTTTTTACCAATAAATTCACGTTCAATGATTTTTTTTATTTTAAACAATATTAATACAGTTGATACCATAATTTTTCTAACAGTTTTATAGAAAATGCCAAATACTATGTATTTTTGTAAAATTATAATTTAGAAAAATAGTAAAGCTATTTTAATTTACGAAATCTGAATTTTTGTATTTGATATTTATTATAATAAAATCATAACATCTTATTATTACACTTTTTGTACTCGAAAGTATAAATTGAACCTGTAGGGTAAACTGGGGTAAAGTGAACTATTTTTTTAAACTAAAAAGTTATCATGTTTAAAAAACTTTTTGTTAAGTAATTTAGCATTATTTTTGCTTAATACAACATTTTGAAATTTTTTAAATAAAAAAATTAATAAAATATAGCCTCTGTTTTGATGTAATAGCCATTTTAAAAAGCGAGTTTGGCGGAAGTTTTAAAATTACGATCTCAAACTTTGCTATGGGTTTTAGTAAATTCATGATTTGTTGTTATTAATGCGAACATCAGTTATATAATTTATATACATTTTAAAGATAATATAATGCTGTTAAAAAAAAATTGTAGTTTTTATCATAATATAAAAAAGCTAAGCTTTTAGTTTGTAAATCAATTTAGTTCACTTTACCCCTTATTTTTCTGCCTATTGGGGGTAAAGTGAACTAGTCTTTTTCTTATGTTTTTTCATCAAATATTTTTAGTAGAACTGAATATATAAATTGTAATTACTTAACTAAATTGTTTACTCTTAAAATAAGTTGTTTTTTTTTTAAATATTCTTAAAATTATTTTCAGAAATATAATATATTGAAATAATGCCAAGAAACTACATTAAGAAAAAAGAATCTCGAAGAAAAACATATGCACCTAATTTGTTGCAAAATGCCATTTCGAAAGTTAAAAATAAAGAAATGACTTCGTATGCTGCATCAAAAGAATATGGTGTTCCAAGAAGTACAATTGCAAGACATCTTCTAGGCATAAAATGCTCAAAAGTTGGTGAAGGGCGACCAAACCGATTATCTGCTGATGCTGAAAAAGATCTTGTTTCACTTTTATCTGCATTTTCTGATTTTGGATTTGGATTAGATAAAAAACAATTTATGAAACTTGTTCAAACGTATATTGAATTAAACGGATTTCAGAAAAAATTTGTTAATGGTGTTGCTGGTGATCAGTGGTTTTGTAATTTTTTAAATCGTTGGCAGAAAGAAATATCTATAAGAACTCCAGAGCTTTTGACATTAACAAGAGCCTTAGCTTGTAATAAAACTGTAATTGATGCTTGGTTTTTATTACTTAAAGCAACATTGGAAAAATGTGACATTATGAATAGATCTGCCCAAATACTAAACTGCGATGAAAGTGGGTTTTGCACTAACCAAATAAATAAAAAAATTATTTGCAAAAGAGGTATTAAAAACCCTGTATCTATTGCTCCTGGATCAGGAAAAGAACAGTTTACTGTACTAGCAACAATATCAGCTGCAGGAAGAAATTTTCCTCCATTTATTTTATTTGCTGGGAAGAATTTGTATAAAGAGTGGATGACTGGTGGACCAAATGGTTCCTTATATGGGGTGACAAAAAACGGTTGGATGGAAACAGAAGTTTTCACTGAATACTTTAACCATCTTGTTTTATGGTTGAAAGACACACCCAAGCCTGTTTTGCTTATCTTTGATGGTCACATTAGTCATATTTCTTTAGAAACTGTTAAAAAAGCAGTTGAAAATCATATAACTATTTTGTGTTTGCCAGCACACTGTTCGCATTTGCTTCAGCCACTTGATGTAGGAGTCTTTCGCCAAGTTAAACATGTATGGCGTGAAATTCTGGCCAATTGGTATACCGAGTCAAGGCTGAAGGTGGTTGGGAAATCTGTTTTTCCATCTTTATTAAAAAAACTTTATGATACCTCCTTTAAGCCAGCTCATTTAGTACAATCCTTTGCCAAAACTGGAATTTTTCCCTTTGATCCATCTGCTATAGCATCTGACAAGTTAAATCCTTCTGAAATCTATGAACACCCTTTTTCTCAGAAAACAAATAACTATAATAATAACGTCCCTCAAAACATCGTTTTAGACACCAATGTCAATGATCAGAACGATACTTGTGAAAATTTTTCTATTGAATCAACAAATAAATACAATTCACAAAAAACTATAATATCAGTAGGAAAAGACTTAAACAATGAAAAAATAAATCAACTATCAATATCAAATGTAGATTGTTCTACTGGAAATAAAATCATTAGAGAAATAGTGAAAGAACAGTTAATGGCCACAAAGGGTGATGGTCGTTCATACAACAAACGACCTACAAAAAAAATAAAAAGACACTATGGAGGTGAGTGTCTTACATCAGAAGATGCATTTAAAAGATTAAATGATGAAGAAAACGAATGCTTTAAAAGAAAGATCAAGCAGCAAGGCAAAATACAAAATAAAAAAACTAATTTATTAGAAATAACAAACACAAAAGAGTTAAAGATGAAGTAGGGGAGACCGGGGTTGGTTGCAACAAAATTTTAAAAACGTAACTTATACCCTTTAAATATATATTTTTTCGATTTTATTTTTCAGGGTTATAAAATAGATTTAAGTTACGTATTAATCCAACATTGATAAATAAAATATCAAATTTAGTTATTCCGCAATAGTGAAACAAAAATATGTTGCATTTTACCCCGCACCGGGGCGAATTGCAACAGTGCACGGGGCAAGTTGCAACACAATACTTTTAAAGTATAAGCTTTGCAGAGTTCACATAAAAATTACTAGTTAATCTGTAATTTCTATTTGGCAACAAAACATTATAATTAAAAGAAAAGAAAAGTAGTATTTTAGACTTGACATGTACCTGACATGTTTAGTAAACTAATGCTTACATTCAAAGACTTTAAAAACTGAAGAAAGAAAATAATGAGGATTATTATTTAAGCTCATATATTATTTAAACTTTTAAGTGTTTTTTTAAAAAAGTATTCCTTTAGTTATTCAGTAAACATTAAATCAATTTATAAAAATGCAAGAGTAGTTTTATAAATAATATAAAACACAACTTTCATAAAAATAAACAATAATCTAACTTTGATAACAAAAAAAAAAATTTCCAAGCAATAAAGGCTCATAAAAAAACAAACTAGCATTAAAGAAACTAAAGAGTTTCATTACATTTCAAGTCAACAATTATACTTTTTTATTGTTTTTTTTTTTGATGCAGAAGTACTGGCAGATTTTCGCTTTCTAGAACTAATTTCTTTTTCAGCCATAAGACGCTGTTTTACTGGTGTATCTGTGAGTACTTCTGTATGCTTTCTCTTTGATCTAGTGAGTATTTCTTTCCTGGGTCGTGCTTTTGGTAGCGGTCTTACAACCTCAGGGGAAAATTTTGAAACTGCAGATGGAATTGCATCTGAGGTTGAAGTTGATATACTAATATCAATAGCTGCATTAGATTGGGTTGCTGGACGATCCGTAACAAATGATGGAGCAAAATCTGCATCTGAAAATATATCCTTATTATATGGCAATATTCCTGCCACTCTAAAACCAGAAGATATATTTTGTTGTGTAAGAGAATGTTGTAATGCTATTTTTGCAATTCCTGGTAAATCATATATACTCATTGTTTTCCCTGGACTACTTTTTATCCATGAGTCTTGTGCATTAGCTAAGCATTTTTTAAATGGTCCGAATACAGATCTATCTAGAGGTTGCAACTTATGCGAACAATGAGGAGGGAAAGAAAGCAAAACTATACCATTATCTTTACACAATGTTATTAATTGAATAGATAAATGAGATTGATGATTGTCTAAAAGTAATAACACAGGGCTTTCTTTTGATGGCTTTACATGTCGAATAAAGTGGTTTATGTAAGTAATAAAGCACTCCTCATTCATCCAGCCTGATCCATTCGAAGCACCAATGCAGCCATTTGGCCCATCACGAATAAAGTGATCAAAGAATTTCTTTCTTGGAAAAAGAAACATTGGAGGCACACTATTGCCATATGCATTTACGGCTATTACCATTGTCACTAATGTCCCTCGCTCTTGAGAAGTTAATGCACCCACTTGCTTAATGCCTTTACGAGCAATTATTTTGTTTGGTTTTTGCACAGTGGTGATACCAGTCTCATCAACATTAAAGATATTTGATGCAGAAAAATGATGCCTATCTAAAACATCTGATAATTTTTGAAAAAAAACACCTACATTAGCACGATTAAAGCTAGTTGCTCGTGCAAGACTTGTTGCTTCTGGAGTTCTGATAGACAATCTTGGATGTCGGTTTAAAAACCCTCTCATCCAATCAGGACCAGCCATGGAATGTTTTAACCACGATTTGGGAAAAATAATACCATACTTTACTGCACATTCAAATGCAAGCTTTCTTGTTTCATATGGTGATAATCCAAAATAGATATCAGAACATATTGATATATATGAAGCAATAGCTATTTCTTGTTCATAAGTAAAAACTTGATTCTTTTTATATCCAGGATAAGGTAGTGGCATTCCCATATCAACAGCTTTTTTAACTTTTTTTATATAACGAGAAAGAGTCGAGTAGTGGATTCCAAACTTTTTTGCTGATGCACGAACTGATGTTACTCTTCCATCAATAACGTGGCTTGCTGCCTCTATTACTACTTCTTTTGGATAAAGTCCTTTTTCAGTTTTTCTCTTGTAAGTTCGCATTTACAATTTTTATTAAACCTCTAAATAACATAACAATAAAAAAACACATTACAAAAATCATTTTATATAATTTAGTCTAAATTGCTACATTTATTTATATACCTATTAATGTTTTAAGTATGTACTTAATAATAATAATATTTTAATAATGTAATTATAACTTTTACGTATGTATGTATATAAATGTATATATATAAATGTATATATATATATATATATATATATATATATATATATATATATATATATATATATATATATATATATATATATATATATATATATATATATATATATATATATATACATTGTATATATATATATATATATATATATATATATATATATATATACTGTATATATATATATATACACACTGTATATATATATACACACTGTATATATATATATATACACACTGTATATATATATATATATATATAATATA